GATCCGTGGACAGATCTTTAAAACGGCGGTTGTGTTCAAAATTCCATAACTTCAAAAATAAATTGGAATAATTCTTGCACTAAAAGAAAGCTTATGAACTGGGCTTTCACATCCTACATTTTGAAAGTGCTCCATGGATGCAGAACTTCACTAAAACAATGGTCCCAACATTTGGGTTTTGTTGGTTTCTTTTTGACTCGCCCTATATTCTAAAATTAGCTCAAAAGACAGCACATTCAATGTCGATGAATAAATAAAATATTTGGATTTGTTACGTTTTTTTTTTTTGTAACATGGAAAAAATGGTGATGACTCGTTTAAATTTGAAGTTAATCTTCACAATTGCAAAATTTGGAATTGTGACAATTTTGGAAATCTGTTCATGTCTTTTGACATGCTATAATTTAAAACTCCATGGGTGAACATCTATATAAAAAAAAATGTAATTAGGGTATACATGTAATGCATGTTAATAAATACACGTAGGAATATAGTCTGGAACTTACGCAGGCTACATTAATCAAGAACTCTATAGCAATCATTAAAATTCAGAAGCATACACTTAATAACATGTACTTTATTTTTAATATTGGTAAAAAAGTTTAGGACTGCACACACATACACATATACATACATACAAGCCTAGATTTTTTAATAAGGTTACATACATGTACATGGGTACGGTGTACATGTACTTGTACATTAAAAATGCATTTATTTGGATATTACAAACGTATATGTAAACACTGTAATTGAGTTGTGGTTATATCAGATATTATAGATTAAATTCAATAAAAGGGAAGATACAACATTTGCAAACATCAAAAAAACGAAATGATCTAATTATCACATAAAACCTTACTGGATTGTTGGGGAATGACAGCCTAAGCATCCTGTAAAATCGTGGCTCCTGGTGTGCTGACATTTTCAAGAAAAACTGTATTTTTCCAACGCTGGTCGGCCGACCAGCGCTGGAAAAAACTGGCTTTTTTTCAAAAACTGCTCCTAGTTTTTCATATTTAGCTATTCCGCATTTTCTTTGCAATTGATTACACACCTGTGAAGGGGTACAAGCCTGCTAGACTGATTCTTTGACTTACAATTCCCCAAAGTCTACAAATTGCTCTGTTTCATCTTAAGTGGGGTCAGGGAACCAGACTACAAGAACATGATTGGTTTTCTTGGTTTTTCCAGCATCTACAAGCCCAAAACGTGAAACAAGTCAGTTGAACAATATTTGCTATAACATACTAATCCTCCAAATTCATTTATTTCTGAAAACTGCAGCAAAAGCAAATGTTGTACATTCCCTTTAAATCAATATTTGGTCTTATAATTTGTAAATAATTATAATGCACTATCCCATACTTAAAAATGACTAAATACATTAGCCTTAGTGTGAAAATTAAAAATTACTGGGCCTTTAAAAATGAACACTTCTCTTCAGTGCTACTTTTTTCTTCAATGAAGTCGCATTGAGATTTGCGACTAAAATTGGTGATCCATCTCTCAAAAAGGAGTAAGAAAACAAACATGTTTATTTTCAAAGCAAGACTGTTTAGCATTTAAAATAGAATCCACTATGTGATCACGTGGACTTTTTTTTTAAATTTTTTTTAATTATTAGCTTGCAGCTTAAAATCTTAATTACGGAACAAATTTCCAATTAACTAAGTTTTTTTTATTTGCTTGTACACAAGTAATTCTCAGTATTGCTTTGTCATTCACAATTCACAATTAACATTACGCTAAATAAATGAACATATGTGTACATGTGTCCAATTGTAACTGAGTACATACAGTGCCTGGCCTACACATGTACATGTACTGTGCATACATGTACTGTACATACGTGTACATGTTCAATCCTAGGTCCAATGCTAAATTTACTAATATCTTTATGTACTGCTTCTGCTTGACCAACGTCATTGGGGCATTTGTGCACTTCCTTAATCAAAGAGCTAAAAACCGTCCTAAATCTGCCAAAAATCCAACTTCCAAAAATGTACGGTGCACTTGATATGTAAAGACATTTTGAGATAATTTAAACAAACAACCATCCCCCTCCTCCTAGTGGTGGGACTCAAATCCAGATTTTTTAAAATTCGGTTTAAATCCGACTTTTCAGTTTTGATATTGGAAACCAGATATTCTTAACCAACCTTAAAAAAATGAGCCATCCATTTTTGTGACACAGGCTAAAGAAAACAACTAGAACATGCCCAAATTTGCTCCATGGTCTCTGATTGTAACTGAATTCACTTGCTAGTGGTCTTCTTGGTTCACGAATAGCCTGCCCATTTGACTGATCAGAGAGTTCCCACCCATTTTTTTCAAGACAGCTCTGGAGTTTTTTTGTAAAGGCCCAGTGGTCATTGGATCCTGCAAACTATACCCAATCATTGGGAGGGCATTGCATACAGCATTGCATTGCCACTTTTCGTTGGCATGACTGAAAGCTGAATGGGAAATTCTGATGAAATTGGATAACCGTTATTCAGTTTGAAACAATTCGGATAACCGGATTTTGAAATCTCTGATTTCTCCCACCACTACATGTACCTCCTCCCAACAAAATAACTGGAGCATCAATCCCCTTGCCAAGTACATGTACTGCACGGGATGTGCTGTTCCAATCAATCTAAATACTTCAAATCCTGGTCAGGATTTCGATTGATTCAGGGTTATTGGGGTTAATATATTTATGCCTGTCCAAAAATATATTGGCTAAGGCCAAAAAAAAAAGGTTCTGCTTCCGATTTCATGGCATTCAAAAAGGTAGGTACCTGGTAGGTAGGGAATTTTTTTTTTTTTTTTTTTGCCAATTTTTGTGTGTGTACAATCATATGGAGGGGTCTGTATGTAGTCAAGGGTAAAAGGTAGAAATCGATGGTTTGGGGTGTTTTTTCCCTCATTTTTCCCATAAAAAAATTAGGGTAGGGGCCGTCAGAATAGGGTAGGTAGGGAAACCGGAAGCAGAACTATTTTTTTTTGCCTAATAAATACATGTACATTTTTGCTTGGTGTACATTTAAATATTGCTTTGTATCAAGGTACAGAAAACTACAGATGCTACAATACACTAGAGTTGAACCTACAGACTAAACTGGTACTTGTGTCTCAAATCTTGTAACCTACCAAAATTATCTTTATAAATTTACCTATGTTGGGCTAGGGATAGGGAATGCATGCAACATCTTTCATGCTTATGATTTGACCTACATTGTAAAGCTGCAGCCAACAAATTGCATTTTAAGACAAGGCTTTTGACAAATTATGCAACAGGCGATTTGATTGGCTGCTGCAAGATTTCAGGGATTTGTTGACTCATCCGATTTGTTCCCGGTGGTGTTTAATATGAACTTAATGTGCACCAAAGTATAAAAGTGGAAAATGAAACAACAAACATGGAGCCACAAATTCTGTACTCTAAACAAAATGGGGAAGGTTTACAGTATTTGGCAAGATGCCAGAGCTACATGTATGTCAATTTGAATTGTCGCAATTTATTTTTCATTTAATTGATTGAATGTCTCAAGTTGGCAATGGCAAAGTCGCGGTTCATTTCAACTCTACCGTTTACTGCTCAATTTAGCCAGCGAATTGTTTTCTCTGTTTTCTAAATGTTTAATTCCAATCCTAGACATTTTAAAAGAACAGGAACTTTTTTTTTTTTTTAGCTCACTACAGCAATTGGAACAGCAGGCTGCACAGAGTTATTTTGCGCACTCTTTTATGCGAATAAAGTCAGCAATTCTCAGCATCAGTCACGTTATTGCCAATTATTCCCAAAATGGCTTAGCGCATTCCAAACACTGGTTGGGACAACACAACATGGTACACGTACGTGGTATGGTTTCATGCAGGGTTTTATCTCAACACATTTCTGCACAAGTTCATCTCAACACATTTCTGCACAAGTTCACAATGACCAGTGACGCTATGCCAAGTTCAAATATAACCTTTCATGTATATATCTGGTGGAGGGTACCACTTGAGATAAAAATTCCCCTTGGTGATTTGACCAACACCCCCTCATAAAAATAGCCTTTGTACATATATGTAATGCCATTTATATTATGTTATTGTACATGTATTTCATACAAATCCTATCCAGTAATTCTTCCATTCAATTCCCAGCTTGATGAAGCTTCAATCATACATCATGTACATATATGCCATTGTGCCCAAAATCCAGGTGTCCGTATTTTATATTGAAAGCAATACATAATAATTTATGGAAAAAAAATAAGAAATTACACAAACACACACTACACATGTAATGACTATATGAAGTGTGAAGTACATGTACATGTACATAATTTCATGGTCATTGCACACTTGAGACAGACAATGGACAAGTGGACTTTGGGCCTAAAAAGTAACACATCATCCTTTTCTTTATCATGTGTAAGGCACTGTACAGCCTCATTCTACAACTTGACATCTGCAACCCCATCCTTACTATGGTTTCACTCCTATAAAAAAATCATTCCACATACATGTAGGTGTAACTGTAAAATAATATTGTAATATAAGAATGGTCTTGTTAAATATATGCCAAGAAAGGCGACAGTTATGGCATGCCTAACTTACCAACGTACTGTATAAAATGTGATACGTCCATGAACTCTTTTATATGAGAACACCACACAAGTTTCAGATTCACATTCAGAACATACTGTATTTATAAATTCAACGAAAGTCTAAACTAAATTGTTTGGTTTGTGGTGGCAAGTACATGTGTGAAATTGAGATTTATTTGGTTTCGTAAAGATAAGCTGCCCTATTTGTTTCTGTCACAACTGCTTGTCTCTCACAACACAGTCACGTAGGGTACACGTACAGGTACATGCACACTATACATTTACCATATTTACGTACATGTACATGTACATGTACTACATGTATGTACATGTACCCTACATGATGACTCCTAAAAGTACATGTACATATACAAATACATGTACGTATGTACATGTACATGTACATGTACATACACATGTACATGAAGGGCCTACACATGTACATGTACGTGTACATGTACTGTACGAAGGACTTTGTACTTTGTGAACAAGTTCTACTGTTATGTAAACTTGAGGAACATTGTGTACACAATTTTTTTTTAAATGGTCCTCGACACTCCTACGGTACTGTACATTTACCTAAGTACTGCACATGTTCATCTGCACATGAACATTTCTAAATGGCATTTGATATTATTTTTCATAGTGTGCAAGTATGCACAGGGTTAGCAACAATTTTAGAATATATGGATATTATTTTTTACCCTAACGTCCTACATGTAGGGTTTGTAGAAAACTATTACATTGCAAGATTCACTAATGCTCTGGTTAAGATAATTAGAAGTGTATGGTCTTCTCCAATTCCCCCCAAAAACACAGAAGCTTGGATTCTGGATGAAAAGCCTGACATCTTATACTAGTTCTGGCACTATCTGGTCATATGCAAAATTAAAATGCCACACAGATTCTAACATGCGTTGAATAATCTTCATTTGCCATGCAATGTTAGTACAAATACCACATAAAATAAACCAAAGTTTACAAAATATAGGTTAGCAATGCCATACATGCAACCAGACGGAAAGGAAAATCAAGGATGCGTTCCACTCACACAAACCTTGCCAATGTTTGCAAAATAGTTTTGTTTTGAACATCTGGCAAATTTTGCATTGAGTACATTTTTTTGTAAGTGCAACGCACCCTAGTATTATGAGAAAGGAATGCATTCAAAGTAGCATCATATAATACAACGTCAGTGCGTACTATACTACAGGTATTGTTGGTTAGGGTTAGTAGGTTGTGCTGAATGAATTGTCAAACTTGCTACTGTTTGTTTGAATTGAATTGGCCGACCTAGCCTTGACTTCGTCAGGTGTTAGAATCAACACGGCATAATAAATGCAACATAAATACCGACGATATGTCATTGTGGGGTTCTGGTCAGGGAGGAATTCTGGATTCCATGCACAAATACATTTACAACAGCCTTTTTGGTGGTTTTTGATTTTCTTCTATTTTCTTAGTGTTTCCTCAGTGGGTTGTCACATGTTTTTGACTTAGTCATATTCAAGCTCAATACAATCAGATGTGGGAAGATTCACGTCAGATGTTTGAGTTTCATGGTAACTCTTTCAAAACCTTTGTAGCAAGATATAATTCTAGTTTTTCTTTCCCATCCAGTTGAACAGGATATTAGTGTTTCCTGAGCATTTGGAAACGTTGTTAGGCTAGTGGTTAAGGTGATCTATTAGGAGTGTTTTTTTTTAAAGAGTGGCAAAATTAAACTTTATGAGAGACTGGAACTTGGAAGGAATAGATTGACTGAACGGAAAGTAAGAAGTTCTTTTTAAAACTAGCGGGGACCAGTGTGATGGAAATGAGGAAGGTGTGGATGTGGCATCATGCCAGGGAGTAGAGGAGGGGTAGAGGGAGGGAGAGGGGGGTGTGGGGAATGAGAGGGCCCAGGGTGAGGAGGTCGGGGAAAGACAACTTGCTGAGGAAATCGGGGTGCTAACGGCATTGGAAACAGCCCAAAAGGTGGGCCATAGCCCTGCAGGTAGACTGGTTCGCTTACTTTGGAGGGTTTGTGGCGCCTGGGAGCCGGCTTGCGAGGGTGGATCTGCTGGAGCTCTGTGTGACATTCCAGATCCTCCAGGCGTTGGGTGAGGGCCAGCTTCTGCTGGATGGCCATGCGGAGCAGGGAGTTCAGCGTCTTCTTCTCTTCCTCGGCGCTGGATATCTGCCGCTGCATCTCATCCAGCTGGGTCACGTACTCGTCGCACCTCGTGGCAAACATGGCGCGGAGGCTCGCGAACGTGGCTGCGTCCTCCTTGAGAGCCTTCAGTTCATTCCTCAATTTGATCATCGTCTCGGCGATGATGATCTTCTCGTTCTCGTATTTGCTCTTGAGGTTGGCGAGCGCAACCTCGGCCGTTGTCTTATTGGCCTTGAGGACAGTCCTGAGCGTCACAACCTGTTCTCGTTTGGTGGCCAGGAGGGCTTTGTGTTTCATGACCTCTTCGCGCAAGTCTTCATGTTCGGTCGATCCAGCGGTCTCGTTGCTGCGCTGCCGCGACATTTCAACGGCATGCTCCACAGACCGTTTTAGATACTTGATCTGATCCCGAATCGTAGTCAACAGATTGTTGCAAGTGATGGGGTCACTGCTAACCTTTCTTGGGGAGGCATCTATCCGCCTGGCTGGGCTCGAGATGGGGGTGGATGATTTGACACTAGAAGCGGGCGAGGAGCTCTCATCCGTGCTAATGTTCCCATCAGTGTCACCAGCGTTCAATTTCTCTCTGCTTGCATCCGAATCAAACGACACCTCTTTCAACCTGCTGGCAATTTCTGCCCGGAAGCTCTCCCTTCTGCTCTGCCTTGTTGCCTTGAGGTGGTCTAGGATGACTCGGTTGGGTGTCTCGCCGTTCACCACACACACATGGTGGTAAAGTTGGGCCAAGTCCTCACTGACATTGATCAGTTCATCCTGTGTACAATTTAAGTGACCCTGTGATTCCACAATGAAGTCGTTCATCTGCCTCATCTGCGACTGTAGACTCCGGATGGTCATCTCTTGATGCCTGTTCCTGTCATTCATGAGATCTACCTCTGATTGCAGGTCTACCTTCTTGCTCTCCTCATTCAGTTTGTCTTGTTGACTGTCCACTTTAGCACTCAAGGCCGCAATTTGAGACATCGCTGAGGCGTACTTCTTCTCGTGGTGCTTCACAAGCCGTATGAGATTCAGCAGCTTGCGATGGTGGATGTTCAAATCTTCAGGCAGTGGCTCCCCTTCACTGTCTGTCCCAGAGATATTCAGATCATCCGGGAGGCAATTCAGGGCCCCCATGGTCTGTTCTAGATTTTGTGAGAGTTGAGTTTTCTCGGTCTGGAGCTGGGCCAGCTGTTCCTCCAGTTTCTGGACCTCCGTGAACTGCATTTCGCTGAAGAGATCGGACCCTGTGCATGCTGACTGGCCAGGTTGGTGCAGGCCGTTTGTGCCATTGGCGGACTGGAATTCGTACTCCATCCTGCGCAGGATGGGATGATCTGGCGACTGAGACTCCGTGTCTGAGTCGTCGTCATCAGCTAAGAGTCCCGAGCTGTTCATGAGGTCATTGTTGAAGGCTTCCATCTCCATGATCATGGCCTGATCCAGCTGCTTCTTGAGGTAGTGCTTCTGTTCCCGCTCGGCTTCCAGGGCTTGGAGTGTCTCCTCGATCTGCTTGTCGGCAATCTCTCTGAGACGGATCAGGTCCTCAATGTGTGTGTTCAGATACTGAGTCTCCTCAGTCAGACGACGGTTCTCGTGCTTCATGGCTTCGTACTCAACCACTGACGACTTCAACATTGACATCTGCAAAACAGATCCATTGTGACAATCTCAGAATAAAAGTGTTTCGGCAAGCCACAATCCAAATTTGGAATAGTGGAGAATGAATAAGGTAAGCTTTGGTCTGTTCTTTATGGTATCAACAATAAACAATTATTTGTCCTGAAAATGATTTAGCAGCAGACTTAAACATAATAAGTGCCAGGTTTCACAACCCTCCTATGCAAACATACATTCTGTACCAAGCTGTCCTTTCAGTCGAAATCAATCAAGTGACTGTTTTCAACAGTTCAGAGCTCCCAGCCTACGTAAAGCAGGATTGACTGGCTGTGACTACTCATGAAACTTGATACAGCTTTGCTTTGACTGCAGATGATTGATAAGCCAACTATGCCTACTTCCTGCCTGATTTTGTCTGATAACTGAATTTGACTAATCAGAGCACTTGCTTTAAATATAATCTGACTATTATAGAGCACTTGCTTTAAATATAATCTGACTATTATAGAGCACTTGCTTTGAATATAATCTGACTATTATAGAACACTTGCTTTAAATATAATCTGACTATTATAGAGCACTTGCTTTAAATATAATCTGACTATTATAGAGCACTTGCTTTGAATATAATCTGACTATTATAGAGCACTTGCTTTGAATATAATCTGACTATTATAGAGCACTTGCTTTGAATATAATCTGACTATTATAGAGCACTTGCTTTGAATATAATCTGACTATTATAGAGCACTTGCTTTGAATATAATCTGACTATTATAGAGCACTTGCTTTAAATATAATCTGACTATTATAGAGCACTTGCTTTGAATATAATCTGACTATTATAGAGCACTTGCTTTGAATATAATCTGACTATTATAGAGCACTTGCTTTGAATATAATCTGACTATTATAGAGCACTTGCTTTGAATATAATCTGACTATTATAGAGCACTTGCTTTGAATAGAATCTGACTATTATAGAGCACTTGCTTTGAATAGAATCTGACTATTATAGAGCACTTGCTTTGAATAGAATCTGACTATTATTGACTAGCCTGTGTAAAAGGCATGGCGGGGGAAGAGGATCAGGTTTTTTTTTAACTGTCTGTGACTGTTCAAACAGCAGGAGGGTTAAGAAAGAGTAATCGTCTTGCATGGGAAACTATGACCTTTAATTTACTGGGACAGAATATAGCCAAACCAAGAGTTGTTGATTTTGCCAACGAGAGAGAAAGACCATTATTGGTGGACAAAAAGACTTGATCATGTTGGAAGAATTTAACACCAAGCTCCAATTCTTTGGACTTTTTTCTTTTCCCTGTTTTATAATCTCCTTACCTGCTTTTGCATAGCGATATTCTCCTCTTCCAGCTCGCTGTAGTCCTGCAGGAGCCTGGTCTCCCGGAACTTGATGTCCCGGGCCTCATCCTTGAGCGTCTTCCGGAGTGCGTCCAGCTTCTCATTCTGGACCACCAGCTCTACGTGCCGGGCGTGCAGCCTCTCATTCTCAATCTTGGTGTGGGTCAGCTCCTGACGGTAGTTCTTGGTCTCGGACTCTAGCTCCGTGATGCGCTCAACGAGGTCAGCTTCTCGCGTGGCCGTCTCCTTGAGGAGGTTCTCTTCCCGATGGACTTCCTGGATGGTGTGCTTCTTCTGGTGGAGTTGGTGCTGATCCAACGCCTGTGGTGACAAGGGAGTAAAAAAATACAGTCGACTCTCGTTAGTACAAACTCTGTTAATACAAAATTCTGGTTATAACAAACATAAAGCCTTAGTCCCGACTGTGCATTTATGTGCACAATGAATGGGACTGATGTTCCTCTTAATAATACAAAATTCTGATATAACAAACAATATGGCTAGGTCCGAATGAGTTTGTTATAATGAGACTCGACTGTATATAAATATATTTTGAAAGGATTTGGCTTTAAAATATTAACAACAGCAAGTTAACTTTAGAGAAAGAATGACTTTTTTTCAATCAGGTCAAATTTTAACCCATTTACACAAGTTTCTGTTACATCCACAAAACTTAAAAGGAATTCATGAAATCTTAAAAGGATTACGTAGGAACACAAAAATCAAGGTAAAAAAATATATATTAAAGAATTCAAGTTTATAAAAAAATAGCCATAAACATGTTTACTTGTGTAAATGTGTACACAGGTTAAAAATGTACAAAATATCTACATGAAATGAATTGCCACTTGTATTTTTATGATCTTCTGCTATTGTACGTTTTTTTTTATCTGTGCCCTAGGGGGGACCCTCCTCTTGCTTAAGAGGTCACCAATGGTCAAAATGTTCTTCCTCACCTCCTGGCCTACTGTGTACAAACCAATGGGGGTCTTGACCAATATTGACCCAAGTTATAACCAGGCTGACAATGCATGTTTCCATAGGAGGGTTCTACACATTTACATCAGCTGTCTACTAGTATACATAGCAGTATGATTATTATATTCCAAACAAATGATTAGGAAATACGAAAAACCTAGATCTGCCAAGAAAAACTGGTTGTCAGTTTAAGATACAGGTTCACTTGTTTTTAACAAATTTATCATGCACTTCCCCTTTTTTCCAGACACATACCGATACATGTAAACTGTCAAAATGTCCGATGTCTGACTGTACATATTTAATTTCATCCTCTGTACAAACGTGTATAGCATGTGTATTTTACATGTACATGTACACATGTACATGGTGTGCATGTGCATGGAGGTACCGTACATGTTGAATTGATGTACACATGTGAACCGATGCGTTTGCTTATTGTGTAACTCAAGGACGCACATGTGCAACATCATCGGTGAATCGAGGACGGGAACCAAATCGAGGACGACCTCGATTAGAAAACGTGTACAAAACCAATGAGAGCTGTTGCAAAAAAGTTAAAGTACAAACAAAGGAAAAGGGAAGAGGAACAAAAGAAAATCCTCAATTTACTCCATAAACAAACGTACATGTACATGCATGGATGTACATGTACAGGTACATATGCGAGTACATACATCATGTACACATAATTTACATACATGTACACATGATTACCTAGTATCCGTTTTATCCAAGAGAACATTCATTAAATGCATTAAATAGCCTGTAACTAATATCAATCCCTCCCACGTGCTTCTGTCAGAGAGATAGCTCTCTCCCTCTATATCCCCTAGCAAAGGAAATTACAGACAGTGTATAAATAGGATCACTGTGTGAAACGTGGGAAGGTGAAATGAAAGGTTAACGGGGATGACTCATATCTAGACTGGCCAGCATGGCCAGGGGGGAAGAGGACGTGTCTTCCTCAGATGACTTCTGGATGGGATGGTTTTCGCTTCAACTTCAGAAACACGTAGAAATATATACAAATGTACATGTCGCAGAGAATTAGTTCACATATTCTGAACATTATAATGTACAATGTACCGGGTATCTTAGTACACGGGGGTACATGTAAGAACATGTAGGATCCTAAAATGTGACATTTTCCTGTCCCTGTTAGGCCAAAAAAAAAATATTTGGTCTCTGGTCAGACCAAAGTTCCGGAATTGACGCGGCCACGCGGCTTTTTTTTTTGTTGCTTTTTTCTTCTTTCTTCAAGCTTGGATTGTACAGACAAGGTGGGGCACTATTTTTGCTTTTTTGGTGTCCTCATGTACATTGGTGTCCTCCATAATTTGTCTTGGTGCTTTCGATCATTTGCCTTGGTGCGATTTCCCATTCCTTGGTGCTCTTTGGTAAAAAAAAATTGAGGAGGTGCAGAAATAGAGGGCGCTGTTGGAGCTACCGCGGAACATTTTGGAGAAAAAAAAGATCGATGCGCATGATTAAAATCGACGCGCGCGCTGACCAGAGACCGACTTATTTTTTTTTTTGGCCTTACCTCTGATTTTTTTTAAGTTGCCAGTCGAATATCAATCTTTAAAGATGACTTCGAAATGATTTTGTTATTTGTTAGGTACTGTAGGTAGTTTGCTGTTGTAAATCACTCTTGGAGGTAAATAAGATTTGAGGCTTTGCATCGGTGGAGATACTAAATAATGAAAGGTTTGCAGAAACACCATGTGCGAATAATTTCCAAACTAAGAGAATGGTTCTGAAAAGAACCAGCGGTAAAAACTCGACGTTCCGGTCAGTATGCTCTGACCATCTGCAGGAGGGTGTTACATTTCACACATGTATGAATTCATTCACATGTAACACAATCATCATAGCATACTTATGGGGCACTGCAGAATCATGGCAGTTGCCGTTTTCTGGTAAAATGTTAATGCTACATTTAGAGGAACAAAATTGCCAACACTGCCCCTTTCCCTGTAGTCAGCAGATTCGCTGATTAATTATGCAAGACAACCGCATCTTGACCTCTAGATTTTTACCAATCAGCGGGCGCTTTCTATATCGGGTCTTCGGTCTTTCACCGTTGTCGCGTCATAGACATGGATAAAAAAAAAATTCCCTAGACACAACAAAGGCTGTGGTCATGCGCTCTGTATTATGTTACGCCATTCACACCCGGCTGTTGTATTACAAAACACTGCATTCGAATCCACCAATCACAAGTTTAGTCCTGATTTGGGAATGAAATTACCTCACGATTTAATAAAGTCAACTCCGATTGACTGAGGCACGAATCGCATAAATCTGCATGTCTTGACATATCAGACGTTATACAGGAGACTTGGTTCCGTGGATAACGGGTGATACTCGGACTACTTTCCCTGCACGGTCTGCACCATTTTTTTCCCATGGACATTTTGTAGGAAGAAAAACTTAAAACTGCATGTGCACAACTTTTGTTCCCCAGTTTTAGCGTCAAGCTTTTGCTCTAGAACTGCCCTGATATTGGTGTTTCCAACAGCTTTCTCTCCCTCCAATGTGTCTGTACAGTGTGTTCATTACATGATTGCAAAAAAGGTTAGAAAATATATTAAAAAATTAATTCAAACATCATTACAAACAACGTCGTTGCAAACAAAGGCTGGTTACGCAAATATACTGGACATGAAATCGATAGCCGTGCAGTGTGAATACAACAATCAATACATACATGTATAGCGGTCACTTCATATGCACAGGTTATTAATAAATATGGTCAGCCTGCAGTGCGACCACTAATGACCATGGGTGTTTGTTGACCAGTGAGTCCATGTGAATTGTGTACAGACCATTAATTTTTGCAGTGTCAAATTTCAATCAATTTATTTATATTTATAAATATGAATCTGTAACTTTTACGAATGAATGTAAGTTAATTAAATTAGTGATACTGTGCCAAATTGTTACCATAATAAAAAGTGAAGCTGAGATTTTATGTTGGGGGGGGGGGGCAATTGAACTGTTTGAAATTGAGAATTACATGTACCGGTATGTTTGCCTCTTGCTTGTGTGGACAAATTGTGTCCTTTGTGAATTCTTGGGTTTGTGTATATTTCAGATAATGCAAAGACTTGAAAACTGTATCAAGTGTTCAAGTTAAAAACGTAAAAATTCCAGCCATGCCCTTAATGTTCTTGTGTACATGATGTATGACAGAGAAAAGATCTGCATGAATGAACTTTTGTCCACTCTTCATATTCACTCAAGCATTTATTATGCAGTGATTGTAAATGGTCAACAACATGTACGGTACCCGGCAGTGTATTGTGTGATTAATGTGTATTCGCATGACAGCAAGTAGAGCATGTATCGGTGACTAGTGCAAATATTTTTCTAAGGTTTTTTTTTTTATTTCGCTGTCAGATATTGGCTCTGCTGAACGAAACAGAATCCAGAAAGACTGATTCTTAGATTTTCACATTTCGTATAACACAAACTCTTTCAAATTTATTTCGCAAGTAATTTTGCCTTGTTAAGAAATTAAATATACTGTATACATATTTTTTACTATTGACCTTTCAGCCTATAAAAACTGATGTCTAAGAATGCCATTTTTTGGTCATTTAGCGTAATTTGAAAGGATTTTGGAGCTATGTAGATATCGTGAGTACCGTACGTGTGCTGTACATGTGTAAATCCTTACACATGACATGCATGATGCGGAATTACACTACAAATCATTATCTATCTACCGACATAAATTTACAAAGAAGACATTATTTGTTTCTTCAGCCTCGATGAACATGCATGTACATGTACCAGTACAGCAAGTCTTAGGGTGACATGCAATACCAGTATATTGAATGCCTGGAGTGAAACCTCACACATTACCCCATACCAGCATACAATGTACAATGCATTGCACACATGTACAGGGAATTATGCATACTTCTATGTAATGACTCATTCACAAATAACAAAAGCACTTCTGTGAATATTCATATGACCAAATAGAACAGTGTACAGTGTAAGGTGCATTAACCCATCTGCCCACATACCACTGCTACATTAGGCCTATGGTCATCCTATTGTATGCCACACTATTCAAATACACTTGAGCACAGACCCCCTGGTGAACTGTGAAACATGTACATGTACATGTACATGTAGATGGACACGAGGACATCTGTCACTGTAACCTAATTGATTGTACAAAATTATACACACTGCAAGAAATCTGGTATAAATCTCACGATTCGTGCAAATGTACAGATTAAAGCAGGGTATTGCTTAGCCCCATAAATGTGACCTATTTACTGGACTACCTCCGTAAACATAGGCCACACATCATACTGTACATGTACAAAAACGTGTCGCACTTTGCCAAATTTTGATTTTCACATTTAGGCTTAGTTTGTAGGGTTTCTTTGCTTTAGAAGCATACTCACCCTCTTTATAGGCTAATCAGAAAGTGCTGCCTTTTTCAGATGTCTATTTTTTGTGACATTTCCAGATTCATTTGCACATGTTTGCGTATCAAAATTTCAACATGAAATTTCACAAAAATTGGACATCTGAAAAAGGCAGCACTTTCTGATTAGGGCGAGTATGCTTCTAAAGCAAAAAAAAACCCTACAAACTAAGCCTAATGTGAAAATCAAAATTTGGCAAAGTGCAACACGTTTTTGTATATGTGGATGTGTGGCCTATGTTTACGGAGGTAGTCCAGTAAATTGGCCACATTTATGGGGCTAGCTAAATGGTAGTCATAATCTGGAAACTCAATATCCTTTGCAGACCGACAAACAAACACTGCATTTCAAAAAAGGAAGCAGGATATTATTTTAATTCTCTGAAGCAAAGCTGACATCAAATTACAAAATGAATTTAGATAGTGTACATCACACATGTGCACCAGAACAAAATGTGTATGCATGCTACTGATCCAACTCTTTTGAACTTCCCCACCCCATGCAATTGATCAGCATCTTTATTTGCCCCTTTCGTTTTACTAATCGCAGCAGCATTTACAATACATTATCTTTAAATATAGGACTGTAGTCTTTGTATGCTGCTGTCAACGCTGCTTCATAAGGGACTCCCAATGCAATTAGCAATGTGTGAGGCTTTCTCACCCACAAGCATGATACTGCCATTACTGGGCTAGTGAGCTAGTATTTTATTAATGTGGTGGTCACAAAAAATACAGGCTAAGAGAAATTAACAACTTTAACCTCATTTCATGATCAGTAAAAGATATTAAAGTGATTAATTATTGTCTTGTAAAATTATTAATATTATGTAAAGTTATTTATCTATTTTTCATTCACATTTCAATCTTGTTTTGTGGTAAATTATTTCACTTTTTTTTTTTTAAACTTGGGTAGGTGAATTCACTAGCCCCTACTAACAGACTAAATTCCAGGACAATTTTTCTGGTCAAATCATGACAATCAATCCAGTTCAGTATTCCAACTGCGCATGTGGACAACAGGATTTGGCAATTTTCCTTTTGGAATAAACAATTCGCTGTAATAAGTTTCCAAAGTCATAACGGGTACGAACATAATTGAAGAAATGTTCTTGTTTAAAGGAAAAAATTTCAAAATAAGGTTGAACAGTAAAGTGCCTTTTATTTAAAAGGCATCCTGAATGCTGTAACGTTTGTGTGAATAGAACTTGCCATCGTCTTTTGACTGCACGAAAATTTGCAGGACACAAATACCACGTCCCTTATTAATAACTTAGTCGTAGACTAGTGTGGATTTATTTGCCAAGTTGGAAAGAACATTGCAAATCAGTCTGGGCCTAACGCCACTTCGGCGATTGTGTACAAAGTCTATGGAGAGTCAAGAAAATTTTCTAAGTATTTCTTAACAAAATTGGAAATGTCTCTCAGTCCCAGATTCATGTCTTAGGCCCCCCCCCCCCCAAAAAAAATGTTCCGCTTCCGATTACATGGCATTTGAAAATAAGGTAGGTAGGTAGGGACATTTTTTTTGCCAATTGTTTTTGTGTACGATCATATGGAGGTGTAATCAAGAGTAAAGAGTAAAAATTGATGGTTTGGGGGTTTTCCCTCATTTTTTCCATAAAAAAAATAGGGTAGGGGCTGTCAGAATAGGGTAGGTAGGGAAACCAGAAGCAGAACTTTTTTTTTTTGGGCCTTATCATTTTTGCAATGAAGGACCTTCATTGAGATGATATATGTGAAGAATAAAGTGGCATCCGGTTGCAACATTCTTTCCACCAAGTGTATCCCGAAGTAAAAATTGTCGAATCTTGATAATAAAATATTGTGTATGCGCGTTAAACTTAGAATGATTAAAAAAAAACTGTTAGTGTTATGAAACAAAATCGCTGTCATGGCTGTTAAAAATTTGACAATCTAAGGTTTTGGGCCCAGTTCCCTATGAGAGAACAAAATCCACTTTTAGTTTTAATTTATTTGACTTTATTTTTTAATACCAAACTAGCTGGGAAAGATTTCCATATACGAAGTTCACTCAACACCCTGTGTACAAACTTTATTGGACTGAAAAATTCTAACAAGTGTTTTCTAAGAAAATGCTTGTATTTTCTCACTGCTCAAATTGACTTTGATGACATGAAATTGCTATCTTGGGGGCTTGTTAGTCAATACAGAGGAAAATTAGTGAACTTCGTAATATGGATATCTTTCCCAATGACAATAATCAACAACAATAAAGATGGCAATCACCACGATATACCGTGAATGCGCAAGGCACACTGAATCGCACGACACCAACCGTAATCCGCATTAAAAAAAATATTGTAATTTCTACCCCAAGAAACTGTTCAACATTACAAATATGTGTCATTAGAATTGAGAGAAGCTGCTTTAGGTTGAAAAAGTCATTTTTGAATGATGAAAAAAGACCGTCGACTCTAAATTTGATCGAAAATACTTAAAGAGGGGCCCGTAAATCTACACAATCGCCAAAAAATGAACCAAAGGAAATAGCTACATTTGTAAAATGATAACTACAGAGCATACATATAAATGTATGGCAGGTTGTTCTCCTCAACAAATTATGTAAGAGTAGAAAGACTGTGATGTGAAACATCAAAATACTTTCCATAAATAAGTAAAGTTTGAACATAATTTTATTTGAACTGTTGAAAGAAAGGGGGTACACAATTCAGTCAGTGTCGTGATGAGTGTACATCATGAATCATGATGTTTTTAAATCTTTGTAAAAAAGTCAGAAATTATTGATCGTGTTTAATTTATACCTCTTTAAAAAGTAAAATCAAACTCATTTTAATATATAAAACATAATACAATGTTTATGTTTCAATATGTAAGTCATTCTTCTATGATATATGTCTATTCCTTCCTCCATGGTAAAATGGGCAAGACTGTGGTGGGCTAAATATCCAAGTTCAAGAGAACTAAAAGTAAACGCTTTTTTAAAAATTCATGAACATGATGAATGAATTTACATGATTGATGTTTGTTTTGCATTTGCTCTTTTGGGAGTTAGATGAAATCTCATGAAAATAAGGGAAATTCCCCTACAAAAAAAAATGAATGTAACCAATCGGTTTACGTCACCTCTTTTGCCAGCTGAAGTTCCGTCTTGCTGGTGTCATACAGCACTTCAAGTTCCTCGAACTGCTGTTTCAACGCCTGTTTCTCCTCCAACACGACCAAGCCATATTCGGCCGCTTGGATTTTCTCCCGACTCGCGAGGTTTAATTCGTCCTTTAGACGCTCAATTTCCACCCGGAGTTCATCGATAGTCTCCGAACATTCGTCGGAGTCCGACATTTTGGAGTTAAATTAACAACAAAGACAACTGAAGAGAAATTCTGGACCGATGACGATCCCCAAAAATTGCCAACCGGCCTAGCCGCGAGTCGCCATGTTTAATTTCTTGCATTTTCTCATTTTTCCATTTTTCCGGTATTTTACCGACGGCTATTTGCTGTCATCGATTTCTGTCAAACAAATTGTGCGACGTTTTGGGCGCCCTCTTGTGATGCTTGGCACGTCTTTTTTCCAGTCTTTGGAAGACAATTTATTTAAAACAAAAAAGTTTGCAACTTCCTTTCATTTTATTGCATTTAATATCTCCTTGTTTATTTTCTAAAGCTTTAAAGATGAACTGTCCAGTGTCCATACTATTTTTGAGTTTCACTATGAAAAAAACCCAGATTTGTTTAAATTGCTATTTCAAACAATACAAAAGTTGTTCACTTTTGACTGGTGCCCCGCCTCCTGTCAGAATCGATGACGTGGGGACTGGAACCAGTCTTGCTTGGTGGATCTTTTTGGGTACACAAGCAAGCCGCATAAAAAGCCACACAAAAAAAGGAGATACAAAAAAACAATTAAACATATGTCTGGAGAAAAAAAGCCAGATTTGCTAAAATGCAGACCGTACAACTTTAAACGATACACTGCATTTAAGCAACTGCAATACAGATGTTTGCTCTATAGACTTGATGAACATAATCATTTTATTAATACAATCATTTATGAAATGACTTCTTAATTCATACTTGAATTTCATACAAATCATATAAAAGATATGGCATATAAAAGAGACCATTGATTCTATAACCATCTTGAAACTGATGAGGAATACACACATGCTGCAAAGCTGTAGAGGAGGATCAAGAGGGGTCGAGTTGCCAAGAGGTGGGGGGGGGGGTTGAGCTGCTGAGGGTGGGTTAGCAGGCATTTGCTGTTTTTTTTCTGCATGATTTTCCAATTTTTCCCCCAAGGGATGGTGGTGGTTAAGACCCTACACCTCCCCCCTCCCCAGTTGATCTGCCACCGAGATGTGCCCTGTGACAATGATTCTTATTTATTCACCTTCCCACCTGCATCTTCTGCCTGAAGTGTTTCTTTTGAATGACACAATAATTGCAAAGAAAATAGTCCATGTTCTCCCACCTAAACAAAAATAGTTTAAAAACTCCATTGTGTGTGAATATGGGTTGACTTGGGTGACCAGATGCATGCAGTTAATAGTAAACCAATATTCAGAGACTTAGTCACCTGACAAGTCACTTGTCAAGTCACATGTCAATCAGAAATCTAATCACAAGTAACAGCGAATGAGCAAAAACAAAGCATTGTCTTTGTCAGGCTTCATTTGGATAGCTTGTGACTTGAGACTGGATTAGTTGTGAATTGGCTAGTATACAGATAATGAATGTTTATGAGTTCAATGGTGAGAATATTTTCATGAGTTGAAAGATTGAATGTTCCATTCAACGAGGCAAAGCGGAGTTGAAAGGAACATTCCATCTTTCAATGAATGAAAATATTCTCACAATTGCACGAATGTGAAACATTCATTATTTGTTGCATACATGTACAACACCTGAATAAATCTCCGTCATCTGATTGATCAGAGCCTCCAGTAGTGTGACCGTGCGATGGAACTTCTATACATGTACCATGGACTAGAACTTCCTTTTTTGCAGTGCGACTGGGCTGTGGGTTGGGACAAATAATTAATTCAATGACATGTGGTCAATGACCCACCAATCAGATGACGGGGTTTCATTCAGGTGTTGTATAAACTGATGTCATTGCTTCCAATCTTATTTCCTTCGTTTCAGTATTTAATCTTCAAACCACTGTTTATCGCTTGGATTGGATTTGGGCGTAGTTGTCTTTCTAGACCCATACCCTCCAGCGGAGCTGAATATTGTCTCATTAGCTGGATCTTCCTCCTCGTCAATGATCTGTCTCACTCTCTGCCTCACGGTGGCGCTGTTTACACTCTTGGACCGGTTGAAGGTCGGTTCATCCAGTGTTGGCCAACTGCGAGAATTCTTGGCTCTACTAGAAGAGAACCTAGCCTCTTGTTGCGGCGGAGATTTCTTGAATGTTCTCCTTTCTTGACTATCGGGATTAAGTTGTTCCGCCGGTCGTTCCGACTTTAGTCCCATGTGTTTCCGCGTTGGGACGTGGTTGAGAGCTTTTACCCAATCTCCAGAGGTGTTGAGCTCTATCAAGATCTGCATCATTTGGTCCAGGGTCAGATTCTTGCCTCCCGAGCTCCACTTGAGGAACAGGTCCAACGGGAGGCGGGCGTGGTTCAAGTTGAGTCGCTTGGCTTTGGCAAAGGACACGCCCCGCAGGATCCGGTGACTGTCCACCAAGGCACCAATGACGTAGACTTTGTTGGGATTGTAGGATCTCATGATGTTGGGAGAGTCGGCGGTGAGGTACACTATGTCCTCAACAGGGAAGGCATCCTGGACTTGCCGGTCGGTGACGTTGACCATGACAGAGCCAAGATGCTCCCCGAGCATCCTCCTCATCTCCCGCATGGTCCCGCTGGCCGCTTGTAGACCCGCCCAGTGGACATCAAAGGGGTCCCTAGCCAGCTTGTTGGCACCGACCCCATGCATCAGCTGCTGTACCATGCTGATGAGCTCTGGCCGCCTCATGTGCTCCTCGTAGCTGAAATCGTAGACCAACTTGGGACCAAACTTCATCCCCGCGGCAAGGTGCCAGTTGTCAAACTGAAGCACGCTCTGCGGCTGGAGCTGCAAGAAGAGTCTGTTCTTCATCGGCGCGTCCAGGTCTTCCTCCACCTTGGGCTCTTCTGATTCCCTCTCTTCTCTTGCCAGTCTCCGCTTCTCCCGATCCTTCAACCGCAGCATCTCCTTCTTGAAGAGGAACGCCAGGAACCGTTTGCGGGACTTCTTGGAGTTGAGAGTGCTGAAATAGTCCAAGTCAAATTCGTTGATGTATTCTGGAACGTTAGATCCTGCGCTCCGCATCACCTCAAGTTCCAACCTTGCTGCCGTGACACGAGCTGGTTCATCAGTTCCGCCACCTTCCATCTTCGTCTCACCATCCTCCCTACTTTTTTCTTCTTCTGATCTCATGCCATCATCTGGCTCTGAATGACTTACAGTGCTGCATTTACACACAAGCGTTGTACTCCTATGCAGATGTTGCTTCGCTAAATATGGAACATTTCCTGTATGTGACTTTTGCAGGGACGGAGAATGTAGGAAATTCCGATGACATAAGTTTAACTGCTTTGTTAAGTTCCTGTCGATGCCCTTGCCAGCAGAAGATAAACATCGTGGCCCGGCAAGATATCTGCAGCTCCGTAACCATGGGAACATCTTTGATTTGGACGATCTTTGCACTTGAGCAATCCTATTCCTGTATGAAATAAAAGACACATGATAAATATTGGCACACATACAAGGATATTGTGAACTATGTCAAATGGCAATCGGTATCCAATCCATCCTCATACCCCCCCCCGTCCCCCCCCCCCCCCCCCCCATGCCCCAGCACTTTTGTGACTGCACAATTCCAAGAAAGTAGAGGCATTACTTTAAAGTTTTTAGTTATGACAAATATCCCCAAAAAAGTCAGTCGTAATTTCTGTTTAAAAAATCTTAATATTATACGCCTATAAGAAGAGTAATCAGACTTTAAGAGAAAATAGTTACCCTTTATTAATACCGACTAGCTGTACGCATGTTTATGTTGTGCACGTGTTTTTCACTGAAGCAAACACGGGTACCATTATCATGCACATCCGAACGTTCAAACAAGATTACTGCCGAGTACCAGCGCGCTGCAGCGTTGTGAAGTTTGTCAATAGAGGGAGTGCTCCACAAATAACGGTGTACATCGGCTTGGCTGCCGTGGTACGCTGCCGTTCCCCCATAAAACAGCGAGTTATACCTTGGAATTTTGTTTACCAATTTCATCAAAACGTTGGTTTTTTTTCTTTTCTATATTTTGAATGCTTTCTCCTTCAAAGTTTATGTACATATAAACATATAAACATAAATAGAAAGTTTATAGCCCCCCCCCCCAGTCTATACAAAAATACAGAAAGCAATGTTCATTCAAACTTCAAGTTACACAAAATGGTTTATTTCTCTATGGTTGTTTATAATTTAACTCAACAAATGACACAACTGGCAGTATAACGGACAAGTTCACAGTACCAACATGAAATAAAATTTGAACATTTTGGGGTCTGAAATTTATATTGGTTGGGCTTATTTACTGAATGAACATTTTCATTTGACTCAGTCTAGAGTAACATGTAAGTTGCATAAAAAAATTGAAATACATGTATTTTTAAAGTTTAAGATGTATTCACAATTTTTAACTCTGCGCTATCAGGGAAGATGCCCCAAAACCTTGCAATGCCATCACAACAATTTTTAATGAAGATACTTTTAATGGGGAAAAAATGGGAGTAAAATCATGAGTTATTTTTAATTGGGGGCATTTGGGGCATTTTGTGCACTCTGACATTTTAGCATGGAATTCAAGGTATACAAAGAAAATGGCGACAACATGCTAATCTGCAATTTCAAAAGGCAGGAGGACTAACAACCATTAATTTAAGGGGGTTGTGGTGGGGATGGTAGGTGGGGTCAAAGGTGACAGGGGGGTATATTTTGTCATCCTCTTAAATGGCGTCATTTACATAGTCTTCCAAAAAAAGGTTTTGGCTGTAATAAAATAGTACCCGCTGATTGCAAAAAACTGTCCAGGGAAAACAGTATGGCTGAACAACTTATGCGTTGATCCTAGTCCATGACTAGGATCACAGATCCTTTACACAAGAATAAACGACTTATCTGAGCTTGTGCACAAAATGTACGGTACGGTTTGTCTAGGGGCGTGATATGCCGCGTCCGTGCATAGAACAACGCATAGAACATGTAGAATAATGCTCGCGTGCCACGATCCCCGACAGCTGGCACCCGACAGAAATTTGACCACTGAAAGACTACAGTCGTGCGTCGAGTCTCGTGCACACGCATGCACGACGTGCAAGTGCCATATAATACCTCTAACCAGAAATTTGGGGAAGTCGTTTATCCTTGTGTAGAGGATCCGTGCTAGGATTGAGATTTTTATTCTTTTCAACAAAGTAACAGAAAGATACTGCCCACTGTGCGGACTTCACATTAACTGGACGTTACAAATGATCTTGACTGGAACGCAGTACAACTCACTCACAAATATAGGCCCAATTTCAATCAGTTCATCTTCTGCTAAGCAAGAAATTGTGTTTAGCAAATTTATGTGCTTAGCATAAACCAAGTGGGAACCAGCCACAAGCAATACACACTGCATGACATTTTGGCTGGTAACTGTTTCTGCTAAGCAAATACTGTCCATGCTTAGCAAATTTTCTGTGCTTAAGAACTTTATAGAATTGGCCCTGTGTGTTTTTCTTTTTGGAGTGGGCAGAGGAAGGGGGAGTGGGAAGAGGAAGGGAGAGGATGTGACTATTTGACTTTCATCTTGCTTAGGAAGTTGTGTGGGCCATACGGCACGACGGGAGTTGGGCTTCTTTCGATCAGTTCGTCTTCTACGTTCTCTAGGGCCCACTTGTGACCGCAGATCTCCAAGGCTTCCCACTCAGCCTGCAATGAAGAAGTAAAGACATCAGAATCAGAGGACTCACTACACAGAACATCCAAGTAATCATGCATATTGGGTCTGGGAATCTCAAGGCTAGAGTTGGCTCCCAACTTGGAATGGGAGTTCCCAACTTGGAATGGGGATACCCAGCTTGGAATGGGAATTCCCAACTTGGAATGGGAATTCCTAACTTGGAATGGGAGTTCCCAACTTGGAATTGGAATTCCCAGCTCGGGAATTTGAATCCCCAACTTGGAATGGGAATCCCAACTTGGAATGGGAACCACAACTTGGCACAGGAATTCCCAATATGAAATTAGTAGTCTTAAAGGGAATATACATCATTTGCTTTTGCTGTAATTTTCAGAAATGGATGGAATTGGGGGGTTGGAAATATATAGCAAATATAGTTACACTGACTTTTTTGAGGTTTTGGGTTCGAAAATGCTATAAAAACCAAGAAAAACAATCATTTTCCTGTAGTCTGGTTCCCTGACTCCATATAAGAAGAAACAGAGCAGTTTACATACATTGGAGAATTGTAAGGTCAGGGAACCAGTCTAGCTGGCTTGTACCCGTTCATAGGTGTGTAATCGATTGCAAACAAGTGCGATGGTCATTTGGGCCAGTATTTGAAAAAAAGCCAGTATTTTCCAATGCCGATCGGCCGATCAGCGTTGGAAATTGATACAAAAATAACACTTTTCTTGAAAATGACAGTATACCAGGTGCCATGATTTTACAGGATGCTTTACACTGTCATTCACTAACAGTCCAGCAAGGTATTTCAAAATGATTTGGTAGTTTTATTTTTTGATGTTTGCAAATGTTGTATTTTCCCTTTAACCTGTAATGGGCATTCCAAACTTGAAATGGGAATCATGTACAGGAGTCCAATATCTGGGGAACCCTCTCCCTGTAGAAGCCATTTTCCAGTCCCCCCAAAATACATACCAGATGCTCCAAAACAAAAACTGCACGATAATTGGGCATTGGTGGTTTTAATATTTTTCCCTCCAAAAAGATGGCAGAAAATAATCTGCCAAACGATCCAAACTCCAATGCTGACAATTTGGACAGCACTGTACGTGATTGGCCCTTCCCTTTTTTGAACTGACCAATCAGGACTAACCTTGAATGCCTTCATGGGGTCAGGGTTCGCTCCCATTGGCTGGCTCATGCTCATCTGTTGCTGCATCAGGCGAGCCTGGTCCGCAGCTGAAAACAAGAACAAAGTCAAAGATTCTCTCAACTCTGTTCCAATTATTGGATCCGTCCACAGGATGAGAATTTGATGCAAGTCGCGAATCGAAAAGTTGATTTTTTTTACGGTAGCTACTTGACAGCTTGTTGCTAACAATAATTATGATTTTATAAGTATGGTACAGTAAATGGATCTGTTTGTTCTTATAACAAAACTAATCAGCAATAATTGCCACGAAGCCAGTTTTTAGCGCTATGGGCATGCTCGGACGGGATGGAACTCGTTAGGAAAACACGCCAGCACGCGTGGGAAAATTTGATCATAGTTTGCCGCCGGGATAGGGCCGCGATAGGTAACATGTAGCAATTTACGTTGTTCATTTCTCAACGTCATAAACTCAAATTATTACGGTATTTTGTTTACACAACAAAAATGAAATTCCTTCCTTCAACTTGTGTTGTATAGCATGTGGAAATTGTGATGACTATTTCTGTCCGACGTGTGCGGTACACAAATGTTTGTTCGAACGGGCGAATGGCCCATAAGAATATGCTTTTCATTGTAGGCCTCTACATTGTACCATGGACATGCACATCATGTATGCACTTCCAAACTTGAACCGAACCGATGTTTGGAGAAAAAATTCGAACCGCAACCAAACCAAACCGAACTTTGAGGATCAGTTGCAGCACTAGTGTTTTGTGGCCACTTGCGAGAGTTACATAGGAAAAGACACATTCGGTGCACACACTTGTTAAAGCTATAGTCAATCATTTGCAGCCATCCGAAAAGTAACTGGCGTAATTATTGTTGAAACACAAACTTGGTTGAAAGATAGTAAGGGAACTAAACTCCCTGTGAAATTATCCTTTCTGGCAAGCTGTCATTTTGAAGTAATCGACGAAAGAAAGCCTTTCCAACGGTGCGTCTTAAGACGCACCGTTAAAATTTTTTAAATTAGTAGTTCGTTTTGTTAATCGGCGAAGCGCGCGCAAGCATTGGCACAACGCACACTCGCACGCGGTTGCTATAATTCGTCGGATCAGTGCGCAACATCGCATATAGCTGCAATCGGCTCAGTGAGAACGCGTCTCGGACGCTGAATTCAGGCCCAATTCAAAACATGATTCAGCAACTTTTGATTTGAAATTGAGATCCTAGAATGCTGTTTTTCTCGGAATATACAGCTGAAGCTGAGCTGCAACTTCATCAGGTTAGTTGTTCAGTATCCTTCATTAGATTTTGAGCACTTTTGAGCACTTTTGTTGCTTCAAACGAACAAAATGCACAAATTACAAATGATGGACTATATCTTTAACAAAGTACAGATTGTACACAAAGAATTCAGTGTACACAAACAGGCTCATCATGTGAGCGCCGAGCGTTTGGCAGCAATGCATTGGAGTCTCCCCCAACCCTCTCCAGGAGCGAGGAGCTGCTAATGCACGGACTCCATTAACTCCATGGTGTACCCATTCATTACAGGCCTATAATGTCCTCACCGTTATTTTCTCCTAAGATTAACGAGTAGACGCTGCGTAGACCGAAGACATTCAGGAAGTACCAGCTGGCCGAGCTGACCCAGGAAGCGTCTAGCGAGGCCAGCTCCACGCCGCGTTGGAGCATGGGCTTGAAGCGTAGTGTCAACGGGAAAGGAACCTTAGCTGGGATGATAAACGCCAACAATTATCGGAAATATGCATTTTGCCCTTCGAAAAGTTAAGGTCCAAAGTGTGACATTTTCCCTTTCCCTGTTGCCTCTGGACTTTGTAATTTGTCATTCAAGTATCACTAAAACTCGCTTCAAACTATTTATTTGTTGGATGGGGAGTCTGCTTTACGTAATCACTCTTGGAGAAAGAAGGCATTTAGGAGTGCGTCCAGCATTAACGAACTCATCCATATCAGATGTAACAGGGAAAGGAAAAAAGTGGCCCCCAAATGTATAGAAAGACCCATTTCGTATTTCTCTTACCGCAATCTTTTTCAAAGACTTGAGTAAATTCTACAAAACTTTGCATGATAGACCGAAAAGAATTCATTATATTATTCTAAGCATGGTGATGACCAATTTTAGAACACACAAAAAAGCAGGTCATGTTTTTTTTTTGCGTAGGGAAGGGGTGGGGGAAACAATTGATAGGCGCATTACTTCTACTGAGCAAGCTTGTGATTCTTCTCAGCCTTTCGGACAACACTGAGAATTTGTGCTAATAAAATAATGATGGCGTAGGGCACATCCCAACATAAAGAGAATTTCAGATATTTAACAGAGTTCCCTTCACTCTGTTAAAATCATTTGAAACATACAGGGGAGTGGGAATATTTACTGTACGGTTCAATTCAACCATAGGGAGTCAGGTTGGTGCAGCCCTTCTTTCCTCGCCTTCCACCGCTGTGACCCGGGTTCGATTCCTGCCCTGGCCACATGTGGATTGGATTTTCAGTCCCTACCTGATTCTTTGGGTTTCCCCAAATCTCCTTCTCTAATTTTTTCCTCCCAACTCTAAAACTGTAATTTCTTCTCATTGTCTTCTCTCTACAGGTTTCTTCAGGCTCACGAGCTACAGGGTGCTTTTGACAAATCCTTGGTTTCATTACAATGTACCAGAAATAAATAATAATAACCAATATTTTTTTAGTGATAAAGATAAATATAATTTCCTTACTGATTACAAATCCTGAGAAGGTCCAGTTGATCCATCCTCCGATGACGATCATGGGCAGAATGTTGGTCAGATTACCCTTCAGCATGTCTGTCAACATTGATGGATCTAGATAAGGAGACAAAAAAGGTGTATGAAAAAAAAACGTAATTCCCTCTACAAAGAATCCTCCAAAAATCGAATTGTACACCTGTCACTTGGTGTACTCCATCTTTCAAAGTAATGGTGGTTTCGTTCTATCTCCCTCAATAATTGCAAAATAACTTCCCTTTTTGCATTTTTTTCTTATTAACCCTATGGCTAGACACTGGGCTCTTTCTGGGAGGGTGAGGTGAACCAATGGTAAGATTTCTGATTGAAATTTGGATCCGTACGAAGCAAACGCGGACTTTGACTGCTCACCTGCCATAGGATTCTGCGCAACTCCTTCTCTCTTCTGAGTCTTGAAGAAGCCGGATTCCTCGTTGTTGAAGAACTGCTTCCTCATGTTGAAGGACTTTGGCAGAAAAAAAACCACCAAATACATTAACCCTAACCGTCCCAAATCCTCCAAAATCCTTTTTGCAAATTGGAGGAATCTGCAGGATTGAGGTTACAGGGCAAAAGTGCATTGCTGATTTCAGAGTACGCACTGTGTCAAGGTCTTGGGCCGGACCTTGTGTTGTTTATGCTCAGCCGTGCATAAATTAAGTCCTTGATTTTACTTGACATCCTCCGCACTGCTCCAGGATGTCACTGCCACTGCCTCAGCCTATTGACAGTCATAGCCGGAGGATTTTGCAGGATTCAGGCAGTGGTCACCCCTCCATGGACCATATTCAAAAAATAACGGAGGAATTTGCAGGATTGAGGCTATATGCTAATTTTCCATGAGGCCAATAGGAGGATTTTGCAGGTTTGAGGCTACATCCTAGCAAAATGGCCCAGGGAGTTAGGGTTAAAATAAAAACCATACCCCTCCTCCATGAAAAACAACAAAAACAACTCACTTTTCACCTGTATCAGCAGATTAAAATGGTTTTTTTGGCAACTCTCACAGCTCTGTTAATCTCCCTTTTATTAAAATGCTTTGCATTGATGGAAATCACACAAGAAGCACAAACTGTTCAGTAGACGCGAAAAATAATTCCTATATGAACTTTACTGTTTTAATTGTGAAGCCCAAAATATTGCACCAAATGCAGCCTTACCACAAACATGACAAATTGGAATGAAAAACGTACACGCAGTCCGTTTAGTATTAAATATTGACCCTAACACGTAATTCCCTAGGCATTTTTGCTAGGATGTAACCTCAATCCTGCAAAATCCTCCAAATGCCTACGTATGATAATAGCATGTAGCCTCAACCCTGCATAATCCTTCGTTATTTCTTGAATGAGGTTCTTTGCGGGGTGACCACTGCCTCAATCCTGCAAAATCCTCCAGCAGTTACTGTCAATGTGTTGAGGCAGAGCCAGTGACATCCTGGAGCAGTGTGGAGGATTTCAAGTATAATATAGGCCTAAATTTATGCTCGGCTGAGCATAAACAACACAAGGTCCGGTCCAAGACCTCGACACAGTGCATCGTCTGAAATCAGCAACACACTTTTGCAATGCAGCCTCAATCCTGCAAAATCCTCCATTTTTCAAAGAGGATTTTGGAAGATTTGGTAAGGTTAAGTTTAACCAATGGCCATGTCATCTACATGAAATCATTATTCCCAGTCCACGCTGCCTATTTAAAATCAAACATTTTATTTGTATTGTATAATGTTTTATAATTGTTTCCACTTGTTTTACCTGTCTAGGTATAAACTTTCCATTTTCTCTTAGCAGTCTGCTCTTCACCAAAGCTTGGCTGAAATAAAATTTGAAAAATAGGCATTAAATAAGCATTTAATAAGACTGTCACGCCCCAACTATCGCATTGGTCCCAACTATAGTTGGGCCTGTCCTAACTATAGTTGGGCCTGTCCCAACTGTAGTTCCACAGTTGGGCTGGCCCAACTATAGTTGGGCCTGTCCCAACTATAGTTGGGACGGTCCCAACTGTAAGTTCCATTGTTGGGCTGGCCCATCTATAGTTGGGCCACTCCGATCTTTTTATTTTGCGGTGTCCCAACTATAGTTTACATTGATGTACAACCATAAAACGTTCCCTACAGCTCTGATACACGTCTGACTTTACTGGGGACCACTGAAATTAGCTATTGATGGGGCGAATCTATAGTTGGGCCACCCCAATCTTTTTATTTTGCGGTCCCAACTATAGTGTACATTGTTGTACGATTATAAAACATTCCCTACAACTCTAATACACATCTGACTTTACTGGGGACCAATGAAATGATCTATGGGTGGGGACCATCTGTAGTTGGGCCACCGCGATATTTTTATTTTGCGGTCCCAACTATAGTTTACATTGATGTACGACTACGACTATAAAACATTCTCTATACAGCTCTGCTTACATGTCCGACTTGGGACCTTTGACATTAGCTATGGGTGGGGCCCATCTATAGTTGGCCGGCCATGGCAAGCTTTGAATTTTGCAAAATGTTGCTGGATAATAAAACCCAGCAGCTGGACAACTCATCCAACTAGGCAGTACCACGTGACCGGCCAGCCTTGCGGCATGCATGCACGACGAATACACGGTGCCAGCGCCGCGGAACATTTAATCCAACAAGATCTATCAAGCATGAAGCATCCGGCGCAACTCCAGTCCTAACTATAGTTGGGCCGACCCAACTGCTGCACTATAGTTGGGACAGTCCCAACTATAGTTGGGACCGATGCGATAGTTGGGGCGTGACAAGACTACTGAGGTACAATTTATACTACAGCCTACAGGGTGAGTAAAAGAAACTGCAATAATGCAAATGAACAATCTTTTTTTTTTAAACCAAGCTTTCAACTTTTTAAACCTTGTAAGAATGACATGAAAAAATGTTGCAACCTGACCCCACTTCCGCGATTGTGTACAAAGTCTATGAAGAGTCAAGAACAATTTTCAAAGTATTTCCTAACAAATTTGGAAATGTTTCTCAGTCCCAGATTCATGGCTTATATTCATTTTTGCAATGAATGACCTTCATTGGGATGATAATATGAAGAAAAAAGTGGCGTCAGGTTGCAACATTTTTTCCGAATGACATGTTCATAAGTAACCTTGTGTGAAAAATAAGGAAGGAAAAAACATTGCAACCTGACGTCACTTTTTTCTTCATATATCATCTCAATGAAGGTCAGTCATTGCAAAAATTATGATAAGACATGAATCTGGGACTGAGAAACATTTCCAATTTTGTAAGGAAATACTTAGAAAATTGTCCTGACTCTCCAATTCCATAGACTTTGTACACAATCGCGGAAGTGGCGTCAGGTTGCAACATTTTTTCCAAAAAGAAGTTAATCACATTTAGGCCTACCCTTTGTCTTTTGTTAACCTTTTTGCATTTTGCAGCGCGGTGTCCGATTTATGTTTTTGTCCACGAGGCGCCTAAAAATCGCATAGACAAAATGTGCATCATCCAGACATGTAGTCCGAGTACTAGGCCTAGTACTAGGGCTAGGCCTATTACTAGGACCCTACGATTACGAATTGCCTTTTTTATCGCCCGACCATGGTGGTGGTTACTCCTAGAACTATGACTCTCTACGTGGAGCCTCAGTTCTAGGAGTAGGTGGTGGTTACTTGACGTGACGCTGTGTTGACGCTACTAACAGTATGTGTTGACGCTGTGTTGACGCTGTGTTGATGCCTAATATTACTACTAGTAATAATAGTATGACCGGGCGAAATGGCGATGAGCCAAAGTGAATAAGGGGCGAAGTGTCATGGGGCAGACTGAAAAATGGGGCGAATGTGACCGACACCCGCATTTCGGAAAGGTGGTGAAAAAAATGTGATTATATGTGTTACCCATCCGAAACTTGTTGCAGGCTAACTTTCTTCTGAGACGTTAGGAGTAAACTGACATAATGTCTGATGATTCCCACGAAGAATGTGATGAAAACGATGGGTAAAACAACCCAGAGTCGAATGTTCGGATCCAGCAAGAGTTCGGCCATTATTTTTTTGTTACCGACAATCCTGTTGAGGGCGCTGTTTATGCCGTACAGTCACTTTGCAAAGTGCCCTTTCTTGAACACGGCCCACTTTGCTATAATTTCGCTCTATACTACCCTTTTGCGTTGTTTCCACTTTGCTAAGTAAATGGGAAAAGAGAGGAAAGTTTAACGAATTTTTAAAAAAGAAATATTTCAAATGTCGATTCCAATTCGCCGGTCTATGAAGTACAGTTTTTGAAAAAGTCAGTGTAAGATGTGTTTTGAGTTTCTGTATGAAAAGGGTAATGTTTTCCATGTCTCTGAAAATGGTTCCAAAGCCGAGGTGCAACATTTGAAAATGTGAAAATATTCTGTCACCTAACTGCCAAGACGAGAATTTAAATGAGACTGCCATTCCCAACCCTAATTATAATGCGGCGCACGTCGCTTATGGGCGTCAAATTGGGGGACCGGGGGACATGTCCTCCCGCCCCGCCCCCCCCTTTAATTTTGAAGTTGGGGGTATCATATCATTTATTCCCCACCCATTTTTTCGTCTCCAAATAAGAACTGTAGCCTACATTTGATTCTATAGCTCAGAACTTGATTAAGAATGACCCCAAACTCGAAAATGATGTTTAAATGATGATCTCTATTAGTGGCCAGAAATTGCCTGAGATTACACTACAGAGCAATAGAAGCCAACATTTTCGGGGCCCTTTAATAAGCGGGCCCCGAACCCCATGCCGTATTGGCTACGCGCTTCGCGCTCGCATTACTTCTGATCAAAGTATGCCCCCCCCCCCCCACTTTTGAGAGGCAATATTATGCCCTTGTCATGGATTTCCCCTACTTCCTCTATTTGATGCAGTTTTTCCAAACCTCTTTGTTTGGCAGGCAAATTTATTTAGTTACTATAGTATGATAACTTAACCCTAAAAGGGCCGGGGGCGGAATCCGCCTCGCCCCCCCCCCCCCCATCATCTTTTTCCGCGATAGCTTTGAAAAAAAAATCGCGACCCGAGCTGTTATGACTTTTTAGCCTCGAGCCTTCAAGCACATCTTTTGATACCAAAAACATAAAAATCGGCCCACGGGTTGCCGCTCAGCGAAAAAAATTCCGGCGCTATGTGCTGTGAAAATTTTCCCATTTACGTCGTGTACTCGGAGCAGAATTACCATTACAATTACCGAGATCTTAGGGGGGGGGGGCGGAATCCGCCCCCCGGCTGAGAGATGGTCAAAATAACCCGGCCCCATAACTGTTGTTGAACCCTTATGAGCAATTTTAGTGTCATGAAATTTAGTCCGAAAGTCCAAATCGGAAATTGGCCACAAAAAGCTGTTATCATTAAAATCGGCAGACGGTGTTTTCTTGAACGTGGCACAATTCCCAAGTGAACATTAAAGAATTGTCTTCAAAGTTTACAAATTCTGATAAACCATAAGGCGAAGTAAAAAAAAAAACATGTTTAGCGTCCCCGCCCGCTTCCTTTTTAGAGGCCGCCTCCTTTTTTTTTTTTTTTTTTTTTTTTTTTTTTTAAAGACAAAAATTGATAAATTTTAACGATCTCTGACGAAAGAAATCATATTTTTAGACTTTTATACCGTGTATAAAGCTGTGGAAATAGTCAATGAGTCCAAGTGGTGGCCATTTTGAAAAAAGCTGGTAACCATCTTGAAAAATAGCCCGGCCGCGTTGTCTTGAAAAATGTGTCGGGCGGCCATTTTGAAAAGAATAAAAAAAAAGGGCCTCCTCCTTCCTTTTTGTCAGAGGCAGGACGCTAAACATGTTTTTTTTTATTTTGCCTAAATTTAATTTGTTACCTCCAATCACGTATACAACAACATAATATTTGCTATATTATTTTGGGGTGCATTTTAAAATGGTTCACAAGTCATGCGCAAAATGGATTAAATTGGAATTTCGTGCATTTAGTTTTCACGATGTGTAGCATGAGTGGTTTGAATGGCGTGAGAAACCGTGGAGCGATCAATATAATATGATCGTAACAATCTATAGTGTTTGAAACGTTCAAAATCCATGTTGACTTCCATTAGGGTTGTATTTGTTGCAAATAAAATCCTGTATTGTTACGGTCATTATAGCTTGATTAATTGACGTTTTTTCATGAAATGAAATCTGATGACGCCAAACATCATGACAATTGAGTGTACGAAAATTCTTTTTAATGTAAAGTGTATTTCTTGAGTTGTTGGCCCCACATCGGGTTTGGTGGTGGAGATCGAGACCACTGTAATAGAGGGCGCGCCACCGTGGTCTCAACAACGCATCAATAGGGATGTTGCACAAGTGAAGAAAAAGAACATCCTCGTTTCCGATGAACTACTCAAGAAATACAAAATGGATTAAATTGAAATTTCGTGCAATTAGTTTTCACGATGTGTAGCATGAGTGGTTTGAATGGCGTGAGAAACCAAGGAGGTATAAATATAATATGATCGTACTAATCTAGTGTTTGAAACGTTCAAAATCCTGTATTGTTACGGTCATAATAGCTTGATTAATTGACGTTTTTTCATGAAATGAAATCTGATGGTGCCAAACATCATGACAAATGAGTGTACGAAAATTCATTTTAATGTAACGTGTATTCAGTGGCGTAGCCAGGAATTTTCTAGTGGGGGTGTGGAAGGTAATTCTGTCCCCCGGTAAAACTGTCCGGGGGACAGAATTACCTAGGTAAAAGTGTCCTCCTCGGCCCGTTAATTCTGTCCCCCTCCAGGTAATTCTGTCCCCCAGGGTTTTTTGTCCCCCTCTTTTGAAACCCGGAAGGCCAGTTCTCTTGATTGTTTTTATGAATTCACTCTACAAAGTATACATTTTGGACTATTAGTCTGCCCTTCATGAATATAAAAATATTTAATTTGGTCTAATAGATGATATGTGAACACAACGTTTCGATTTGGAGTACGGTGAAATCTATCGCGATTCTACCGCGATAGGTCAATACAGCGGCGATGCATGGCGATGGCCCTCGTCTCATTGATACAACACCTACTTGGATTGGTCTGTGTTGCCATCAAAGCGCGTAACGACATTTGCTATTGGATGAATTTCCATTGTAATGGGAGACGCATATGTACACGTGATAATCACTGCCACATATCTTGCAGCATGTACTGGCGCGCGCGACGACACGCTGCTGCTCTGTGTAAAATGCATAGGGACACTTACCAGGGGGCACCGTTGGGCAGGGGGACAATTTTACCTGAGGGGGACAAATCTACCTAGGTAAAAGTGTCCCCCCGGACACATTTACCGGGTCACGAGCCGGTAAATGTGTCCGGGGGGGGGGGGGACACACACATTTACCAGGGGGACAGAATTACCTGTCACACCGGACACAAATTCAAGCTGTGCTGTTTCCTTACAATGGATCTTAAATATTTTAAGGGATTGTGCATGCATTGCATTGTGTCTAATTCAAGTTAAAACTGGTGTGCAAATTGTTTTTTTCTAAGTTTATCTTTGTGATGTTCCAGCCTTTAAAACATTGAGTTCTCTGCTTATGTGCACATGAAATTACAATTCACCACTGGTAAAACATTAAATGGCATGGATTTACATATACATTTTGGTACAACTGCCTTTTAATTCTCCATCACTGAGACACACTTGCGAGTGTCACCATGTTTACACTTCATTTTACAATGTAATTTACTATATACTCCAAATCAATGCACACACCTCATGATCTATAAATCACATGCACAATGGTTTTTTGTTTTGTTTTGTTTTTAGCTTAATCACTGTTTAAATGAGTTATTAAAAAATTCAGAAAGTACAGATCCACCACAATAGTGCAGCACAACGTTTTCAAATAGTAAATGAATAATCTCAAGTCTGGGCATACATACATAAATAATTCAGCTCTACCATAAAAAAAACAGCCAAGCTCCGATTGTAGCTGGATTTTCATACAAACAGGGACAGTATCTGCAATATGCAAGGTTTCCCTTTGTGAGATATATTTCCAAATTTGTCAATATATTTCGAGTCCACCGTAATCTCGGTGAAGTGGCTAAAAACAATCACAATAATCATCTCATTCGGCCCTCACAGGTACCCATTTACTCCTGGGTGGGGAGAAGCAAATTTAATTGTGACAAAGCGTCTTGCCCAAGGACAAACACACCCCAACCAAAGCTAAGACTCAAGCCCACGACCTGCAGTATTGCCCCACAGATCTTCGAGTTTGATGCTCCAAAACAAATAAACTTGTCCAGTACTTCAGGGATAAATAACTGTGCTTTGGATATTAGCTCAGGCAGTTTACATAAATGGCACTGGGCGCTAATAAATGTATACGGTGTTCAGGTTCAAGAAAGAAAAAAAAAAGCTAATAAAATATTTCAATACGAAAAACACTTGTTTGCAGTTGAGCAGCTAGGAAACGTATACACAAAATTCTGAATACATTGCAATCTAGTTTAGAAATTAAAAAAACAACACATTTGGTCTACAAAAATAAACATGGTCCTTTTTGAATAGTAATACAAAATATCAGGTTATTTTTTCAAATAACTTGTCAAAACCATTGTTAAAAAAAACCCAAGAAAATAACGATTTTCACATAATTATCTGTATTATGATTGTGATTCATCTATAGTAAATTATGTGACCTACAAAACATTAAGGTATGATACAATTTAGAAGTGACATTTTACAGCTTTTTGTAACAAAATGTACATCTCGTGTTAACAAAATACATAACAGACCAAAGCAAACTTGTTACCTAAATTAATACATTAAAAGTCCACTTGCAACCACAGAAATTGAAATGTGATGACTACCATAGAAAAATGAAATTATAAACTTTTGAAAAACTTGTCTGTACGTACACTGTATACATGACCAAAACAAAGCAGTTAAGGTACAAATTACATGAATTTAAAAATTCTTAAGACTGATTTATGCCAATATTCTGTAAAATCACCGAATCGTCAACATTTAAACACAAGTGACATATTAGCACTTAACATGAAGACAATTCTAAAAGTGCGATAAAGTTTACATAACAATATAAGTATTGCTTGTTATCGTCTTGCATTTTGAAAGTTTAGAGGACATTGCAACATGCACATTGAAACCTATGTGGAAAAAAAGGACACAGGCAAAGACCCCTAGCTTCTGAGATCTCATTGGTTGCGGTGTGCCATGGCAAAACATTCTGTTGTCTGATTGGCTAGTCGAGTCCATCACAAGTCCTCCAGTCCCAATTCAAGTCACCGGCTATTCAAATGAGCTTTGACAAAGGCATTCCTTTGTTATTGTTCATCCACTATTTCTTGTGACTGGACTTGTGATGGACTCGACTCCGTCCCTGGAAGTATGCACAAGCAAAGCTGCTGGAGCGCGCAGTTCCTATGTGTGCAGGAGCAAGTACATACAGTGAGATCTGGATAAGTCAAACCTCAAGGGAACAGGTTCAAAATGCGACTTAGGCAGAGTTTTGAGTTATTGGGCTGTATATCATTGTTATATTACTAAAGGGATTGGAATCTTTGTTTGACTTTGTTTTGAGTTATCAGAGTTTGACTTATCGAGATTTCACTGTATATGTACATGTATTTAAAGTTAACCTGTGTCAGAGTTCATCATGGCAAGAAGCTGTTTTTGCACTAACCGGTCTCAACTTGATATTTCTTTTTAGGCAGTGTACAGAATATATCCCCAAAGTCTATAAATTGTTCCGTTTCATCTTAAGTAGGGTCAGGGAACCAGACTACAAGAACATGGTTGGTTTTCTTGGATTTTCCAGCATCTCCGAACCCAAAACGTGAAGCAAATATTGTACATGCCCTTTAAGCATTATTTTACCCAGTGCTACTTTGTATCTGGACGTCTCACACTTAAGAAGTAAAACACTTTACATATTTCTCGACGGATACTTCTAAGACAAACCAGAAAATAATACTGAAACATATAGAATAGGCATAGCTGGTTCCCTAACGAGTGTAAGATATCCCTGGTAGGACAACAGCTGGTAACCATTGGCTCTCTAATATTGTCTTCATGCAAACATGAATACTGGATGCTAATTGGTCAGTGCCATAGCAACAGCAGTGGGATATTATCCTGTGTAGCACGATCCGTGTTCTACCGCGAGTTGTGAGCTTTCAAGTCGTCACATGCACTTTAACAATTGTTGACTGCTGTGATGTGTGATATGCCGTCTGTAACACCGGGGAACGCAGAGGGTGCTATATGTGACCTGCCACAGCATAATGAGGAATGACGCAGGAACGTCAACAGTGTCCTGCCAAGTTTAGCAAACCTCATTTCGAGAAAAACGGCTTCGAAAAAAAGACACGCATTGTGCCGCCAATGGCAGTGGATGGAAAACGTTTTTCAGTTTTTCCACTTTTTGGGGAATTTTTTCCCCAACAAAACTGCTTAGTGTGAATCTTGGATACCTTGGCTAATCAAAAATACAAAACAATCAATATCGACTTTGACATAATTTTTCTAGTCTATTCGACTTCATGCGTCATTTACTCAAAATAAAGTTTTGGGGGACATTCCTCATTTTGCCTCAGTAGGTCACATATGTGCCCCAAGGGGGTTAAACAACATATACCACATCATAGCAGTCAACAATTGTTTTGTTATATTGTGCCAATAAGTCAAAACAATAAATGGTTGAAACGTGCAATGCAAGAAATAAATTAAATCACTGCAGTCTAACCTTTGATAACTGCAGGCTTAATTCCTTCTGCTGGACTTGCACGCATTTCTCAGTCGCGAGCGCGCATACAGGTTCTACACGCGCGTGCGCAACGTGCATCGTATATGACGTTAACCACTGTATATGCATTTTTACAGATTGGACACGTGGCCGTTCTTGACCAATGAAATTACAGCATCCAAGCACACGATATAACAAGTTTTCATAGCACATCTACCGTTTAACAACATGTGCCTGCAGTGAATCGTATTAATTTGAAGACCAAGTTGCTAAGAAGCTTCTCCAATAAGCGATTTAAAAGTAGCTTAGATTCTTTGCGAGTTAAATTTGAATATCTGGTACTGTACTGCTGAGTTTGTCTTGTCTGGAAAAGTTGGAATGGTCAAAACTACAGATTCCGATGTTATATTTCTATGAGTGTGCTCGATTAGCTCACCCGGGTCGACATAGGTAAAGGTAGATGGGTTAGCCACAAGAGCACGGCTAATCGAATGCTCAAACATTCGCCATCATTGTCCTCACACGACGTCTGTAGTCATACCCATAGCTATTGACAAAACGCCCGTTTCGGACTCAGTCTTACTATGAGATCCACTGCTTTTTCAAAATAGCCTCCAAAAAGTTGCTATGAGATCAATAAATAATTATGTTTAGACTTCAAATACAGTTTATTAATAGGTCTACTTGAATTTTCCTGCTGTTCGGCCGCCATATTTGTCAGCTTCTTGGAAGGCATGACGCATGTGTGTGACGTATTTCTACCACTGCAATGCTCCACGAGCAGGGTTGTGGTGGCTGATCCGGGTGCGCCCGAGAATTATGTCAGAACTAATCAAACAGCGCGGGGCTAACCCGAGTCGACGTGGGTGATCTAATCGAACGCACAATTCAGGGCATAATCTTTCATAATTGCATATTTTATCAATGAGATGTGAATTACACAAATACACCACACCATTCCAAAACTGGAGGTTACTTGCATAAGGTTTGTTTCACGTCACAAAATATCCAGCAGCAGTGTATATGGGTTATGCGTATGATGTCATCAGTCCTATATAGAAATGCACAACATGACCTCACTGAGGTCAAATCTGGCATATCAGTTTACTTTAGGAAAACGGCTGTGCACACCCTCTCTTCTGGGGACTTCAAATTTGAATGCTAAAGTCCAAATAAAACTACATGTATTTGTCTCACAATAAACACTATTTTACAATTTTACAGAGCTTGCTGAGTAAGAGGATTTGAAAGGCATGATGGGAACCTAATGCATGATGGGAACCCAATGCATGATGGGAACCCAAGCATGTTGGGGGGTGCAGACCTGTAAATGGGTCCAGATTGCCTACGCGGGCCAAATCATAATTTTTGCACCCTCAATTTTTTTGCTATTATAGCATTTTGTGGGCCATGAACTTGAAGGTTTGTAAAAAAGATAGGTGGAAGCCATGCACTGGAGTGTGAATTCTCATGAATTTGCACCCTAAAATTGCTCGATTTTGCAATGGAGCGCAGGCATCATTTTTCAAAATGGCGATGGGCCACAGGATTACTTTTCGGGGTGATCATATTTGGTTGGAATTTTCTCCCAAAAGTTATCAGATAACGGAACAAAATTGTACAGAAAAATGAAAGAATATGAAATAAGCTTTTATTTGATGGTGTGTCAAACACCTTGGAGAGTGGCGAGTATTTTAAATAATTTTTGGAAGTACGCGTAACTATCACTGAAGTCTTTGGAGTCAATTTGCAGGTCTGCACCCTGGGAACTCGATGCATGATGGGAACCCAATGCATGATGGGAACCCAATGCATGTTGGGAACCCAATGCATGTTGGGAAAACAATGCATGTTGGGAACCCAATGCATGATGGGATCGAACCAAATGCATGATGGGAACCCAATGCATGATGGGAACCCAAGCTTGTTGGGCACTGCATGATGGGAACCCAATGCATGATGGGATCAAACCAAATGCATGATGGGAAGCCAATGCATGATGGGAACCTAATGCATAATGGGAACCTAATGCATGATAGGACAGATTGCGATGGGGACATTTTTACTTCTTCCTAGCTTGTTTGACGATGGGTAGCTCGGCACGTTCTCTGATTTCGTCAAAGCTGTAATCCTTTAGAAGTTTTCCATTCTCAAACACTGGTACAAGTAAGTCCTACAGGGAAAAAGACAAAACCCAGATTTTATGATACATGCTAAACAAACAAAATGGGGATAAGGCTTTAGTTTTGTAAATCCTAAAGGACAATTTCTGAATTACATGCATCTTTAAAGCAAATGATTACGCTAAAAATTTTCACTCTACATAATTAAGATGACCACAGACTATCTTTATATGGTAAGCTGGCTGACCATCAAATATCTTACACTGGAACTCAGTGGAAGATAAATGTGATGGGAAAATGCTCCTTTTATTTGGTTTCAACCAGTTACGGTCGTATTTTAAATCTCAGAGTCAAACACAGAGCAGGTTTCCATGGCAACTGCTTACCTTCTTTGGATCCCCCTTTCCTTCCTGGACCGTCACGTACTGATTGTCGTGAAGTTCTAGCGTAAGGCGACCCTTCTTGGAATTTTTCCCTGGATCTGTGATTGGTTGTTTGAAGATATTCCTCTGCCAAAATTAAAAAAAATACTGAATGGAATACAGACCAAGATTTGTTTTTTTCAAGTAAATCGCAAAAAGACACTAATAGGCATGTTAAAATATACATTTTGAACTTTAACAAAGAAATTGACTGGAGCGGGGTTTGAACGTGTGACCTCTGGATTGCCGCACTGGCGCTCTACCAACTGAGCTATCCAGCCCCATGTTGGTGGTTCCCCATTGCTAAAGCAACTTTTACGTAACAAAACATTCACAGCGAAATTCGTCGGAGTTGATATGTTTAAAGGGAATATACAACATTTGCAAACATCGAAAAATAAAACTACCAAGTTTTTAAGAAATACCTTACTAGGATGTTGGTAAATGACAGTCTAAAGCATCCTGTAAAATTATGGCACCTGGTGTGAAGTCATTTTCAAGAAAATGGTATTTTTGTATACATTTCCAACAGTGGTCGGCCAACCACCGTTGGAAAAACCTAACTATATTTCAACTACTGCTCCAAATTTACCCTTTTTCAGTCCAAATTTTGTTTGGTATTGGTAACATGTTCATGAACGGGTGCAGGCCAGCTAGACTGGTTCCCTTACCTTACAATTTTCTGGCAACTATAAATTGATCCATTTCATCTTTAGTGCAGTCAGGGAACCAGACTATTTGAACAATTTTGTTTTTCTTGCTTTTTCCAGCATTTTCGAACATAAAACTTCAAACATGTCAGTGTAACAATATTTGATATATTATACTAACCCCTCAAGTACTCCATTTCTGAAAATTACAGCAAAAGCCAATGATGTACATTCCCTTTAATCGTCAGAGTTTTGATATGACGTGACATCACAATTTTGCATTTGCGCCGAGTATGATTCGGCCTCAAGAGCCCCAAAGACTCAATGATAGAAACGACTCTTACCGCTTCCCCGTTGATGACGCACGAGCTGCACTTGAACGCGCATTTCTGCGTGTCGCGGTTGACCTTCTGCAGGAGGGCGCCCCCGCTGCCAAACACCAGATTCTCCGCGCTCCAGTTTCCCTTCCGCATGCGATTCAGGATCTTATCCAGCATCTCTGCGTTGATTCCATCTCCTTGGATGACCCTGACGTACTTAGGTAGTTCTTTGTAGCCTTTAGAGTTGGTGATGGTGCCGAAAGCTTCACCCAGAATGTTTAGAACCTAAAATACAAAGAAATCCACCAAGTTTGTACCAGTGTTGTTGTCAAGTTCAGCAGAAGTCCAGTTGAGAGTAAATCACAAGTCCCTTCACAAGCCGACTTGAGAATGGAGGACTTGTGTTGGAGTTGTGAGGACTTGTGGGGGCTTGTGAGGACTTGTGTGGACTTGTGAGGACTTGTGTGGACTTGTGAGGACCTGTGAGGACTTGTGTGGACTTGCGTGGAATTGTGTGGACTTGCGTGGACTTGTGAGGACCTGTGAGGACTTGTGTGGACTTGTGAGGACTTGGGTTGACTTCTCGTGAATTGTGTGGACTTTGAAGACTTGTGAGGACTTGTGTGGACTTGCGTGGAATTGTGTGGACTTGCGTGGACCTGTGAGGACTTGCGTGGACTTGTGAGGACCTGTGAGGACTTGTGTGGACTTGCGTGAGATTGTGTGGACTTGCATGGACTTGTGAGGACTTGTGTGGACTTGTGTGGACTTTTGAGGACTTGTGTGGACTTGTGAGGACTTGGGTTGACTTGTGTGGACTTTTGAGGACTTGTGTGGACTTGTGAGGACTTGGGTTGACTTCCCGTGACTTGTGTGAGCTTTGAAGACTTGTGAGGACTTGTGATGGACTTTGATTCAATGCTAGCTTACACTTAATTATAATTTCTCATTCCATTTTTATTTGTCTTATTTTCCATTTAAATTGGAACATGCTCATCACATCAAAAAATCTAATCAATTAACGTGAGCAAATAAAAAAGCGTAAGAAAACTAAGCACACATTCTCACAACTGCTTCTTTTAAGAACCAACATTTTCATCTGATTAAAGTCAATACACATGGTATCACTGCATTCCTTTCTCTCTTTAACGGATTTGTCATGTCAAGCTTCAAATGTTACTTCAGAAACAGCACACAGTAAAAAGACTCCCGCAACAGATAAACAGAGAGAGAGGGAGCAACCAAGAAGACAAACTCTTGAATGCATTTGCAGATCATGCCTGATGTTAACGCGAAAACGCTACAGATTTGTGCACATTCAGATATAAATAAGCCGTGCGTACTTCGCGCCATTCACGCGTAAACCAGTGCGCATCTACATGGTTATACAAGGAGCCGAAATGCACGGACTGACCTTTTCCACAATTTCTGGCGGGTCACCAGAGTCTGGCCGTATGACTAGCGTCCCGTTCCTGTTGACCACCTGGTCCTTCAGTTCCTGACCCCAGATTTTGGCGCAGGCGTTGAAGATGTCGAAGCTATCCGAGACCACTGCCACCAGGCCGTTGGGGAACTTGCTGAGCATGTTGGCGTAGGCATCCCGCTCACCTTCTCGGCCCCACGTTGTGATTGTGCTGAGTAAAACAACCAATATCCGTTACATGTGTGTACATATTCATTGTCAGGACCAAGCATTTATGTTTATCGCCAGAATTTTGTTCTAAAGTCCTAACAAGTCCTAACTAGTCCCCACAAGTCCTCACAAGTCCCCACAAGTCCTCACAAGTCCCCACAAGTCCTGACTAGTCCCCACAAGTCCTAACGAGACCTAACAAGTCCCCACAAGTCCTCACAAGTCCCACAGGTTCTAACAAGTCCCCACCAGTCCTCACTAGTCCCCACAAGTCCTAACAAGTCCCCACAAGTTCCACAGGTCCTAACAAGTCCCCACAAGTCCTCACAAGTCCCACAGGTCTTAACAAGTCCCCACAAGTCCTCACTAGTCCCCACAAGTCCTAGCATGTCCTCACAAGTCTTCACAAGTCCTCACAAGTCCTCCACTCTCAAGACAATTAATAAGCTATTCCAATCAACTGTGACAAAGGCATTCTTCTGTCATTCTTCATCCCCTGTTACTTCATGACTGGACTTGTGAAATGACTTGTGCTTTTCTATTGACAAGACTTGTAATGAACTCGACTACATGTACAAGACTGCAATACCTGTGTTCGGCTGCAGGGATAGAGAAGCCGGCCATATCACAGTTGTAATATTTCCTGGCAAAGACCAAGCTGGCTATGGTGTCCGTTCCCATGAAGTTGACCAAGTGACTACCACCTCCTATAGCTGCTGTCTGCAAGGAAAATCAGACAGAAAAACAGCTTTGAAATATAAGTCATTTTTAAACTGACTCCTGCAATTGGAACAAAGATACTGACAATTTGGGAGACCGCCAACATAGGGCAAGTTAGCTCAGTTGGCAGAGCACCGGTACGGTATTCCGGAGGTCGCAGGTTTGAGTCCCACTCCTGCCAGTTTTATTTGTTCACTTGGAAATGTATGCAAATTTGCCTAGTCAGTGTTTCTTGTGTTGTATTGATGTATTATCAGAATTAATTTCCAGGGCTGAAATTCGAACTTAAGATCCCTTACATAAAATACTTGAATTTGCGACAGAAACACACCTTGGAAATTCCTAGTTTTTGAGTAAAATCCATATATCTATTTCGTGATAACCTTGTGGAGACGTATTCACCTATGGAAATTGCCCTGTGGAGACGTACACAATTGTTTGTTCCCTATTATATGTCTCCACAGGGTACCATGCATCAGATCAGTATTTTTTACTGTACATCATTAGTTGAAGGTTATTAAAGATCCTGTTAAACACTCAACATTTTTCAGGCTGAGGTTATCACATATGCGCATATTTTTAAAAACTTTAATAAAAATGTTGAAAACACGGAAAAACATCTGCCATGGGAATATGACATCTGCCACTGTGAAAAGTATCATATTACCAATTTTTTGGGTCAAACTTTAATATAATTAATTAAGGTAATTAACACTGAGATATAGGTTCGTCTACAATAGGAAACATTTTTGTGTTGGCTTGCAATATGCAAATATTCAATACTGCAATCATTTTAAATCAATAAATCAATTTTTTTTGGTATTTTCTGAAATTTGTCACCTTGAAAAACAATGTTAATGTATTATAAAAACACATACATACACTATTTTATTCTAAAGTGATGAACAGATGTTTTCCAAATTAATATTTTGATTGGAAAAAACATGATACACTCGAACCATATTGGCATGAATAAGTGTACAGCACAACCATTCCATAATGTAAAGTGTGTCTCACTTCCTGCACAGAACGTGCAAGAAATAACATTGCATCATGTGGGGAATTCCCCTATTCTGTGCAATAACAGAATATTCCCAGCGATCACATTGCACACTGCCCTATCATTCCAATCTTTTTTCCCCATGTTCATGTGACCCTTCTTCCCATACAAATTCTAAAGGTTAGAAAATGTACTTCCGTGTTGAATTGTACAAGTCAACCTTATGTCTGGTCATGAGATTTTGTGACATTCAGTGAAGTATTTGAAGTAGAACCTGCAGCTACACCCATACGTTTGAACATTTTTTTGTACTCATACTCAGAGGGAAGTACTGATGTTCAACGCTCAGTACACTTATGCTGCATCCTCAAAATTGAAAGGCATATACGATCATTTGCATTTATCCTGAAAAGTACCCTACTCGGATTAAAGATCATTCTGGTGCTAAACACCCCATAGGATTAGTTAGTCTCGCTTGCTGTCATTTAAAGAAGAAATCAAGAAATTTTGGTGATTTCTAACGATCAGTCAATTGAGTAATTTTTGGAAATGCATGGATATAGATGAAATTGTGTTTCTTGGTCAAAAGGTTGAGCATGGTTTTTCACTGTTTTCTCTAAAAGTGCAATATATCCACTGAGCTGAAACTTCAAAAGGTTAGGTTTTGAATGTTCTTCTTCGGATTTTGAGTGCTGTTATTGGAAACAAACAAAATGCATGAAAAACAATGATCCCTTAGGCCTTTAACACAAACTTTAACACAGACTATGCGTCAAGAAATACTAAGACCCCTGACATGGAGGATTCCTCAGTATCGGTTCTACTCTTGTTTCAGGAAAATATATGATCTCAACCTATTATATCAAAAAATTTAAATGATTCTGGACTCTTTAGCCAGAGCTAAAGCCACAGCCAGAGACAAAACTGAGGAGTCATGACCTTTGACCTTTTAGGGGTCATGACCTTTGAAGTTTTGGTGTCATGACCTTTGACCCTGAGACTACATGTACTTACCTCCACCGATGCCACACCTCTGAAGCCAAAGTCATGAAGTTTGAATGGCAGGGAGTCCAGGTTGTCCGCCGTCTCGCTCAGGTGCCTGGCGATGATTGCCTTTTGGGCCCTTGAGTGGGTGGCGATGGTCATGGGGTACCATACCTGCACCATGATGGTCTGAAGGATGGAAATTGGAAGTAACAGATCAAATGATTCGCAAACAAATTTAATGAAAAAATCATAACATCCTTGAATTTAATATTGGTTGAATAAAGAAATGGAGTGGATGGTGATTTACATAAAGGGAGGGTAGATCATTTGTCATTTGTGTATTTGTTTCATTTGAAGCAACAAAGTGCTCAAAATGTAAAGAAGGGTGCTTTACTGATGAACTTTTAGCTCTGTGAATGCTGTAAATTCTGAGAAAACAATATTCTAGGATCAATATTCTAGGTTTCAATTCAAAAGTTGCTGAGTCTTGTTTTGAATTGTGCCCGAAATCAGCGTCCGGGACACGTTCTCATTCAGCCGATTGCCGCTACGCAATGTCACGCACTGAACTGACGAATAATAGCAACCGCGCATGCGTCTGCATCGTGTCAACGCTTTCGCGCGCACCCATTCACGGATTTGCCGAATTACAAACCAACTACTAACGGAAATTTCCAAAATTTGGAAATGGCCTTCTCTTATTGTTTCCTTCAAAATGACAGCATGCCAGAAAGAATAATTTCACAGGGAGTTTAGTGACATTACTATCTCTAAACCAAGTAAGCTTTTGAACAATAATTTTGTCAGTTACTTTTTGGATAGCTGCTAATGATCTTCTGTACCTTTAACCCTAATAGGGCCGGGTTATTTTGACCATTCCGCCCCCCCCCCCCAGATCTCGGCCATCGAGTGACGACAAAATTTTGAAACTCGGTACATGCATAGAGCAACTTATCATGAACATACCCGAGAAATTTCATGACTATAGGTCAAATGGTTTTGGAATTATGGCTAATTAATTATTCATATGTACGAATGGTAATTCTGCTCTGTGTACAAGACGTATGGGAAAATTAAGTTTTTACGGTGCGTACCTCTGGAACAAATTTTCGCGACCCGGGCTGTTATGACTTTTTTGGCCACGAGTCTTGTCCAGTTTTTATATTTTTGGTATCAAGGCCTTGCCCATCTTTTGATACCAAAAATATAAAAATTGGACAAGGCTCGAGGCCAAAAAAGTCATAACAGCTCCGGTCGTGAATAAATTTTGTTCAAGGCTATCGTGGAAAAAGTCGAGAGGGGGCAGATTTCTGCCCCCCCCCCCTGCCCTCTTAGGGTTAAATCTATGACCCCAGAATATACTACAGGCATTCAATCAACTGATCTGATAGGCCCATAAACTTGGCTGTGCAATGAAGCCAGGGACTAGGCCCAAAGTTATGACAGTAGCAATATTAGCGAAGCTGAAGACCTGGGAAATAGCGATCGGGGATCACTTGGACAGGATGTGGTTTAGCAATCAAAATCATCAAATCAACCACAAAGGGAAACTGACTAGGGTCACTCTCAATCAATACTAAGAAATGGACCGGAACAGGATTTGAATGGTGACCTGTAAAATCCTGTTACCTGTGCTCTACCTACAAAACGTCACGTATTCAGTTGGCTGAACAAAAAATTATCTGATTTCAAGAGGCCCTAGGAAATGCAATCAGTAACCGAGTGTTTTATATCAATCTGTGCAAACAACGCACATATGCACATGCGCTTCCGATTATTTTTTTTAGACTTAATAAGTTATGAAACCACACCTCTGCAGTTACGTTGCATTAAAGGTAACATACAACATCTGCAAACATCAAAACAGCAAACTACCAAATTTTTATGAAATACTTCACTTGACTGTAAGTGAATAATAGTCTCAACCATATTGTGAAATCATGGCACCTGGTGTGCTGTCATTTCCCAGAAAAGTGGAATTTTGTATCGATTTCCAGAGATGGTCGGCTGACCATCGTTGGAAAAAAAAATATGAAAATTTACAAATACTGCCCCCCAGTTTACCAAATTTAGTTATTTAACATTTTGTATGCAATCGGTAACACATCCATGAATGGGTGAAAGCAGCTAGTCCGATTCCTTGACAGACAATTCCCCGACGTCTATTGCCTGGTTTTGTCTGAAGTAGGTCAGGGAACCAAGCTACAAGAACAGCATTTTTTCCTTTTTATTTCCTAGCATCTATGAATACAAAACTTTAAACAGGTTATTCTATACAATATTGCTATAAAATAACAAACTCAATTCCATCCATTTCTGAAAATTACAGCAAAAGCAAATGTTGTATATTCCCTTCAAACTCACTGCTGAAATTCCTCTCCAAGCAATTTCAATATGTTCTACAAACCAGGCACATTCGTGTAAAAGGACTACGCCTAGGATGCGTCCGAAAGTATTTTACACAAGGGAATGAGGAGTTAGCGCTGTAGTAATTTAATATAGTTAACTTAGCTAATAATTTGTATCACATACCTCAAACCAGTTTGTCAGCCATGGTACATTAGGGTCCGTGTTCTCCACGGTAAACAGAACATTTCTCGTCGGCACCACCGTTCCCTCTGGAACAGCCTTGATGAGCAGGGGTAGATGGCCGTTGTGTTTCTGTCAAAGAAAAGACAAGTTAATAAATTAGCACCTGTACTACATTGTATTACATTGTGTTTATTCACTGATGAATGCCATAACACCATAGAACGCGCAGGCGGTTTCGGACAGTACCGTGAGTAATAGGCAGGGGGGTTTGGGGCAGTACAGTGGTTAACCCTCCTAGGCAAACATACATTCTGTGCCAAGTTCTCATTTCATTCAAATCAATCAAGTGACAGTTTCTACAGTTAAGAGCTCCCAGCCTACATAAAGAAAGACTGACTGGCTCAGACTGTTTATGTAACTCGATACAGCTTTGCGTTGGCTGTGGGTAATTGATAAGCCAGCTGTGCCCACTACGTTCCTGCTTTGTGTGTTCATGGTCTGTTGACTGAGTTTGACTAGTCACAGTGCTTGCTTGACGTATGTTCTGACTGCTGGTGACTAGCCTGTGTTTATATTATAGCAGGGGAAGTGGAAGGAAATTTTGACTGTCTGTGGCTGTTTAAATACCAGGAGGGTTAATAGGTTAACTGTATAAACTTTGCCACATCACACAGCCACTAATTTCCAGCACTGTGTTAGATTTTGGAGATTCATGGATGGTTTTTAAGTTTAAATAGAATTATCATGGAAGCTCACTTCAAGGATGTACGTCCATCCCTCCTCGTTGAATACATCTTGGCCAAAGTGCATCTTGTAGAGTGCTTTGGCTTCAGCGATGTGCTCCTTAGTGATGACCGTACCTAGTAGCCATCTCTTAATGATGTACTGTAAGCCGAAGAAGACGGTCTCCGGATAAACGCCTCCTCGACTCTCAAAGTAGGAGTAGACGGTTGTTGTCCCTTCTGGATACTGGAAGTGATGGGTCACCTATGAAGTACATGTAAAAATGCAATATTACCAAAAATGTTTCTTGTATGTGCTAGTGTAACTACCGTGGCCCATTTTCTAAGTTCTGCTAACCGCAGAATTCCGCCCTTATGATTATTGATCTCCATTAGTAAGACTGGATAGGACACAGCGCCCTCTATCTTGTGCACGCACGCGTAGTCATTGGTGAGGGTTTGAAAGTTTGAAATGCGTTCGTCACACACAGACCATGCAGCACGCGCACGTCACGCATGCACGGTCGCAAACGTTAAACCCGCACTGTACCGTACTACCCAGCTGTTTGTGTCCGCGTTTTCCGAATCTTCACTGCGCGAAAGTATACGCGTGTCCTATCCAGTCTTACTAATGGAGATCAATGCTTATGATCACCATTTTGCGCTAACAGCGCCAGCAGAAATATTCTGTGCTAAAGCTGTAAGCACAGAATCCTTAGTTACAGAATGAACACTTGCGCAGAAGCCAAATTCCTCGCTAACCCGTGAAATACGCTTACCGTCAGCATGGAATTTTCTGCTATAGTAAGCGATGATTTTTCAGTGTGCAGAGCAATGAAGTTGGGCCCTGTTCTTTGTAAAGCAAGAACTGTTTGTGAGATAGTGAACAGGCTTTGCATTCACTATGTGGACCTGTGAACAAAAGAAGTCCATACAATGCAGGGGTTTGCATGTGGACTTGCACAGGACCACACAGTGTTTTCCACATTCTGAAGAACAGAGTTAGAGGCATATTGGGTTAGGGACATCCATGGCAAAATGAAGTAGAAGATTGATGGTAATCAAGGCCAACTTTTCTCTTTCAAAAAGTTTTTCCAGTGCAAATGGCAACGATTTTAAACATGTTATTTCTTAACTACACAAGAACAAAGGAATGTCCAACGAGTTGAGCGCCCGGCGATGCTGCCTCACCTGCAGGGCAGGAGGCCTCCTGGATTATAATAAACAAACAATAAAATGTTGCAAACTCTCACCTTATACGAGTCAGTGCAGAATAAGGGGTTCTCCACCGCAGGCGTGTGCGCCATTTCAACTTTTATGCGTTTCACTAGAAATTTAACAGAATAGAAAAATGAAATATCAAAGGTACTACTCAACACTCTTGCAGTCATCAATTTTTGTAAGCTGTACATTTTGTTTTTTATTAAAACTTCTGGATATGAAATCCCACAGGCGTATTCAGATACTTTGATACAAGAAAATAGAATCTGCCTGAAAAATCTCAAATTATGCACTAACAATAAACTAATGGCTCATTCTTAGTGCATACAAAAGTTGGGACAACCAGTGCCATTTTAACAGTGCGTAGTTGCGAATGACTGTACGCTTGTTTTGTACAGTCTTGAGTCAATCAAAACACTACAAAGTCAGCTTCTAGCTTTGGTTGATTTTTTTTTGGGGGGGGGGGAGGGGGCTGGTCATCCTTACTCGCAGCTGAGAAGCTGAATTGCGAAGGATGCAGCTGAAGGCATATAAAAGCTCCTTAGGCTACCGCCATATGACCCATGGTCTGACCACAGAGCACAGCCAGAGATCGAAAGTGTTGATTTTTGCAGGAGGGAGGAGAACCGGAGAGCCCAGAGAAAAATCCTCGCGGCACAGGAGAGAACCAAATCACCTACAAATCACATCTCTACTCACATACGGTCCAAGCCTTGAATCGAACCCGGGCCACAGTGGTGAGAGACGAGCACTTTACGCACTAGCCACCAAAGCCAAGATACATCACTTTGTGGTTATTTTTGGCACAGAATCAGTGCTCAAACTCAAATGTTAGAAGGAGTGGAATTTGTTGTTTCAAGGCCAAACGCCACAAATCAGGCCAAGGATCAGATCGGTCTAGCGATACATTCCACGCCTTGTACAGTTGTGACCTTGGTTAGAATCCTGCCCGGTGCAAACCAGATTTTGTGTTTTTTTCCCCTTTAAAGAATAACATTCTACAGTTTTCTTTTATACTTAAACTTAAATTTCCTGTCACATCTTCTACCAAGGTACCTAGTGTGCTATTCCAGCTCAATGGTACATGTACAATAAATCAATCAACAGTTTTGCCTTTAACCCTTTAGTCAATGTAGCGCCTCAAACCGCCCTGTACTTACTCACTATGGTTTTATTGATTTTTCAGTGAATAAATACAATGTAATACAATGAACTCCAGGGGCTATTGGTTTAACCCTCCTATTGTTTGATCAGTCACAGACAGTCAAACATTTCTTCCATTTCCCCTGCCATGCATTTGTATACAGACTAGTAAAAACCAGTCAGATCACATTCAAAACACTGTGACTAGTCAAATTCCATCAACATACAAAAGAGGTAACTGGTAGTGGTACATGTACAGCTGGCATATCAATCACCTCCAGTCAAGGTATGGCTAGATCAAATTAACAAGGGAATTCTTAACTAAGGAATTTTTTTAAACAGTCACTTGATTGATTTTGACTGCTGTGATGGCATATATAGCTAAATTTGCCACCCAAAGAGGGAGGGCACATAAATATAGATGTTGGCCATTAACACAAGCACAATACTGTACCTGTACATACGACATCAGCAGTACCATACAAATGATATCAAAACATTAAAAGGGAATGTACATCATTTACTTTTGCTGTAATTTTCAGAAATGAACTATTTGAGGGGTTTATACATCAAATACTGTTACACTGACATGTTTGAAGTTATGTGTTCGAAAATGCTGGAAAAACCAAGCTGGTCTAGCTGGCCTGCACCCGTTCATGAACATGTAACCAATAGCAAACAAAATTTGGACTGAAAAAAATGGTAAATTTGGAGCAGTAGTTGAAGAATAGTTAGTTTTTCCAACGGTGGTCCGCTGACCACCGTTGGAAATGTATACAAAAATACAATTTTCTTGAAAATGACTTCACACCAGGTGCCATAATTTTACAGGATGCTTTAGATTGTCATTTACCAACATCCTAGTAAGGTATTTCGTAAAAACTTGGTTGTTTTATTTTTTGATGTTTGCAAATGTTGTTTATTCCCTTTAAGGTGATACAACATTAATAGCTTTTGCTGTAATATTCAGAAATTGGATGGATCTTGACTTCAATCAAAACAATGATTTTGGGTATTTATTTTTTCAAAAATAAGATTTATACAAAAAAGTGGGTTTAAAAAAAAAATCTTAAAATAGTATTTCTTTAAGACAAGATTTTTTTTTTCTGTTTTGGCACCCCTATGTACATTTTTCAAGATTGTTGCTTACAATGACATTATACACTTGAAAACAAATTGCCAAATTCGTAGACCTGTAGGCCCCTATCTCAAAAACTATGAAAACTATTAGCCTGAGTAACTTGCGCCCTACTTATCGCCTTTTTAACATTTAGACAAAAAGGCGATAAGGCCAAAAAAAAAAAATCAGTTCTGCATCCGGTTTCCCTACCTACCCTATTCTGACAGCCCCTACCCTATTTTTTTTGGGGGGGGGGGGGGGGGGTTATGAGACAAAAACACCCCAAACCATCAATTTCTACCTTTTAGTTTTACCCTTGACTACACGCAGACGCTTAGTACACACACAAAAAATTTGCCCCCCCCAAAAAAAATTCCTACCTACCTACCGGTACCCTATTTTCAAATTCCATGTAGTCGGAAACATTTCATAGGCGCATAAGTGGAACTAGGAAAAGTGACATCCCACGGTACTTTTGATGTCGCAGTGGAAAATTATTTTGTAGCCTAGGTAGGCCCTATCTGATATCTCCCTTATTCAAGGTAAACTTGGTAAAAAAATGTTGCAACCTGACGCCACTTCCGCGATTGTGTACAAAGTCTATGGAGAGTCAAGAACATTTTTAAAGTATTTCCTAACTATAACAAAATTGGAAATGTTTTTTCAGTCCCAGATTCATGTCTTATCATCATTTTTGCAATGACTGACCTTCAATTTTCATTGACATTGAGATGATATATATGAAGGAAAAAGTGGCGTCAGGTTGCTACATTTTTTTCCATAAACTATTTTAACCAATCATCACTTGAATTCGTGGATTAGTTGAGCCGAAAGCTGACTGAACAATGATTGCGATCCGGAACTAAGAAAACGACTGGGCTGCTATGAACCGATGCGGTGGACGTGTGTATGTGCACGAAATTGTGCGCAATTCACAGTGTACAGCTAGTGCACCCGGCCCCGTGCAATAGGCCAATGCACCGGTCACAGCTCGTCCAGTGAAATTTGGACCGCTTGGCATAGATAACTTACCGGGCCGATCTGAAAATGCCATCATTGTGTATGATGATTGCAAACAGTGGTATCTAAAGTCGATCTGCTGTCTACTTACCTGCGTGTGGTCTTTATATAAAGCAGATAACCGACGAATGTCAGCAGGCTTGCAAGGCCGTGTCCGTAACAAGCGTGGACTTGAACGTGAGTCATTCGCGCGGCGGCGCGGCACGTATGCACTGGTATGGGTGACCAGATGAAGATCGCAAAATTCTGCTAGATGCGTTTCAAAATTCTGCTAGATTTAACAATGTGCTAAATCACCCAGAATTACACGAAACACATTATAAACACTTATCATGCTTATACTCATATGCAAATGTTCAAAATACAGAATTTCCTCAAAAAAATTAAAATTTTCAAATTGTAAAAAAATCACCAGAATAATATTGTGCAAGCGCTACAATTTTCATTCTGCTAGATTCTCTGCTAGATTCGTTTTTTTTTCCTCCCCCCCCCCCCCCCCAGTCAGATCTGGCAGAAAATCTGCTAAAACGGTCATTACAAACACTGTGCACACATACAGTAAATAGAGGGCGCTTCGTGAGGCCCCTCTTTTTCACCGATATGCAGCAGTGCTCTTTCTTTTTTCATTTTTTCGGCTTGGGACCGCTCATATTTTACGCACTGCAAAGTTACTGATTATGCGCCGAATATTAATTTCTTTCCCCCAGCCCTCACCGGGCTAGCACACCGAAGATGTGGGGATTGTCACTTTTGAAGTGACAAACTCTCCACCTTTCGGTCAAAATTTAAGTGGCAGTGCTTATTCCTCCATGGTCCGACATAATATGGCCAGGGCCCAATTTCATAGCGTTGCTTAACAGTAAGCAGAAAAGTTGTGCTTACTATAGCAGAAAATCATGCTGCTGCTTAAGCACTATTTCATGCTAACGGTTGCGCGCGCATGGAGATTTCTTTTGTTACGTCACTGATTTAAGCAAAGATTTCTTCTGGGGTTAAGCGTGCTTTTGCTGTGCTTACTGCTTAACGGTCCCTATGAAATAGATGGAGGCTCGGTAAGCACAAAGTCGGCTGTTAAGCAGCGCTATGAAATTGGGCCCTGCAGCTGGGCCCAATTTCATAGAGCTGCTTAAGCAGAAAATTTGCTTAAGCACGAAAAAACATTGCTTAGCAAAACTAGGTTACCGGCCAAAACTCCATGGCCCAATTTCATATAGCACTGCTTAACAGTAAGCAGAACAGTTGTGCTTACTATAGCAGAAAATCATGCTGCTGCTTAAGCACTATTTCATGCCGTGAACGTGCTAACGGTTGTGCGCGCGTGGAGATTCTATTGTTACGTCACTGATTTAAGCAAAGTTTTCTTCTGGGGTTAAGTGTGCTTTTGCTGTGCTTACTGCTTAACGGTCCCTATGAAATAGATTGAGGCTCGTTAAGCACAAAGTCGGCGCTGTTAAGCAGCGCTATGAAATTGGGCCCATGTGATGTACATTGCTTGTGACCGGTATTTAGCTGTTGTTTACTTAGCATAACAATCACATGGAGTTTTGGCTGGTAACCTGATTTTATTAAGCAAGACATTTTTGTGCTTAAGCAAATTTTGTGCTTAAGCAGCTCTATGAAATTGGCCCCAGCTGGCTGGGTGTGGGGCCGGTGTGGCAGGTAATTCTGTCCCCCGGTAAAAGTGTCCTCCCTGGACCGTTAATTCTGTCCCCCTCCAGGTAATTCTGTCCCTCCACCCCCCCCCCCCCCCCGGTAATTCTGTCCCCTCTTTTAAAACCCGGAAAGTTATTGTTTGATGAATTCACTCTACAAGGTATACATTTTGGACTTTTAGTCTGCCCTTTATGAATATAAAAATATTTAATTTAGTCTATTAGATGATACGTGAGCACAATGTTTCGATTCGGAGTACGGTGATTAAGAGTCTATCGCAATTCTACCGCGATAGTTCAACACAGCGGCGATGCATGGCGATGGCCCTCGTCAGTATGATACAACGTCTACTTGGATTGGTCTGTGTTCCCATCATAGGGCGTAACGAAATTTCCTATTGGACGAATTTCCATTGTAGAGGGAAACGCATATGTACACATGTGATAATCACTACCTCAAATCTTGCAGCATGCACTGGCGCGTGCGACACGCTGCTGCTCTCATTACATACTGTATGGGGGCACATTTACCAGGGGGTCACTTTCACCGTTGTTGGGCAGGGGGACATTTTTACCTGGAGGGGGACAATTTACCTAGGTAAAAGTGTCCCCCCGGACACATTTACCGGGCCACGATCCGGTAAATGTGTCCGGGGGGGGGGCACATTATTTACCAGGGGGGGACAGAATTACCTGCCACACCGGTTTGGACACTTTTGGAACGCAATGCCATAGTTAGTTAAGTTGTAGAGGGGACAGAGGGCGCCCTTTCAATATTGCGGTATCAAATTTTAGCTGATTGAAATGCAATAGAAGAACTTGTAGCTAGTCTAGTAATCAGCTGCATCGCCTGCCTGGCAACTCGTCAAAACAACCCACAACATTTTCTGAAGATTCGGCGGCGCAGCACGCGTGGTAATTCGACAGAACAATCATTACAGATGCAAACATCCGGAGGGCAAGATCATCTTTGTATTAATCCTGAGATTTACTGCAAAAAGATTCAAGGAACATCAGTCAGAAGTAACTCTTCAGGTAAATGAATGCGAGTGACATTGTTCATGATCGTGCGTGCGTCATGCAGAAAAGAAAAATCATTTTGGATGCGTGCTACTGCTATTTATTTAGTGCTAACAATAACTTTTTGGAAAGAATGTTGCATCCTGACGCCACTTCAGCGGTTGTGTACAAAGTCTATGGAGAGTCGAGACATTTTAGAAGTATTTCCTAACAAAATTGGAAACGTTTCTCAGTCCCAGATTCATGTCTTATCAACGTTTTTTTGATATATGAAGAAAAGTGTCGGGTTGCAACATTCTTTCCCCCTTTTTTTTTTTTTTTTTTTTTTTACAGAAAACCTAGCTGGAGTTACCCAGCCCTGAGTTTTATCATTGGGTTGTCTATAAGGGCTGGAGCGAATTTTTCTCGTAACTTGTAGTATTTGCAAAAAAATTTGGAAAATGTTCAATTTTGTCCCCGTTACACACTAATTGCAACTGCAACTCACCCCAAACTTGCCTGGAATAACCATTACACAGGTCCTTGAAGTAAAAAACGATCCACGATGAAGATTCAGCCTACAATTGCAGTGAAAACAGGAGGAATAACCGCTAACCTGACAACCTTTCAGGCATGGCCAGGACTGCTATTGGTTTGTGCACAAAAAAAATTGTGTACAATGAATGGCGGTCGATTAACAGGCACAGAGAGCGATCGCTGTCAACTACTCGTTTTGCCGGCTGCGCTGGCGTTGGCGCGTGACGTCACGCGGAAGCGTAACACCCGATGACTGTTTCATGCACTATTGGTTGCGGTTCCAGTACCAAAGCTGTGATGCGAGTGGTAAACCTTATACTAGTGCATGAAACAGTCATCGGGTGTTACGCTTCCGCGTGACGTCACGCGCCAACGCCAGCGCAGCCGGCAAAAACGAGTAGTTGACAGCGATCGCTCTCTGTGCCTGTTAATCGACCGCCATTCATTGTACACAATTTTTTTTGTGCACAAACCAATAGCAGTCCTGGCCATGCCTGAATGGTTGTCAGGTTAGCGGTTATTCCTCCTGTTTTCACTGCAATTGTAGGCTGAATCTTCATCGTGGATCGTTTTTTACTTCAAGGACCTGTGTAATGGTTATTCCAGGCAAGTTTGGGGTGAGTTGCAGTTGCAATTAGTGTGTAACGGGGACAAAATTGAACATTTTCCAAATTTTTTTGCAAATACTACAAGTTACGAGAAAAATTCGCTCCAGCCCTTATAGACAACCCAATGATAAAACTCAGGGCTGGGTAACTCCAGCTACAGAAAACCTTTTTTTTTCCAGCAGTAACGTTGTCGTTGGGCCTTATATGCATGCACTAAAATTCAAGAAATTTTAATTTATTAAACGTCTTTTCCTAGGTCCCCGAAAGGGCATTTGAAGATATTTTACCTGAAATTTTCATCCAATTTCGGCAGTTACTCTTGAATTTGGAAAAAAGATTGGATGCTGCATTTTATTACAGTCGAAGCTTATGCAGATTATTTCACCTTATTTTTTTTTCCTTAGGGCCCTATAAGGGGCCTTCGTTTTTTTGCCAAGTGTTTTTTTTTTGACATTGGAAAGTCGGAATTTATTACTTTTTAGAGGTTCTAACATTTCTATTTAATAAATTTAGATTTAATATGAATTCTGTTAGGCCCAGGTGTTTTAAGTTTAAAAAACCACCAAAAAGCAAAAACACAAAACAAAAAAAACAAAAACCTAAAAGCCAAAACAAACAAACACTGAGATGGTTTATAACTTTATAACTTAATTTTATTTTGTCCGAGTCTATTTTCGATACTTTTGGTCAGTGATGGTTATACTCCTAGAACTATGAGGCTCCGCGTGAGCGGAGCCTCATAGATCAAGAAGCCCGCAAAATTGCCTGCAGCACAAAACACTAATAAAGTACAAAAACGTCCATCAAAATGCAGCCATTTCACACAGAACCGCTGCACAGTTTGCCCCTATACTCCGTACTTTATCTCTTGACATACTCACGTATCTTGTGCGGAACTAACATAGGTGGATTCTGTCGGTTTTTAGGCCAAAATGATGAAAAATATGCCCTTTCCGCATTGAGCCAACCTGACACTTGAAACGTGCACGCATATGATCGAGCGATGATTTTCGGTTCGCTCGGAGCGCGCCGCGGGGGGTACGGTACAAGCGAAATGATGTGCATGCGTACAAGTGCATGTACCGTACCCCCCGCGGCGCGCTCCGAGCGAACCGAAAATCATCGCTCGATCATAATGCGTGCACGTTTCAAGTGTCAGGTTGGCTCAATGCGGAAAGGGCATATTTTTCATCATTTTGGCCTAAAAACCGACAGAATCCACCTATGTTAGTTCCGCACAAGATACGTGAGTATGTCAAGAGATAAAGTACGGAGTATAGGGGCAAACTGTGCAGCGGTTCTGTGTGAAATGGCTGCATTTTGATGGACGTTTTTGTACTTTATTAGTGTTTTGTGCTGCAGGCAATTTTGCGGGCTTCTTGATCTATGAGGCTCCGCTCACGCGGAGCCTCATAGTTCTAGGAGTATGATGGTTATACATTTATATATCGTTGTTTAGTATGTTCCTTTGCTCTAAGACAATAATAGTCCATCAACTTGACCAAAAGTTGAACAAATGCTGATCTTGAACCTCAATGATGAAATTCCAAATATTCAAACGATGAAGAAACAAATTGCATGGGCTTAAATTGCTGTCTGTGTTTTCCCTTGTTTTTCTTATACAGTTCTCCCCCAGAGAAAATACCAAAGACACCTTAGCATAGCGATGGCAACTTCTCTTGGAGCAAGAAAACCCACGTCGATCCAGCGACCCAAACGCTGGTCTGAGGAGGTGGAAGAGGCATACAGACTTCAGCTGGCTGGGTACAGAGATGCTTTGGAGTACCATTCAGTCAAAGGCGAGGTGAGTTGGCTGAAAATTATCTGAGCTGTATCAGTTCCCGTCTCTTTGAGGATACAACCTGAGAATAATGAATATTGGGTTTTCCCTTTGCAAAGTTAATTTCGTCGTCACTGAACTCAGTGTTGGGAAAGAATGTTGCAACCTGACACCACTTCAGCAGTTGTGTACAAGTTTATGGATAGTCGAGGAAATTTTCTAAGTATTTCCTAACAAATGTGGAAATGTTTCTCAGACCCATATTCATGTTTTATTAGCATTTTTGCAATGACTGACCTTCATGATGTATGAAGGAAAAAAGTGGCGTCAAGTAAGGTTGCAACATTCTTCCCTAGTGTTGTCTGAAGGCTTGTGAGAAACAAAAAATCCTCAACTTACTTGGGTGGGACTTGAACCCATGACTCCTGCTTACTAGTGCAGACATCTCGACCAACTAGGCTTAATTTGATACAGCAGCGGCTACCCCAACCGGTACTCACAGCTGGTGTTACAAACAAGTAACCTGACAATAGACATAGCTGCAGCTCTGGATGTATGTACTGGACCTGGCCTTAGTGACAGCCACTGGCAGGATTGAGTTTGCAAGGTGGATTTTGGGAGAAGGGGAAGTCGAGATGGCAACCCAACCCCCTCCCCAACTATCACTGGAAAATGCATCACACATTATGCAAATTTGAGGTTATTGGTATCTGAACGTACTCACTCAACACCTAAGATTCTTTTGACACAGCTGATTGATGCAGTACTGAAGGGGCGTTGGGCTGGTTGTTTCAAGTGCCAGTCTATATTCTTGTGTTGCACATTTTTACTCTCTGAAGTTTCTGGGCTCTTATATGTGATGCGATCAAGCTAGATGAGTCGTTTGTCGACCCTGGTCAATTTGTTTTTTACAGATTTGAAAAGAGCACAATCTCAGCATCACTGCTGTGAAAACCGCATGCTGATACCATCTTTAGTTCAAAAATTAAGGAAGTCGGAACACCAAGAGATGTGATGAAGTGATGTGATGAAGTGGCCCTATTTTGGCCTGAATCTCCCAATGAAAGTTCCCGACAAACGACTCATGTAGCTTGATCGCATCATATACAGTATTGAGAGTCCCAAACTTTCGGACTTATCATTTATTGTGTGACATTTTTGTGTTTCTGTATTTTTCTTGAACAGATCGACAGATGGCCCAAGTCAGGCTACATCAAGAAGCTCCAACGCAAGGACGGCAACTATTACTACTACAACAGGAGCAGAGAATGTGCAGATAAAGATGTCAATAAGATTAAGCTGTACGGTTACTAGATGTCATATCACAACGGCTGGCCGTTTTGCATTGACATCACCCAACGAACTCTTTCAACTTACTTGTGCTACCACCTCTAAATGTGTATGAACTTCACTGTTAACTTAAAATGCCAAATTTATTTCCTTTTTTTTTTGCCGTGGGATTTTTGTCACAACGTTGGTGCTTTCTCCAGATGAGAACAATTCCTTTCAGTGTTTAATTCTTTCATGCCTACCATTTTAGGAATTTTTGAGACATTTTAGCATTTAATTTATTCTCGGTTTTAAGCATGTGGGGTTAAAGAACGACTTCCTAATATTCAAAATGGAATAAGGATTCGGGTTAATTTTGGTCAACCCTAAAATCGTACAAGAACTACATACACTAAGTGGCTAAAGAAATAATATGATTCACTAAACAAAAGGAAGACATTGTGCATTCATTGATCTGCCACGAGAATTTTAAGCAGTTAAGGTAATTATTTTTCACCTTATTTTAGAGGGAACAAATTCTTCGTAGATTAAGAGAATGAGAACCAGAAGTTACACAAATAAGCTGGAATTTATTCCAATGCAAACTGATGTCCCACCTTTAAATTATCAGTCTTGATGTATTGTAATTTTATAACTGAAATCTTTTTCTGTAAGTGGTAAGGTGTACAAATTTTACATGCAAACATTTCCACGTTTTGTATACAAAATTCCAAATTGCGATCCCACCGTATTTTTTTAAAAATTATGTTAAGGTTCTTGTATGGTGCACGTAAAAGATTTTTTGTTAAACTTTTATTTACTTACTGTGTTTAGACCATAATGAAGTATACTACATAGGGTAACGAGAAAAATACACAATTGATATACATGTACATTGTACAGTGTATTTTAAAGTTTAGTGCCAAAGACCGCAACTTGCATTTTATAGAAATTTCGTAATTTGTTTTGCCCCGGAAAACCCCAACAAATCCTGAGATTGTTTGTGTCCGTTGCGCAAGCCGTAAAATGTCTTTTCGGACAAGTGATTGCATTCGACATGTAGCACTTGTATAGAAGGGGATAGATATGTTAGCTTTTTATAAGGAAAACAATTTAATGTCAGGCTAAATGCATCACAAAACACACTTTAAGAAATATAGTTTCTGTTTAGATGATTGGTATTCTTTAGTGTTTACTTGTCAACCGTATAGAATTGCACAGCTTTTTTTGTACTTTTTTATTTATGTAGTCTGTGAGGTGTGTATAAACTGCTGATATTTTGTAAATAAAAAATTCTATTAATGTGTTTCTGCAAGTAGCTTGATCAATCTCTGCTTCTTTTTGTTCACTGAAGTTAGGCTATGAGCAGTTTTTTACTGGTAAGGAAAGAGCTGAACAGTGTTTAAATTTTTACTGGACCCTAGAAAATGTATGTGGAGACATGTTTTTAAAGGGATTATTGGAACATTTGCTTTTCATGCATTTCGTTTGTTTTTAATAAAAACGCCACTCAATAGCCGAAGAAGAATGTTCAAAACATAACCTGTTGAAGTTTCAACTCCGGTGGATATTACATTTTTCCGGAAAACTAAAAACTATAGATGCACAAACTTTTGATTACAAGACACAATTTTATCCATAGCACTCTTATTTCCCCAAATCAGTCAATTGCTGGAAATCACCTACTACTCACGCGAGCGTGAGTGCAACACGGAATAATGTAGTGCGTCTGTGTCCCACATGGGGCCGACACAGACGCACTACATTTTCCGTGTTCCACGAGTGCGAGCACTTTAACAAATTTATCTGCAAGCAAACTTGACGCACAATAAAGATGGAACTAACACACTTTATAAAGTTTTACGCGAACATTTTTTAGCGGTTTAGCGCATGCAGCTGGAATGTCGCTTGCATCTTGGAATAGCCCAAACGCAGGGTGCGATATGGACTGTGCGATATGGTATAATATCACACTGGTGTTGCTGTGGATCGACCAATCAGGATCGAGGATACAAGTTTGCTTGTAGATAAGTACATTTCTTGATTTCTCCTAAATGACAGCAAGCCAGACGAAATGATTTCGCAGGGTGTTTAGTACCAGTATGATCGTTCATCCAAGTAAGTTTTTTTTACAATAATTCAGTGGATTACTTTTGGGATCAATGCAAATGATCCTATATGCCTTTAAGAATCTACTGGGATGAATTCAAAATATCTACATGTACATGTACATGTATTGATTTCCATACAATGGATTATACGTCAAGGGTCAAAATAGGTACAGATTTATAAAAGTAGGACTTAGAAATACCACGTAAGTGGTGATTGAAGCTGTCAATTATTCTTTTTCAATGTCAAGAACAAGGGGCGTGGGGGGGGGGGGCTGGAACAGAGAGAAAGACAATTCACGGATTTTTTTTGTCAAAAATGACAATCATTTAATAGTCATTTAATATCTGGTACTGCACAGAATACAAGTCAACTTGCTGTTCATATAAGGATGAACTTGCTTTTTGCTGCACTGCCTATGGGCTCCGTGCACAAGTACCCCCTCAACGGTAGGAATGGGAGAGTTGGGGGAGACCACTGGGAGAGTCATTTGAATGCCTGACACTCAAGTGATGACGCTATGGCTTTGTGCACATTCAGAATATAGCAAGTTGTGCATACGTTGTGTCACATTCGCGCAAAACCAGAACATGCACGTGCTGTGTTCTGGCCACTGAGAGGGACTCCGAACTGCATTACCGACGGCGCCTCATACTTGTGGAAAGGTTTGTGCACATTACAAAAAGATTTAAAAGAGTTTATACAGCAGTCAAGTACATGTATTCTGTGTTATAAAGAAGATGCTCCTTAGTCTAAGAGCAGCAATGCTTGATTTTGTTTATCTCTTTTGAGTATGGAATTATTGGCCTTAATTAAAACAATGCACTATTATGTTCGCCCTCTTCAGGCCAAAAAAAAAGTCTCCGGTTTTTGGTATGGAGCTTGCACAAGAAGTGGTGCGGCGACGTGGATTTTTTATTTTTTTTTTACCTGATTTTTTGGGCTTCAAATGTCGGCTGATGACTGCAAATGGTGCCCGACTAAACTTAGTGCAAATATATGGGAGTCCAGAGAGGCCACCTAAAGCTTATTCTCGACCATAACCCAATCTAAAAACACGTTAAAATTGTGCAGCAGCAGGATTCCAGTCAAACCAGTGAGTTTGGCGGTTTTGAGACATCATCTTTCATTGAAAAAAAACCTTTTTCATTTTGCCGACGAGCATGGCTAGGGCGACGCGCGCGCATACCAGAAATTTTTTTTTTTGGCCTAAAGGAGGCGCCATTTTAAGTTGATCAGCTTGTTGTACGCAAAGAGTTAATGGTACACAAATAAAAACGTTCACAAGCTACAAGGTTATTAATCATCGATTTGATGGCCATCAAATTAAGCACAGTAAACAGTCAAGATAACTGGCTTATACACAAGCACACATTTTTCAGGGTTGTCAGTGACGAGAAATTTCTAAAAAAAACCCCCAAGATTACTTGTACACGTTTACAAAAACCTAGTCCTATCTACATTTCTGCTACAATTGCCTCGATTTCTTCCTTCGTGAACATCACAAACTTCTTCTCTCGCGTTACGGTGGCCATCTGAAAATCAAAGAATGTGAAAAGTATGTAAATTATAATTATGCATATTACCACATTTGAATTTCCTGTCTTATTGATTTTGTATTTTGCCTGAATGCAAACATTGAAGTAAGGCTCCTGCTTACTGAATTTGATTTTGAAAGTGTTATTTATAATGAAAACATTGGGGTTTTTTTTATTTTGAGCCTCTGCAACCCTCTGAAACAATTTTGGGTTGTTTTGTGCACAAACATATCACCCAGCGAATAGTCTAGTTCCTGGTCCCCAAATTATCAATTCTGAAAGGGGGGAGGGGGGCAGGAACCAGTCTGTCCAGTGAAAACTGAAGTGTTTTCGGGCCGCAATTAATTTGAAATTTGTACAGTAGCTGCTAGTCCATAACTAAACATGGGGCATGTTTTCGGTTGGTATTAAAAGTGAATAACTGTAATATTCAAATGAGGTTTTGCCCTTCACCGACGACGTATAAACACTGTACACTCAGTGTGTTACCTTCCGAGCGAAAGTTGGAAAAATCACTCGCGTGGACTCGAACCCACGACCTCCTGCCTTCTAGTGCAGACATCTTACCACTCGACCAAAATTCCATCTTATGAACTTTCAGATTGCTTGCAACATAGCAATTTAAAAGCCAATCAGTTTTTCGGGGCGGAATTGAAACTAGCATGGACAGACATCTTTGCAACAACATTGTATGACAGCAAATCTTAAATTCCGGATGATATAAATTAAGTCGAATACCGATACGGGTGGAATGATGTCATCCAAATGTTTACCTCTACATTGGTTGAGCTTAGCTTCTCTTCCATGACTTGCTTCAGAATGACCAGAGCCTCTTTGCATGCTTCCTTCAGAGTCATAGACTACACAAGAAAGAAAGAAAAAGAAATATCTCCAAAACTTTTAAATTAATACAACATATGTGACCAACTCCACAAAAAGGGTATTATGTCGCAAAAAAAAATTGAGTAATATACATGGTTGGAAAGCCCACAATGTAAGCTTTCATTTGTAATAGAGCTCCATAGCCCCTTACGTTTTGGAGAAATGGTGTATTTGCATATTAATTACTTCCTTGGAGTTCAAATTACACAACTGAGAAAACAGGCTTTGAAATAGCTGGCTTTGTTGTTAAACAACAGAACGATGCACACAAAATGGTTGTTTTTCCACTTTGTTCATCAAAATCAACATTTCTGTGAATGAAACCTGAAACTGTAGGTATTAAAGATGACATTCATGACAAAAAATGAAGATCACATTTTTACAAAATTTTCACCCTCTCAATGTTGAGCGGGCCATTACACAATAATGCTCAGCGCGACTTAATACCCTTTTTTTGTGGAGCCGTTCACATATGTCCTGTACAGCTTCAAGCTCCATCTAAGGTCTGTCTTTGAACCCTAAACACCTAGGGTGATTAACTAGGAACCTTCCTCACTCTTGCAAATTCCAACACCATATGGTAAACTCAACACCCAAACTGTTTGACTCTGAATGATTATGGTGGTATGCCTGACCCCATGTAAAGCATAATCAGTTTACTAGTGCAGTACTCACTCCAACAGATTCCAACAAATCCTGGTGCTGGAGTTTGACTGAGTGGGGATTGTTAGGGTTAAAGATGTACTGTATGTTTTATTTAAAGCTACAGTCCATCATTTGCAGCAATTCAAAAAGTAACTGACGAAAATTACTGTTGAAAAGCATACTCCCTGTGAAAATATTCTTTCTCACAAGCTGTCGTTTTGAAGAAAGCAATAAAAGTAGGCAATTTCCAACGATGCCTCTAAAGACACATTCTTGGAAATTTCTGTTAGTCGTTCGTTTTTTTAATTCGGCGAAGCGCGATGTTTACCTTGTGGTATGTTTCCTGTAGCTGTGACTGTGCTCCTTCTGAACCAGAGCCTATCGCCTTGGCTTCATACTGAATGTATGTGCCGGATGGATCCATGTGGAATCTGAAGGGAAAGAAAACGAAAAAGGAAAGTTTAGAAAAAACATCAACTAAGGAAGGGTGTGTCCTAAATAACAGAAACATCAAACAACTTTTTTTGAATTAAAAGTGGCTAACTAAAAATTCTAATTCTATTGCATTTTGTTTATCCTAGAACTTGAAAGGTGCATTCTCCAAGCTGTTTTCAAGGTTTACCTCGAATAATAGATTTTTTCGATAGCTATTTTCTTAGCAATCTATAAAAGTTATTCACTTTTGAATGAGACATTGAAAAAATAAACTTTCGTGAAATTGTCATAACTGAAATGTTGCGCAGCGTGAAATATTGTGTAATTTGCATAATAAATGTGGGCGCAAGTGGAAATATGCCATTGCGTAAAGTTCCGTAAAATCGGCTGCTGGTGTGCTAGAAGAAATGTTGTGCTTACAATCTTGGTCCTTCTTCATCTATACCGGCAAACAGCAAGGCTACACCAAACGGCCGACTCTGAAAAAAATTAATGAAAAGAAAAAAATTATAAAGTAGGACTGTTTCAGCAAGTTCTTAAAAGATTCCGGGTGAGAAATCGATGGCACTTCTTGATTACTCACAAGATCTCTGGTGAGTGGGATACGCCATTTGTGCGCCATGTGTGCGCAATGGTTTACGCAAAATACGCACAACTAATTTTTTCCTGAATTTGCTCAAACCCATGGCGTCTGCAAATATTGACGTCACGTGCCATTTGCAACGCTGTCAAGAGTCCCTCTCAATGGTCCCTCCCATTTTCTTTTTTCCAACCATTGCGGGGGTTCCTGTGCACAGAGTGCTTTGGAAGACTGCCTGGCTTTTTCAAAAGAGCCTTGTGGGTCATTGTAAGAAATATATCCATTTTTTTCCTGATCCTGTTAGATCTGACATCTATAATTGTATACTTCTGGCTTCACTCTTTAATGTATTCCTTCTCCACGAGTGATTATGTGAAGCAAACGACCTACCCAACAAATATTTAATATTCAATTTAATGGACACATGAATAAGGGAATAAATGTGTGCTTGGTCGGTATTAATCACTGTTTAAGACCGCTTGGAGTCTGGGTGCTGATAATTACCCTCGCCTTCGGCTCAGGTAATTATCAGCACCCAGACTCCAAGCGGTCTTAAACAGAGTGAATAATACAGACCGAACACATATTTATTCCCATTCATAAATACCTTTTCGGTCAAACAAATCAAGACTTTTCGGTCGAAAAACCCTGATTTTGTTCAACAAGTTCACTTCACGTTTTTTGAAACACCCCTCTAGCTAAATAATGGAGTGTCCAGCTCGCGAGTAAGATGTAAACAACTCCTTTTAAGGAGATTGGTGCGTGTGTCGCACGTACTGCGCAATGTCACGCAGAATGCACCTGGGCGTTGTGTTGTGAATTTAGGACTATAAAATACTGACTCACTGGTAGTATTGCGCATGCCTACGTGAGGATTGTGAACGTTCAACCAATAAAACGGTAAGAGGTACTGGATTTTTAGGAGTCCAAATTTCATGTGACACTAGAAAAGTGTTTAAGACCAGCTAGCCATGTCTTTATCATCCGTTTAAGACTGGCCACGTGATGGGCTCTTCGACCAATAGCAATGGGTTAACTGTCTTAGGTATTTATGAATGTCAAATTACAAAGTTCAAAGGTAACAGGGACACGAAAAATGTGCACGCTTTGGATTCTAAATTTATAGCAGGACCCACAAGCAAACTGATTCAAGCAAAATCAATTTTCTAAATGAATGTGAACAAAACCATACTATAAACAGTGTCCCTTTTGCATGCAACCCCTCCCCCCCCCCCCAAACAAAAATTGACCTCAACTTATAAACACTTTTTACATTTTAACCATAGTAGTCGGTCTGTTTGTCAGTTCCTTTGATGGTTTTGTTTGTGTTTGTGTGTGTGACTCACCATAGCTCCGCTGTCAGCGTCGTCATCCCCAAACTGCATGGCGAGGTTAGAGACAGCTTGGGTCACCGCCTCAATGGACATCTTCTCATTGTAGGTGAACCAGTGGCTCTGTGGAGGAGGAGATTGACGCCCAAGTCATATTGAGTCAAATGAAATGTTAAAAACCTCTTGCTCTCTGAACAGTCACAGACAGTCAAAGGTTCAAAGTGTTTCCCCGCTACACACAGGCTGATCACCCCCAGTCATTTCTAGTAAGCACTGTGACTAGTCAAATTCCATCAATACACAAAAGCAATAAGCCAGTTCGGTAACTGCGCATGCACACAATGATATGGGTCAGGGGTCATTCTGGATAATTGAACGCTCGTCGAAAGCGCATGAATGCACAGGGAGACGCGTGTTAATTACAAGCAGAATGGGCGTCCGCGTAACATCGTGTATCATCACGTCAGCGATTTTATCCCGAATGACCTTTGACATGGACTACTTCATCGAAATACCGAACTGGCTTATTGAGTAGCAGGTACAGCTGGCTTATATGGGCTCCGTGCGCCGACAAAAGAGGGCGCCCTTTTACCTAACAACGACGCCCCATGGGCGGGACATTTTGCTGGTTGATGCGCACTGTTCTTTGTGTGTGACGCACGTACACCAGGGGATTTGAACTATGTACACGCGGGCAGTGGCCGTGCTTCGCAGCAAATGTCAGGCAAGATGGCGTCGGTCGGTCACCCCCAACTGTACTCTCTTTGCCGGTGAGGGGGTACTTGTGAACGGAGCGGATAGCCAAAGCATAGCTGCATCAAGTTACAGCCACAGATGGTAATCACTCCGGAATAGAAACAGGCAACTGACTGATTTTGACTGCTGAGGTGGATTTGTTAAATTTGTCAGTCAAACTACCCTAAACAAGCCAAAAAAAATCACACATTTGCTTATTTTTCTGGTATTGCGTCTTTCTCAGTTCTTGTGAGGAAACAACTTTCCATGTCTCCAAAGTCAATTAACCCTAACTCCCCAGCTAAATTTACTAGGAACCATACCCATTCTGGCAAATTCCAACATCCACATGGGAAATTGTAAACGCAAACTGTTGGACTTAGTTTCTGGAGGTATGCCAACCCCTGTGTAACAGACCATCAGTTTAGGGGAACTGTACCTATCCCAACAGATTTAAACAAAACCTGCTGTTGAATTTTGATGGGTTGGGTTCGGTTAGGGTTTAAGTTATTTTGTTGAAGCGTGAGTTACGAATCAAGAATATGTTTTAATCCTACACAAGAATCATGGGCGTATCCAGTCAAAGGGGTGTTGGCGTTGCTATCCCCCCCCCCCCCTACTGTCCACAACTTAGAACATGGACCAACCACCCTCAACCAATACATTGCTCTTACCTGTGCCTCAACGCGTGCCCTATCAATCAAGGTCCTGGAGTCAGCGATGAGTCCGCTCATAGCACATCCAATATGGTTGTCCACCTCCACGATCTTCTCAATGCTGGAAATCTCCATCAAGGGCGAGGTGATGCGTTTCTCTACGGCTAGGACACAACCCTCGGACGTCTGGATACCCAGGGCGGTGGAGCCAAGCTGGATGAGAGGTCAAAGAAAAGTAATTCACTATCGGAGTGGTATGTAATAGCGAGTGAGGTCACTGGACTTATCCTAGTCCGAAAATTTGGGACTCTCAATACTGTGTACGAGAGTCCCAAAACTTAAGGTATCCATATCGTGCAAAAGTTTGTGCTGCATAATAAAACCAGTGTGAATCAAATTTGCAAGCTTCTTTACTCACTACAGTTTCTTCAATAATCCCCGAAACTTCTGCCTCGCAAAGTTGCTGTTGTGAGAATTGCATCACCAAAAATTCAGCTTTTAAATTCTAATTTTGCAGGGAGTTATCGAAATCCAAACACGAAACATCACGTTGATGTGTACTGCAATGCATTGTGCAAAAAGACTCCTCAGCTAAAACATTTTCATCGTGTAGATAAAACAGCGCCCTCTTGTTGATCTGAGCGACTGCAGAATGTTTCATTTTTTAACAGAGGGCGCTATGTACATTTGGCCATCGATTAAAAAACAAGTAAGCTGCAAGGCTCTTCCTACACCTACCCAGAATACCTTGGGAATCACACAACCATTTCTAGAGCATGGAGAATGACGTGGATGGTTTTTGAACTGCCAAAAACTTGCCTTAAAATTGAATTTAAGGTCTCAAATTTCGCAGGTGACATGCTTGCAACTTAAGCATTTTGATGTATGTGTTGTGTGGGCATTAATTAGCCGAATGGTGAGTAAAAAAACGTCAGTAGTAATTTTGCACGTTTTCATGCACTCACGGTCCCAGTCTGGACTTATCCAAATGATTGATCATGCCACACATTTGGCAACTGAGCCAACCATTCGTACTGCTCGTGTATTCGAAGCAAAATAAAACCGTTTGGAAATTTGGTTAATAAATGCTACCTCACGATGGTCAACTGTTTTACTGTGGACTGTATGTAATTATACAAATAAAAGTCAACCTGTAGATTTGTTTCTAATTTCCTAATGAAACAACACAAAAATGCTTGGAAAATACACGAGTCCATAGTGAGTAGTGGCCATGTTTGCATCAGCGAGGTCCTACTGATGTGCCAACAACCGGCCTTGGGCGTTCTTACATAATCACTTCAATATGAATTGACCTATCGCCGTTTGCGAGTTAGCCTCGCCCCTTAGGCAATCATATGGCACTTTTGTACTTTAAGCTGTGTTTGTCTCAGATTTTGCGCATTCCGCGTCCATTCGTAAATCATGTAATTGGACAATATTTCAATTTCGATTCTACCGCGATAGGTCAATTGGAGATAGCACCAAAACTAGACTTTGCCTAAGACTGCATTGGAATTCCCCTGCCCTATATACAGTTGCAATTTGAATTATGAAGTATTCTTGTCAGTAATATTTACATTAAAAAAAACCCAGTAATTTAAAAAAATATGATTTTGACAGTTTCTTTCACATAAATATACATATTTTGTGTTTTGGAAATTTTTGTTCCCCAGGAAAAAAAAAAGGATCATAAGGATCAAACCTCACAAGCATCATTTGATATTTCATTACAGAGCAAAGTTTTGAAAACAATACATTGAAGGAGAAATCTGATGTTAAATTACTAAACTTGACACATTTTTAAACCTTTTGTTTTACCTTGATAGCTTCGATAGCATACTCGACCTGGAACAGTCGACCCTCTGGCGAGAAAGTGTTCACACCCCTAGAAATAGTGAAAAAAACAACACCAGGATTTCACTTCCAAATGGAAACTGTTTGAAACCAATCCATGATACAATTTTTTTCTCCCACATTTTTTTCATTAAATAAGTTTTCAAGTTTCTAAATATTGTTTGCATGTCTTTAACCCTAACCCCTAGGCCCTCTGGCTAGGATGCAACCTCAATCCTGCAAAATCCTCCAATTGCCACCTGGAAAAACTTGCATTCAGCCTCAATCCTCCAAAATCATCTGTGATTTCTTGGATTTAGTCTGTGGAGGGTGACCACTGCCTCGATCCTCCAAAATCCTCTGCCAATTACCGCTATGGTTCGAGGCAGTGCGAATGGCGTTTAGAAGCAGTGTGGAGAAAAACACAGGGTTGATTTTAATGGCTGAACAAAGCCAACGCAGGATATGGCCTACTGGCTTGACGTAATGCATCCTCCACAAAAAAGCGATACAACTTTGCCATTCAGCCTCAATCCTCTAAAATCATCCAAAACCGACAGGAGGATTTTGGAGGATTGAGAAGGGTTAGGGTTTATCCAAATTGCCACGAATACATAAAATCCAAACCTAAAATTCGTTTCTGACAGTATTTTGAACAGTTTTACAATGACAAAAGATGAAAAAGTCATGCATAAAACCACACTGTTCAGTGAGGTAACTTGACCACATATACACAAATCCGATCACGCCAACAATTTTATCATGAAGGCTCCCTTCAATGGCAAAAGCACTGTGCTAGCTATTGTTCAGATAATCCGTCAATGGGCAGCTGCTTTGTACAATAGCATGCACAATGATTTCTCCATTGAAGGGGGCCTCATGAGTGTACAGATATCACTTCCCCAGGATTCGTCTATACTAAATGTTGCATTAATATTTCTTCATGGCCAATTGTGGGCGCTCTGAGCTAAAAGTGATAAGGAAGAAAAAAACAAACATGCAGTGGCGCACCCAGGATTTGGCTTGGGGGTGGGGGGCCTCACAACTTTTTGTCAAATGTTTTACTTCTGTCTCACCTGTCATACTCTGATCTTGTTTGAAACATATTGGTCTGTTCTCAAATACCTGTTTACAAAGAGAAAGCATAAGATTTGGTCATGAGTAGATTTAAAAATTGCCGAGACAAAATTTCCCATCAGAAAATTATGCAATTTTAGGCTACACATATTTTCCACAATTATGTTAAAATGAAACACCACAACGAAGGTGTCGATATACAGAGTGAGTAAAAGAAACAAAACCCAAAATGTCGGGACCACTTTTTTAGTGAAGTTCTGTAGGCCTATATACCTTTAATTAAATCTAGAATATGAATATGAAAGCCCAATTCATAAGCTTTCTTTTACGGAGTTTTAAACACAACCACCATTTTAAAGATCTGTCCACGGATCACAAAAAAGGTAAGTGTTCTTTCAGCAAAACCAAAAAAATTCACATAGGGACGAATATTAATTGTTTTGGTTTTGCTGAAAGAACACTTACCTTTTTGTGATCCGTGGAAAGAACTTTGAAACGGTGTTTGTGTTTAAAATTCCGGAGCTTGAAAAGTACATAAGTGATTTGAATGATTCTTGTACTAAAAGAAAGCTTATGAATTGGGCTTTTATACCCTAGATTTTGAAAGTGCTATATGCAGAACTTCACTACAAAAATGGTCCCGACATTTGGGTTTCATTTTTTTTTGTAGTGTCAGCTAACATGGCTAAAATGAGTAAAAAGCGATGAATAGTGACTGTGTTGGGTGCAGTCGGTGGTTATCTGCACTATCACCTGATCACGCTGAAATTTGCATTTGCGCAATCTTTAAATCCTATACTATAGTGTGAGCAGTAAAATCTCAGAGTCACCCCCAGAGCAGAGTCAGACTATTTAAATTCAAATATCAGAATTTTAGAAATCATGATTGTCTGCCTTAGTTCACTGAATTGAGGCATATAAATATAGACAATCATGCGGAAAAAAATATGAGTTTCAAGCATTTCAGCCATAATCTGCACTCTTATTTAAATATGCAAAATAATCACTCTGCCACTGTTGTGCGCTTTCTTGAAAATCACGCATTCTTAAGAATGCGCATTCTTATGATTGCGCAACTGGATCCTTGCGCAATCTTCGCAAAAAATAACTCTTCCAGATTGAGCGCACATTCTTAAGAATTCTTAAGACTTGTAACTTGTCTTGCCTAAACAAAGCACTTCCCAGACTAGTTCCCAGTCCTCCGTTATTACAAAACTTCCCATAGTGGGCAGAAAAAAGCAATAATAACTGGTTTAATTTGATTCAAATTATCGTAGTTATACGAGAACAGAAGCATAGAACATTTTCTTTCCTCTTTATATGAATTATTTCCCTTTAAATTTAACTATACATTTCATTTAACATGTCGTGCAATGTTTGTTAAGATTGCGCAAAATTCATAAATTGCGCACGTGATATTCCCACGCAATCTTAAGAATGAGCGCTCATTCTTAAGAATGCGTGCTCATTCGCATTCTTGCGTGATTTTCAAGAAAGCGCACAACACCACCATCACCACGGCGTAAAAAAAAAATGCAGCGTCCGGAAACTGGACAAGCCCGGCCGGCCATGCACTGACTGAAGACCCGGCACTTTCAGTTTCACAATTTACTCAAGCCATAACTCTACCTTTCAGCAAAACCAATAAACTTGAAACCAAGCTGACAAGATTAACAAGTTGAAGACGTTACCTCGGTATGCAAAAACAATTTCAGGCAAACACCGCCGACAACAACAGCTAAAATGTTGTGCACACGACGTGCGCAAAGTCCTTCAAATTTTGCGAACACACGCCGGAAGTTACGTTTGACCCCTGACACAAAATACTGTTCACTAAACTGCTTACCAGTCTGCAAATCTTATATCATTTTTCACTTGATTTTTACTCTTACTGACACATATTGTCAATTGTTTCCTCTTTATCCATGATACATAATTAATCTTTAACAGTTAAACTACCACAATAGATGTATTTAACGCCTAAATTACCCAATTTTATGTCCACCTTTTTTTATAAAAAATGCTTGAAGGACTCAATAAAGTTATCTAGCTTCCGGTCACCTTTTGTAGCATGTATTCTACATGAACATGGTACCCGGCAAGGAGCATGGACTACGGAGTTTGTGTTGCTTTGCAATTAGTAAACCAGGGAAATTTTGCCGACACGAAATTTATGCCACGCACGATGACATCATCGATCTGGACAAATTGTGAATATTGTGTGTGAACATTTCTCTGATTCATCAAAAAATGCTGGAGTAAATTGTGTATTCCCATATGCTTGTGAATAGAAGAATAACAAAATGTCTTATCCGTACCACATGGAGTCTGATGACTCCTTTGATTACCTTTTTAAGATCGTTTTGATTGGTGATGCCGGTGTCGGCAAAACTTGTGTTGTTCAGCGGTTCAAGTCCGGAACTTTCCTCGAGAAACAACACAGCACTATCGGCGTGGATTTCACAATGAAGTCACTCACCGTGGACGGCAAAAAAGTCAAGGTAAAGATCATATTTGTACCTTGCCTGTAGTGTATTGATTGTTTTTTATTCCCCTTTTAAATTATTTTAAAAGCATTTTGTAGAATGACATTGAACATGTTGAAAATGAGTGAAACTGTATTGTGGGCGGGGCCTTGACTTTTTCCGGGGGGTGGGGGGTGGGTGGGGGGTGGGTGGGTTGCGATTTTTTTTCTCCCAAACGACATCCACATATGGGTGTACGCTATGGCGTTTTGGACTTAACTTTTATAAAAACATGCGAAGAAAATATAAAATTAGAAAAAAAAGTGAATTTGAACGTTATGAAATTCGGACTTTATTTCCCTTTTAAAAAAAATCCTCCCTAGCCTCAGGTTAGAAAAGGAAAAAAACTTGGGTGTAAAACCGATATTCGAACCTGCAACCTCGCGGTGCAAAATCCTACCCTCTATCGACTGAGCTGTCGCACTGCTTGCCAAAAAGTGGGGAAACAAATAATTATATACCTGCGTGCATATCAAAAAAGTATATGCGTAAAAGATATTTTATCATAAAAGATATTTTATCAACCCCAAATTTATGTTGTTTTTAAAGATTTTTAAAAGGTTTTTCGACACTGTCACAGGTTTTGGAAGAGATGCAATGTCTGAAAAGAATCTAAAATCTTCAGTGTAAAGCAAAACAAAAAATGGACACTCTCTAGTGCCTACTCACTTGTTAAGAATATACATGTTTGTAGTAAAATAAGCACATTCTGCTTTTAATAATTTAATTAATTTTTAATTTGCTTGTTTTTCACTTTCTTAATGATTGTCTTCTCCTTAACTCAGCTACAAGTATGGGACACAGCAGGCCAGGAGCGGTTCCGCACCATTACCCAAAGTTATTACCGCAGCGCTAATGGCGTCATCATCGCATATGACATCACCAAGAAGGAAACGTTCAATAACGTACCACGCTGGATTGAAGATGTGCACAAGTACGCGGGAAACTCGGTCGCCCAAGTTTTGATAGGTAATACGTTTTGAGATCAAACTATGGTGAACTACAGATACATGTAGCCCAATTTAGTGGGGCTTTGATAATAAACTGCCTCTGTTGAGCCTCACTGCCGCCTATGGGAAAACATGTGAACATTTAAATATATTGGTTTGAAATATAGACTGATTTGCAGCTTTATTTTTAGCTTGGAAACACAGCAAAGGTAATTTCAATGTAATTTCCAGTGTAAGTTTTGAAATTATCCTAAAATTTCCTCTGGAATTACACAGAAACTTCACATCTTGGAACGCCAAAATTAATTTTCATTTGTTAATTACCAGGTAAACTGCTTTCAAATCTAAAATAAAGCTGCAAAACAGTCTACATTTCAAAGCCTAAAAAAGACAACTTTCCACATGTTTTTCCATAGGCGGTAGTGGGGCTCCATATACAGAGACAGTCCAGTATCTGAGCCCTATTTATTGCAGAAAAACCTGCAACAAAAACCAGTCCAACACTACTCACTTTCTTCAGAAGCTGAATTTATGGTCAGACATTTTCTGACCAAATTTGCCCAAATTAATATTGAACTGATTGATTCTATGAGAAAAGTCTTTCTTGTGTTCATATCAACAGACTATCAATGTGAAAATTGTATGTGAAATGAAATGGCCAAATGTTTTTGAAAATTTTGCACTGAGCCACACCATGAAATTTGTCTCCACATGAAAACTAACAAATGTGCATTTTTAGTTTGTGTACAGGTCACATGCATGTGTGCTGCATCTGTGTACATTGCTGTATTAAAAAGACTCTGATAACAGCTGTGAAACGATCAATTTAATTCCTGTTTTTTGGGGGCCTGTTTGCGGAATCATCGTGTTTTGTTCCCTGGAAATAATCTAGTCATGTTTGACTAATTTTGATAATAATAAGCAAGCTCCAGTGACACTTAAAACAAAACTCTCTCCTTTTGTCAAACATTTGAGCACATGAATGTACCATCTGTGACACTTTTTTACAATATTTATCATTTTTCTATCATCTCCAAAATATCACTGAAATGTTCAACATGCATGCTGCATGCTGAATCTTTGGATCCAGCACAGAGCAAAATAAACATGCGCATGTTTAGTTTGCTCTGTGCACAGAGCAAAATAAGCACAGAGCAAAATAAACATGCGCATGTTTATTTTGCTCTGTGCACGGAGCAAAATAAGCACAGAGCAAAATAACCATGTGCATGTTTATTTTGCTCTGTCCTATAAAGTGTATGTGCCTTTTGGCAATATTTGCCTGTTTGTGGAACACGCTCATGTTTGAGGTTGGAATTCCTCAGGTCTGAGAGCAAAAGTCCCCAAGACTGCATTTGATTGATTTTGTTTATAGCGCCCTCTACTACAATATATTCCGAGTATCATCCGTTGTTCAACGCAGCCCGCTGCGTATTCAATGTCTGATATATACGCACCAGCCAATTGGAGTCGACTTTAGAAACTGTGACGTCATTTCGAACAGAAATGTGGGCCAAGCTGGTCAATTTGGCTGTTATTTTTTTGTAATACGACGGGTTACCACTGAAGAGTCGATAGAAGGTGCCCGCTGAATGGTCAGAATCTGGAGATCAAGACACGGTGTTGTTTTGTATAATTAATCGCTGAATCTGCGCGAATATCATAGACGCTTGTGTGGAAGCGGCTATTCCACAGACTCCTGCAATGGTGGCTTGTCCGCACTTATGTGTATAAGGGGGTGGCTCCTGAATAAAATTCAAATCCAGGCTTTGGCTCAGACTTTACATAGGTATGCTTGAACCTTTAATGGAATTCTGAAAGATACCCAGAAAATGTAAGTTTTGTTTTTCTTATTTTCTTTCCAGGAAACAAGAAAGACTTGGACGAACTGAGACAGGTAGACTTTGAGGATGCCCAAGCCATAGCGCAGCACCACGGCATGTTGCAATGCCTGGAAACCTCAGCCAAAGACTCCACTAATGTAGAACAGACATTCGCCCTCCTGGCGCAAGAACTGAAGCGACGGCACGCGGGCGGGGCTGCATTGGACGGAGGCGACAGTTTAAAACTGAACTACAATGCTAAGAGAGTGGATGGGTGGAACTGCTGCGGTTGATGCTTTGACCTTTGACGGATCTGCGGTGACCTCTGGCACATCAGTGGTGACCTTTGACACATCAGTGGTGACCCCTTACACATTAGTGGTGACCTCTGGCACACCAGTGGTGAACTTTGACCCATCAGTGGTGACCTCTGATACATCAGTGGTGACCTCCGACACATCAGTGGTGACCTCTGACACATCAGTGATGACCTCCGACACATCAGTGGTGACCTCCGACACATCAGTGATGACCTCCGACACATCAGTGATGACCTCCGACACGTCAGTGGTGACCTACACATGAGTGGTGACCTTTGACCTGGTACTGAATTTCAACATGGCTGCTGATCCTTTCATGGCATTGATGTTCTGTCATATTGATGGTGACCTTTGCCATATGTGAACTTTGACATGCTGGTGATGACCTTTTGGCGCCCTCTAACATCAAGAAGAGAAATTTGTTTATTCTAATGATGTACATAAAAATACTGTACCGGTCACAAGGCTAGTTGAAAGTTTATTATGGGATGTTCTGGTGTATTATGGTTAGGCCTACTTTAAGTTCCATGCTTTCTTGTAGAAGACAGTCTAAGAGTAAGAGGTCTACGCGCATTGCTCTTTGGAAAAAATGGTCCCAATTTATGATCAAGGATATGGAGAGAAAGAGGAGTTTCTTGGGGACCAGTTGGCTTGAGAAACTCCAGCTCCAATGCTCATCGGAATTTCAACATTTAACGCTGGATACAAACCTATGTTGTACATAGCGGATCGAAAATGTCGGAGGCCGTGAAACTTGGCCTCAACACGGCCGCCGAAATCATCATATTTTTTTCATATTTTAGTAAATTTTCTTCTTTTTTCAAGTCGATCCTTTGCTTCGTGAATCATTCATTCGAAGCAAAGGATCGACTTGAAACAGAACAAAACTGACAAATTTAAAAAAAAAAAATGATGATTTCGGCGGTTGTGTTGAGGCCAAATTTCACGGCCTCCGCCATTTTCAGATCGCTGGCTACAACATACATTGACCTCCAGCTCTAAATGTTGAATTCCCGATAAGCATTGGAGCTTGATTTTCTCAAGCTAAGGACCAGTAGGCAGCAAGTCGTGAACTTGACTCACAATTGAATTTATTTGACAATTGTTTGACTCACAATGCAATTTTGAAAGAGTTGTCCTTCAGGGCTTGGTTAGAACTACGCATGAACAAACTTCAAAATATTTTGAAATCTTTTTGGAAAGAATTCCATATACGTACGCCACTAGTTTTTCCCTGCAATGACTTATCAGCCATCAGAAGGCGGTAACATGTCCTTAAAAGAGAAATTTAGCAGGGAAAATTTTGAAGCATTTCGTGAGAAGAATTTTTTCAGACCAGTCTCATAGGGTTTGTACACAGAGTGTCAAGTGACGTCCGTGTATGGAATTCTTTCCATATTTTTGTTGAGTAATTTCAACATCATGTGTACGTGTATACATGTTATCTAATCTGTGAAGCAGTGGCAACCCTCCTCCAAAAACACGTACCTGCAATAGTTGCTTTGCTATAAAAAAAGAAAGAAAAGAAACCAAACAAATAGGCCTAATAAATAATTTAATAATGCATTCGTTTGTATAGGGCAAATTCCATGATGAAATATGTTCGAATGCGCTTTCCATGTAAACATTCTAAAAATACACTTAAAATAATAAATTAGGTAACAAAAACAATTCAGACTGTTATAAAAATGCACAGAAATACATTATAAAGTAATAAAAAACTTAAGTTCAAAAGAAGGTAACGAACAAACAAACATTCCCAACAAACAGACAACCAACCAAACAGACACGGCACAACATGACTACACGGCTCACCACACATGCAGTCTCAAAGTTTTTGGAGTACCGATACATAGTGTATCACTAGAACAAAATAAATAGCAAGCTGAAATTTACTATGCATTTAGCAAAGTCATTTTACTAAAGCGCTGTGTGCAGTACTTCGCCAATAACTGAACAAAAGTATTAGTCCGCCATGATACAGTCCACCTAGTAGAGCTTATAGATTTTGTGAAGAGCCACCTAAGTTGAAAATGATGTACATTTATAAACAGTGGTCAGCTAATATCCATTCCACAGCAAATTATTATGAAATATGGTACATTTTTTGTACATGGCAACAACTCGTATGTTATATGTATGAGCATGAGACACACTGACAATTTAAAATGTACCAAATGTTTACTATATTCTTAACAAAAATGGATGTTAAAGCCAGAGTCCATCATTTGCAGCTATCCAAAAAGTAACTGGCGTAATTGTTGTTAAAAAACATACTTGGTTGAAAGATAGTAAGGGGACTAAACTCTCTGTGAAATTATTCTTTCTGGCAAGCTGTCATTTTGAAGAAATCAACAAAAGAAGGCCTTTCCAACGGTGCTTCTTAAGAAGCACCGTAGGAAATTCAAATTAGTAGTTCGTTTTGTTATTCAGCGAAGCGTGCGCAAGCATTGGCACGACGCACACACGTGCACGGTTACTATAATTCGTCGGCTCAGTGAGAACGTGTCTCAGACGCCGAATTCAGGCCCAATTCAAAACATGATTCAGCAACTTTTGATTTGAAATCGAGATCCTAGAATGTTGTTTTTCAAGAAATATACAGCTAAAGCTGAGCTGAAATTTCATCAGGTTAGTTGTTCAGCACCCTTCTTTAGATTTTGAGCATTTTGTTTCTTCAAACGAACAAAATGCACAAATTACAAATGACAGACTTTGCCTTTAAATTTTGTACTGTAACTGCAATTATAAGTGCGTGTGACAGTGAACATAACACATGGTTTGAGGGTTGATAGTTGATATTAGCTCCCCGAGATATTGGAACTAGTCTGTCAACTTCCAATACCGAGGAAAGCTGATATCGACAATCCACCTGAACAAAACCATGTTATAAATTTGTTTTACTGTACCTTATACATATCCACAAAAATTTCATAAAGTTACGCATAAGTTTTCTCCGCAAAATGTTGTGCGTGTGCCCCATCTTTTCACGTAGCTGCTGCATGGTGCTAGGGTGATGTTCACGAGTGCGCACTACGACTGTGTGCTAATTAATTCAACGTTCCACGATTGCTTCGTAAAGCGCATGCGTTGTAGACTAGCTCACTGACATGACCAGTGTGATAGTCTACTACGCATGCATATTTAACCTGTGCGTGAAACCTCGCGTGCCCGCTTGGTAAACAGCTAAAGTAGCGGCTGACATGTGATGGTGAATGAACCAATGAAAACTCATCTCTCGATCATCATGAATTTGTATGAGGTTTAGTAATATAAATTGATCGCACAAATTCACTTTGCTTGTTATGTTTTAGTGTCCATTTTCACCAGTGTTTGAGTTGAGTCCATCACAAGTCCATCACAAGTCCTGCAGTCTCAAGTCAAGTCATAAGCTATTCAAATGTACTGTGATAAAAAGCATTCCTTGATCATTGTTCATTTCCTGTTACTTGTGACTGGACTTGTGAAAATACTTGTGGTTTCTTTTTGATTCGATTTCTTATGGACCTGCCGTTGAATTGACTATACTGATTTGTTGAACAATAATGTCAAATGCCTGACCGTTTTTGCCCTAGTGAAAATGTCTTTGATCAGCCTTTCGCAAAGAAGACTTAAATTTCGTTTTGCATTACATTTTGATTGCCTCATAGTCGGTAGTTGTATCCTAACCGGTGTTAGTGTGTGAATATTCTACAGCTACATGTACATGTAATGTAACTGTCATGAAACCAAAAAAAATTCAGCTCTTCCCACCAAAATCTGCTGGTGTATTCTATGCCGGCTGTACAGATATGCCTTGATGTATGTATTTTACAGGATTAGTCATTTATAAGTGTTACATGTATAAGTTAGTTTCGTTGGAGAGGGCGACAGATCGCTTCTTGGAAGTGAAAAATAAGGGAATTTTTGGCAAAGCTTGGTGGGTCATTCCTTAAATTTGGGGTACAAAAGTGTGAACTTTTTTGTGTGTTCCTGTTATACATGACCAAGGGCAGATCCAGAACAGAATTGGTTTTTTTGGGGGGGGGGGGGGGTGGGGGCAAACAAAAATTTGGTCCCCCAAAAAGTGGGTCCCAAAAATTACGGCGTGGGGTTCAGCGTGAGGAAAAATTTTTGGATTCCAGAATCCAGATGCTCTGTGGTGCGATCTGAGGCAATTTCTGACCACTTTAACCAAATCTTTTTGGGGAAAAGATGGTGGTGTACGAAGTGCCTGCCTTTATTGCGACGTCACTTAAAAAAAAAAAAAAATTGGGTTCGTTGGGGGGGGGGGGGGGGGGGGGGAGGGGGCATGGCCCCCATTGGCCCCCCCGGATCCGCCCTTGCACCTGACCTGTGTAATTTGCCATACAAGTAGTAGAATTGACTTCAAAGTTCAAACCATTGTTGTAGTACTCGTACCCGTAAACATACTAATACTCAAGTACGATTTTTTGGTACTCATACTGGTACTCATGAAAATGTATTCTTACTCCTTCTCATAATCACAAGAAAAACAATACTTATTTATTTGGCAGGTATAATCACTCTTGGAGAAAGAAGGCATTACAAAACCTTTTGTAAATTACAGAATTTTAATACAAAATCTAATACCAGATGTATATATAACGGGGGCCACAAAAATAATTAAACCACAAATTTATGGAATGACCACGGTCCTGCATTTGGATAATGTAGCAGCCGCCAAGTATCGTCAAGCCACAAGGTGAATCAATAGCAGTCTTGGGAACTTTGGCACATTGACCCGAGATATTCCACGCATACCTCACATGCTCTGTATTCAAGCTTATGTGTGTGCATGAGGTGTGCTCGGAATTTCTCCGGTTCGCGTGTCAAAAGTGCCCAAGACTGGATTTGATTGGATTGCATATTGTAAACTGGCTTTCTGCCACTGAGGTAGTCATAGATTTTGCTTACACTGTTTTTTAATTTGGCCATGCCTCAGCCCTTAGTTGTCTTGAAAACACAGCAAAAAATCAGAGAATTTAGTCATTTCACTGTAGCGTCCGAAACCGCCCTGCCTATTACTCACTGTATGCCTAAAACCGCCCGAACATTCTATGGTTTTATTGATTCTTCAGTAAGTAATCACAATGTAATACAATGTAGTACAGTTGCTAATGAGTTTAAAGGTACAGTAAATCATTTGCAGCTATCCAAAAAGTAACTGACACGATTAATTTAAAAAAGCTTACTTGGTTTAAAGATAGTAATGACACAACTCCCTGTGAAAATGTTCCTTCTGGCATGCTGTCATTTTGAAGAAAACAATAAAAAAGAAGGCCATTTCCAAAGATGTGTCAAGTGACACATTTTTGGAAATTTCTGTTAGTGTTAGTAGTTGGTTTGTAATTCGGCAAATCCCTGAAGATGGGTGCATGCAAGTGTTGACACAACGCACACGTGTGCGCAGTTGTTATATTTTGTTGGTTCAGTGTATGATTTTTCGTAGCTGCAATTGGCTAAATGGGAAGGTGTCCAGGACGCTGATTTCAGGCGCAATTCAAAACACGACTCGGCAACTTTTGAATTGAAATCCAGATCCTGGAATATTGTTTTCTTGGAATATACAGCAAATGACAAATAATCTACCCTAGATGTACCTTTAAAGAGAGGTGCCAGAAAAATAGAGTGAGATATATTTGAAGCTGTGGAAAAATGAGGTCATGCTTTCAAAAACTTTCAGTTCACTATGTTTTTTTGTTTTGTTTTGTTTTTTGTTTTGTTGATTATTTACTTTTGTGTCCAATACATGGGCGGTATTTATCAACTTTGCAAGTTTTTATAAACTTCCTAATTTGCAAAAGCTGTCGGTCCATTATACTCAACTCCAAATCTTGGTTTCTCACTTTGTTCCAAAACCGAGTGCTTTTAAGCTTTATTTTCCTTAAAAAAAATGTATTTTTAATGTTAAAAAAGAATCACTTTTGTGGTAAGTTTTTGGCAGTGCTTTCTCCTTTGGGAAACATTATTTTTATCCTGTGAAATAATAAAATAAAGATGCATATGTGTACTTTTAAAAAGTGTTTTGGTCGGAACGTTCCTTCTGATGCCACTTTTGACAACCAGAATTTGATTTTCTCCCCAGGTTAAGCCAAGCTCAAACTTTGACCCGTAGTAAAGTAAATTTTATTTAATTTTTAGGGGGAAGGAGTAGAAACAGTAGAATTTGTGGGGTTTGCATCAAAACTATGTATAAAAACTTTATACACATTTACCAACTTCAAATAGCGCCCTCGTATTGTGTCCACCATACTACAAAAGGCTATACATTGGTATGCTGGATGTGACCCCAGCAGAGATCTAATGTGAAACTGAAAATAAAACAATGCCTGAAACCCTTGGTGGGATATTTTGAATTAAGATCGCATGATGTATTTTTGGGAAAGTTGGCAAGCTTGATCGACAGCTCTATAGATGTTGTGACATTGAAGCCAGTAATAAACCTTTCTCTTTTTCTAGGGGGCGGGGGGGGGGGGGGGGGGGGGGGGAGGGGGGGGAGATTCGACGATTAATTATGCAAAAAAAAAGACTGCGTCCTGACCTCGAGATTTTGACCATTCAGCGGGCGCCTTCTATCGGGTCTTCGGTAACCCGTTTGTCACAGAGTGAATAAATATAAATATTGTAAAGAGAAGAGTGAAGGCCTAGTTTTCTCCGAGTGTCAGTACGGTTCATTGGATGGTGACTATAACCAAGGGTCCATTTCATGGGGTGGGTAAACCCTGGGATGTGACACCGTTGTATTATGAAAACATAGCATCCAAATTGACCAATCAACAGCTTTGTCCATATTTTTGATTGAAATGACGTCACAGTTTCTAAAGTTGACTCCGATTTACAGGCATGCGGGGTCACATAACATTTGCATGTTAGGATATATCAGACTTTAGACTGTGGCTCTTCACACGTGAATGTCTGATCCTAGGATGGGGGGGGGGGGGTGGGGATATCTGGAAAATTACTGATAACGCTCAGCGCCGCTCTTCGACTTGGTTCAAGTCTGGATTTGTTATTTGTACTCTAATGGAGCCAGTACTGGCAAGCATGATCGAGCCGCCGCAGTGGCAAAGGCCGCTATCCAATAGATCAGTCAACTCACGGAGATAGTCTTGGGAATTTTGGCACTCGGACCCAAGAAATTCCAAGTATAACTCGGGAACACTGCATTCAGGCTAATGCAGGTTAATGCAGGTTAATGCAGGTTAATGCAAGCTTGTGTGTTACGCATGGAATTCGTTGTGTTTATGTACATGTATAACTTCTTATAAAATGGCCTCACTTTCACTTCTTCCTCTTGGATCACTACACTACACCCATCCAGTGCAGGACGCAGGATCTAGCCCGGGGCTTGAACCCTTCCAGATCTTCAGGAGTACAGGGATCTGGCAGGTGGGGGTAGACCAGCAGGTGTTTCATTGTCTGTTCCTCCCCACAGTCACACACTGTTTGTCCGTCCTCATGGTATCCCCATTTCTGCAATAACTTGCATCGTCAAATTCCTGTCCTGAGGACCTGATGGTAGAGATTCATTGGGACTGAAGGGAAGCTTGTGTGGCATTGCCTGAAGATGATTGGACCAAAGGGCAGTCCTTCAGTTATGAGCACTGCCATCAAGGGGTTCAACGGAGTGGAGGAAGCTGTCTTGATTTGAGTCTCTTTTTGGCTGGTTAGAGTGGATGGAGAGGGTCATTGTTTTTGTTTTCACTTTCACTGAAGTATGTTCTAAGGACAGGAAATCCATTACTACCCATCTTGCCAACGTTTGGAGAAAAACAAAATTGTAAAAACATCATGCTGTAATGGCACTCCCTCTACTACATTACAAAGATGTCCATTCTTATATAATGGATTTAGAAATTGAAGCTGAAATTATGACAATATTACCATTAAGATTCGCACAACGCACAAGAAGAGGAAAGAAGAGCATTTGCTTTTTAGCCCAATGAGCTTTGTTTTATTCCAAATCTCCACTTACTTCCATGATTAGTATAATTGCTAACATTAAATCTGAACATTCAATGATCACGTATCGTTTACAAAAATTTTCAGATAAAAGAGGAAATCAAGCTAAAAACAAAATTACATGCAATTAAAATTCTCACTGACTAAATGTAGTGAACGACCTTCAGCCACACACTAAGGCACGAGGGTGCTAGAAATAAGGTTGTAATTGAAAACAAGCTTGCTGTTATCATCGCAATACTCTCGTCAACAAAATGTCTCAGCGTATCAAATTCCAAAACAGTCCGAAGTCTTTTATTGCGTATTTGAAACATTTTCTTGTTGAGATCGAATCTTGCAGCCTACTTATAAGGAATGGTTTGAGCTAGACGTCTGGCTGAATATGTTTGGGTGAAGCTTTGCAAAGACAAAGCTTTGTTTTGATCATTTGTGAATATTCAATGAAAATTTTCTAAATTAATTTTTTTATTTTTTTATTATTATGACTCTGCATGCCACTTGCATTTTAAACTCGTCAGCTTCACAACTGAAAGCAAACCGAATAGTAAGTAAAATTCCCCTCGAAAAAGAGGAGAATTTCTCGCAAATATGATAGAATAAATAGATATTTAAATATCGTGTAAACGTCCTGGATTCTCCAAAGTCTGTACAGCTATTTTAAGAAAACAGTGATCGTGGTGAACAACAAAAATACTGTATTTACAGAATGTCAAATTGTACAGTTGTGCTTTACATTTTTTTTTACCAAAACAGAAGAATTTACAATTTATTTCTTTTGAGCGTTTGTACATTATCAGTCTAAAACCTGTTACCTATATGCATTAAAGGAGTTATGTACATAATGTAGAGTTTTGCAAGAATGGCGGACTCCAGACTAGAGTCGTGGGGAGGAGCGGGTACCAGTCTACTCCACCTGAGGCAATTTTACAGAACTATTATTTTGAAAAAAAACTTATACTTGTTTTACAAAGAAATCCCAGTAATTCTGCATTGATTAAAAAATTCTCTGTTAGCCTGGTTTCAGGTTGTTTTCATTAACACAGGGCACAGATTGAAGATAAAACTTACTGCCCTGCTATGGTAAAAAGTGTGTGCTAACAACACTGAATGTTAGTTTCCAAAATAATGCCACAATTCCTTCCTATGGGATCTGCTCATAAGTCCAACAAAATTGCATCCCCTAACCGAATAAAGGCCCATAAGTCCGACGCCTAATAGGTCCGACGCCTCATAAGTCTGATGCCTCATAGCTCCAACGCCTCATAGCTCCAACGCCTTGTAGGTCCGACAAATCTAAACGCCTTGTTATTCCGACGTCGGACTTATGAACAGTGGCGTCGCCAAGGGGGGGCCAGGGGGGGCACGTGCCCCCCCTGGAAGACCTAGTGCCCCCCCGAGTGCCCCCCCGAGTGCCCCCCCGAGTGCCCCCCCATCTGAGATTTGGGTTGGTAAAAAAAAAAATATATATTTTGTTATATTCAACTCCCATCATCTGAGTTGGTTAAATAGCAATTTCTGGAGATATCTTCAGATCGAATTTAGCATCAAATGTGGCACCATTTTGCATCTAGCCCATCCTCCGTATGCGAAAATTTTCCAAAGGGGAGGGGGGCACCCCCTCCCCTTAGACCCCTCCCCCAGGACGGCGATCCGTATCCACCTAAGTGCCCCCCATCAAATGCTGGTGCCCCCCCCCTGTGCCCCCCCAGACTGAAAAGTCTGGTGACGCCACTGCTTATGAGGTGTCGGACTTATGAGGCGTCGGACCTATAAGGTGGAATAAATAAATTTTATTCCTCATAAATGCGACGCCTCATAAGTCCGAAATTTTAGGACTTATGAGGCGTTGGACCTATGAGGCGTCGGACTTATGATACGGCCCCCTCCCTATAGACCATTATCATCTTGATTTTTTCCCCATTCAAATCAATGTAACCAAAGCGAGGCTGGAATGAAAAGTAGTCTGGTTCCTTTTTGCACAAAAAATATTATCATTCAGCACTGTTATTGGATACAGGGAACATGACTGAAATGGTGGCAGCATGATAAAGGTCTATTCCTTTTCAGGATGTGTTGAGGCCGCTTCATAATGTCCAAAATCTCAGTGTTGGACCTCACTTGAACTTGGTATTTCAAGAAACTGTTTTACACTAGCAAGGTTCCAACATGGCTTCCTAGATCGGTCAAGCACTCTTCACGGGTAATATCCAACCCTGGTCAGCACCAGGCTTGAGAGACTCTACTCGGGTAGAGCATCTAAAATCCAAGGCTGACCAGTATGCAAACCAGTGCACACCAACGGTACGTACACGCCTTGTCGACAAGTGTCTGATCGGACGGTTTTCTGGACCCAGTTCCACTTTTGGTGGACTCAATACTGTGAATAGGTCTTTGGATACCTCCTCCAAGTTTCAAAGCTGGTCATGCCTGATGAATTTCTAAATAAGAATGGGTCTTCTGTTTCTGCTCTGATCAACAAAATCGTACAGAATCTGCCTTCAGCTGGACACAGTTGGAGAATGTAGCATTATTAAGGTTGGTTATTTTATCCAGAATGCTCATATTAAAATTTACTAGCTACAAGCTGTGAAATTCACTTGGGTGGTTAACGCAAAGTACTTTCTGCTAAGGTAGCTTCAATTTCTTTTTAAACAGGCAAGCAGAAACGAAACTAGGAAATGGGCCTACAGCCGTGGAGCTGTTGATACTAAGCCAACCAACTATGCTTAGCAAAAATGAGCTGAGAACCAGTGATGGACAATGTACACCACAAGGCAATTTTGGCTGGTACTCTGCTTTTGCTAAAGAAACCATTTCTGATGTTTTTTGTGCTTATCAGCTCAACTATAATAGAAAAACCTTTAAATACAAGGTCAATTTTTTTGGGGCGAAATGATCACTACTTTTTAAACACATACTTCCCATGAAATACATTCGTGGGTCTGTTGAATTGTGAAAGACATCCCTGTAATAACACAGCATATACATGTGGTATTTTTATCACTATGAGGTCTTAAGGTTGAGTCCAATGAGTACATGGATTGGAAAGGATTAACTTTTGTAATACTGTTTTTGTTTTGGGCGTTCGCCGACTAAACTTTTAACCAAAGGATTTACAATCTATGGTTTGGAGGATAACTTTAAATTTCACGTGTTCAGAATTTGAACTTTACCTCTTCTAGATTTTTGAAAATGATTATTTATGAGCTACGAAATGCATACCTTCCATTTTAGGGGTATTTCGCATAAAATTGATCTTAACATCTGCGAATAATTTATGGATATATTTGGGTTTTTTTTTTCGCTTGGATTCTTTTGGGTAATAAAACTCGCCCAAATACGAATCAAACCTGGAAAACACAAATTTGAGGAAACATGATTGAGTATAATAATTCAAATGGAACTTTGACGCTTTAGTGGAATCTGTAGTTCTCTTCCACCGTAGATATCAAGTGACATTTTCTTTTGAGGACAGCTTAGAATTGGAAATCTTTTCCAACTAAACCTAATTAAAATCGAATATTGTTCGAAGAACATGTTTGAGGATTAAAAGAGACGACATTATTTTAATAAGGAATATATAAAAAAGCACATGGCTAGCTACATGATGGGTAACAGCCCACATAAGAACCATGCCTTTATGGAAAATAAATACTCTGAATGTTATGTTAATCACACACGCACAGTGATGAGACTTTCTCGGATCTCATTTGAAACCCTCGCGGTCAAATATGATATCGACAGCATCGCGGACATGCTGAGCGGTAATGGTGGGCTGGATGAGCGCCTTGTTGAACTCAAAATCCCGGTGTCCGTGGTCTAGCTCTAGATGGGCTTCGTCCATCTGACCCACCTCCCCCGGCTTGGAGTGCAGGCCTGTGTAGACCAGCACCGACTCCATGGTGACCGGGTAACCATCGTCAAAGTTGTCGGTCATCAGAGCCTCGCTCTCGCAGACGTGGTCGTCAATCTCGTGAACCGGATGGTCCGAGACGTCCACCTGGGCCGAAGTCTCAATATGGATGTCGTCGTGGGGATCGGACATGACCACGCCCTGGCGTATGGCTGCCGGCTGGCGACTGCCTGGTTTCTGTAGGCCTTTAGCAGCTTTCGCTGTGAGGTACTGGTTGTACAGATTGGCCCCGTAGATATCCGTCATCGGGTTGTCACTGTTTGAAAGAGAAAATGACAAATCAATATTTGGTGCTTCAAGGGAAGAACAGTGACATTCAAGATTGGTTCGAGAGTTTGACCGAACCAAATTTTTCTTAAGATTTAAATTAGGCACATGAAAAGACTGTTTCCCGGCCCCCCTAAAAATAATGGGAACGGTAGCTAGCACCTTTTTATAGCCAATGATTGGGTCTCCTCTGCGCGCGCCCATCACTATTGTTTATTTTTGAATCGCTGCTTAGCTTTGTGCATGGACGGTGATTGAACACACGATTGTCAAAAAACTCACTCTTGCCTTACCACAAAAAGTACGCAAAATCGTCAGTGTCTCCATCAGGGCAACTTTCAAGCATTTCAACTGCATAGGTTTAAATACTGAACAGTAATTTCCCTCTCTTTATTGATATTTGCCAGAGACACTTTCGAATTCAGCAAAAATCAAAGCTCAGCACCTCGGAAACTGTGGCGCAACCTTTTTCCGTTTTGCAATAGGCTGGTTGCGCGCAGCCATTACCGTTGCGATTTTGAATTCACGAAGTGGGATTCAGACTTATGCACGTCATGCATATAATTTGCATACAATGTAGTCAGGTTCACTGCTAGCTACCTGCCCCTATTTTTAAAGTCCAGAGGACAATGGGGACAGGGAACCAGACTAATGAAAAGTTTGATGTTTGAAACAGAAGCAACTACAGGGTGAGTAAAAAAAAACGAAACCCAAATGTCGGGACAATTGTTTTAATGAAGCTCTGCATGTATCACTTTCAAAATCTCAAGAATGAAAACCCAATTCATGAGCTTTTTTTTAGTACAAGAATCATTCAAATCACTTATGTACTTTTCAAGTAACAGAGTTTTAAACACAACCACCGTTTTAAAATTCTGTCCACGGATCACAAAAAAGGTGTGCATTTTTTCGGCAAAACAAAAACAATTCACAGTCACACACATCCTTATGTGATTTGTTTTCGTTTTGATGAAAGAACACTGAACTGTTTTTGTGAGCAGTGGACAGAACCTTAAAACGGTGGTTGTGTTTAAAATTCTTGAAAAGTACATGAGTGATTTGAATTATTCTAGTACTAAAAGAAAGCTTATGAATTGGGCTTTTATATCCTAGAATTTGAAAGTGCTACACGCAGAACTTCACTGAAACAATGGTCCCGACATTTGGGTTTCTTTTTTTGACTCACCCTATACATCAAAAAGATTAAATGTTGTGGTCATTTGGAATGACTCTCTCTCTAGTCAATAGAAAATCAACACAAAAAGTTTGCCTGTCCGAAACCAAAATATCTGTGGGTCGACAATCCGAGAGCGGTATAACTTACCCAATGGCATAGAGTGTTCTGAGCGGGCCTTGACAGCCCATGGCCCTCGCTTGTTGGCTTAGTACATTCTCAGCACAGTGGTACGTTATCTGACTAGGTTTGCCCGTCAGAACGGTGTACAGCAGATCCCGACCTGTGATTTTCTACAAAGGAAAACAGCCAACAACTGTGTTAAGGGAGTGTTTCAAAACTTGTGATACTTGGAAAGTTTCACGAGAACAGCCTAGGAACATTACGTGGTCATTATGGGGAAATTAGCCTATGTGCATACGTGTACACTTAAAGATGTACTGTCCATGTTCCTCAACAAGTTTGCATTGTTTTTCCCCTAACGACATTTAAACTTATTTGTTTTATTTGAACAAAAAACTACTTGTTTTCTATTTTGGGCTCCAGCAGCCTTGTGAAACAAAGGTGTTTATTTTGAGTTGCACAAAGAGAGTGGTTCCCGGTCCCTGCATTATCGATGCTGAAAGTGGGGCGGGAACCAGTCTACTCCTTGAGAACTGAATAATTGTCAGGCTGCAAATAATTAGTATTTTAAGTTAATTACTCCCTAACTAAACATTCCATAACTAAACATCAGCATATCAATAATTTTCTTAAAAGCTGAAATTTTCTGTTTTCACTTGTCTTTTACATAATTAAAAAGATTATCAAATTTTGTTTCACTCAGACTTTGTCCCCCCCCCCTCATCCCTTCCTTTTTACACTGACAACACTGTCCTTGCCCTGGCCTTTCTTCATCTTTACCCTGTAACATTCATCACCACTCTCCTTTGTTCCCCCTGCATCTTTCCCTTCCTCTGACCCCCTTTTGTTCCCCACTCCCACCACACTCCTTTGTTTCCTAATGTCCCTTTCATCCACTGCACACCTCCCCCAACCCCCCCCCCTTGTGTTTCTTCTTCCAACCCTGCCTGTGTGCATGTCCCCTGCATGTTTGTTTCTTGTCCATGCGTCATTTGCCTCTGAAGAAGTCTTTGCTAAAAGACAAAATATATCAGGCCTCTCTAACTTTTAATTTTTTGTTTATATTATCTTACCTTGTAAAGTGATTCTAGGCACACCATGAAAGAGCCATGTCCTAACCTGTACAATGAAAGCAACAATCCTGAGAATTACTGGCGTGAATTTGACATTGAAAAGGGAAATAACTGTTTTAGAATTTAAAATGAACATGTGGAACAAACATTCAGGGAATCAAGCTGAACCAGAGACTACTACGCATCCTTACCAGTGATCTACAAAACTGAGCCAGGTAACATACGTCACATTATAGGTATTTTGGGGGCCACCCATGTTTTAGATAAACGTGTGTCATTAATCTAAAATGTTTGTGACATCATAAGTAGGGCTTCCGTTGCCAACAAATGACTGCTGTAACGCAGCATTAAAACCAAAATCACTACAACACAATTCCTTGCCAAATTTTAAGCACTGCATTGCTCGTTAAACACATCATCCTAATTTAAATGTCCCAAACAGTGGCTCATTTAAATTACACAATACCAGGGGTCAAGATCGCACAAGGCATGATGGGAACCAACATGGCATTGCGCAGCTGCAAGATTGTACCCATCGAGAACAAGGTTGACCTCATGCATGCTATTTCAATTTTTCAAGTCAGCACCCGATTTCACGAAGCGCTGCAATGCGTCAGAACTCGAGTTACGATGTGTAACACGTTGCAACTCGCGACGCGTCGTGTCATCCATTTCACAAAAGTTGCAGTGTTGAACGCGTCGTAAGTTCCTTGACAACGGCTTAAAACACGTCGCAAGTTACGACCTGTCTAGTAGTCATCGCCAAATAAGAAGAGTCCCTTTCTTAGCCAGTTTAATGCCATAAACATTACATAAACGAGATTATAATACCAAGGCAATGTGTGATAAGTTGTAAATAGAAAATTCATTGAATAATTATGAATTAGACTGGAATATTGCAGTTGAAATTTCAAAGTAGCTATAAAGTCCAATGAGAGCTCGTTTTCCTTCAAAATTGCATTGCACTATCGCCATTTTGTTTTACTTTTTTAACAAATTTTGAGCTGAGATCCGATGATTCTTTGTTGAGTATCAGACGACTATTTACTGTACGCTGACTAAATACATAAAACAGTCACCGAGTTGTGCTATAAATACACATACGACTCGTCGCACTTACGACGTGTTTTGTGAAATGGATCGCAGGACGCGTCGCAGTTGCGACGCACCGTAGGGATACGACACGTCGCCGCGTAAGTTACAAAGAGTTTGATGAAATCAGGTGCAGATTGCCAAAGTTTCCAAGGCTGGCTTTGATTCATCTTGTTGGTAACGCACTCTACTGCCACCGCAGTTTGGCCGTGCTTGCCAGGGATTGGGGGGGGGGGGGGAGGAGGAGAGAACCCAAATCCAGTTTGGACCAGGAGGTCCAAGACTGGATTGATGAAGGATCTGACAGGGTCTAGGGTTCACTGACCTTGGTAGATGAGCCTCGGACATCCACATGAGATCCACGTTGCATCCAAGGACCGGCATGTTAGGGTACGGGACGTGGTCAGGGGTGTGGTTTAGCTGACCGTTGGTGATCAACATGTCCAAAATCAGCTGGAGATTGGTCTCCCACCTGACCGGTTCACCGAACAGGACCACTGCCTCGATCCGTGGCAGGAAGATCTCTATGTTAGCCTGAGAAACAAGAAAGTCATGGGTAAGGCCCAAAAAAAAAAGTCTCCGGTTTCTGGTATGGAGCTTGTCCCAAAAGTGGCGCGGCGACGCGGCTTTTTTTTTTTTTTTACCCGTTTTTTTTTTTTTTTGGCTTCAAATGTCGGCTGATGACTGCAAATGATGCCCGACTAGACTTAGTGCAAATACATGGGAGTCAAGAGAGGCCACATAAAGCTTATTCTCGACCTCAACCCAATCTAAAAACACGTTAAAATTGTGCAGCAGCAGGATTCCAGTCAAACCAGTGAATTTGGCGGTTTTGAGACCTCATCTTTTATTGAAAAAAAACTTTTTCATTTTGCCGACGCGCACGGCGACGCGCGCGCATACCAGAAACCGGAGACTTTTTTTTTTGGCTTTAGCTGGGACTAGTTCAAGAATTATTTCATAATTGTTATTAGGCCATATTTTGAGTGGATGGGGACTCAGCGATGACTTGATGGAGGACCGACTTGAATTGGCAAAAATCTTAAGAATTTCAGGTCCATCAAATAACAAAACTACCAAATTATTATGCAATACCTTACTTGACTGTAAGTGAATGATAGTCTTAAGCATCTTGTGAAATCGTGGCACCTGGTGTGCTGTCATTTTCAAGAAAAGTGGAATTTTTGCATCAATTCCCAACGATTGTCGGCAAACAATCGTTGGAAATTGATAAACTGACTTTTTTCTTCAAATACTGTCCCCAATTTACCAAATCTAGTAAATCCACAATTTGTTTGCAATTGATTACACATCCGTGAACGGGTGCAAACCAGCTAGTCTGGTTCCCTGACCTGACAATTCCCTGACGTCTTAGAAATTGCTCTGAGACACGCTGTAGTTTGCAGTGTGATAATGTACTTACATTTGGAGCAGGCACTCTCCGTTGATGGTCAACCATGTCTAAATGTGGGAACATATCTCGCACCTCCTCCACAGTGGTCACTCTGGTAAAACCCAGGCTGCAGGCAGAAATGCTGGTCAAGGAATCTACAATCAAATTATGACCCCTCCCCAAACAAGTGGAAAGTACTCAATCATCTTCATTTGAAAATTTGTGAACGCCTGCTGTTTCTACTTTATATGAAGTAAATTTAAATGTCAATTCCTTCATTTGTACAGAATGCTCCAGATTTGTCCGCTTTAAAACAGCACCCCCAAATGGTGTCCAGTTGCCCCCCTCCCAGAGCTGCCCCTAATTCAAACTAGTCTTGTAATGCCAATGGAGGCAGGACTATCTTGGATGTTCCTTGCTCTATGCTTTGATCGACATCACATGTCCCAAATTATGTTTCATGTGGACACATCACATGTCCTTAACTGTGTTTCATGTGACCAATGAAAATACATAAATCATGTAATGGGTTTCACTTTGAATTCTTAATGTATACTTTACAGGTAACCGCGTTTAAATTTTAGATTGGCCTTGCTATGACTGTGCTTTTTCTTCAAGAGACGTGCTTCCAAACAAATTTGACATAAATAACTAATGATATACAATTTGGGAAACTGAAGAAAAGAAATTCAATCGTGGCATGCGTGTTAATGTAGATCAGTGTGCACATAAGACAGACTTACATATCAACAACTAAAATATTAAGAATTTGAAAAACATAGGTATTTTAAAATTATCTTACGTCTGACCAAGCAAATTTAAGTCCAAATCATGTAACCAATACATTTCTGATCACTGCTCAAAACCATGTGTTGGTGACAAAGATTTGGTTCAGTAGTGTGGATATCTCAATGATAGGCCTACTGTTCCAAAGTCACTTCTTGAGTTAATCAGACAGAATGTGTATTAATGAATCAAACTTGAAACTACCATGGTACAAACTGTTTGAATATGATTTTTTTTCTTCACAATTTACAGATATCGTGAATAATAACAAAGACAGCAAAAAACAGGTGCTCACAAACTAGGGGTAATGTTTATAATTCTGCAATGGTAATGCACTGAAGTACAATCTTCAGTGATCTTGCAACTTTGGAAGTGTCATATGAATGATTGCATCATCACTTCCGAACCGCAAGCAAACTTTGCTGTGTTCATTTCCCCTGTGAAATGTATGTTGAACTCTGTGTGGGTCAAAAGATTATGCTCTCAGGAAGTTTTCTGCTACCATTAAACTTTTTTGAAGTGCATATGATGCAAGTCATAAAAACAAACATTTTTTTCCTTTCATAAACTTTGGAAGTGCAAATGATGCAGTAGAAGTCATGATACATGTGATGTCAACTTCATACTAAAATTCAATCAGTATTTTTCAAGTCCCTACCAACTGTGAACACACTGCAGATGGAAAGAAATAGTTTTCAATAGATCATCCGAGGTTAAAAAAAACAACACTTTGCAAAGTCAGCTAGAGATCAAGCCCCCATATCAATTGATTATGTGCAGTACACAAAAGCTACCAGGTGCTTTAAAGCTTTTGTAATTGTAAAGCATCAGTACTCACAAGGCCATATCCACTGCTAGATTTCTTTAGACAGGTGTTTGTTATGACTTTTCAATAACAACCATGGCAGCAGGCTTTTGATTACTAGTCAACAACCTCCGTGAAGTTTGGGCATGAATAGGCTACAGATCTACATGGAAATCCCCTGTACCAACTTTACCCAGACATGCTCGACATCAATATCAGTATTACAAAAGGATTATGAGTTCAAGGATCAATTCAGGGTGAGCCCCCAAAAATTGTTCAAGCAGATATCGTTAAATTTCTCAAAACGTACATGTGCCTAACAAATTTCATTATGTTGGATCATATTAAATACTTTTGTGTAGGCTCTATAATCAGTGAAAATGTCATGGAAGCCCATTCATGCAAACCAAAGCTGTAACAGATTATAAAAGGATATGGGTTTTTCAACCATTCCAATGGGAAAAACACATTGCATTTGGAAATCACTCAACCGACACTCTGCAAATGCAATGGGTCTTTTCATTAACTGTGTAAATCACATTGAAATGGGTGAAAAACACATTGCCATTTATAATCTGTTGTAACTCTGGTTTGCACGAATGGATTTTCATCAAATTTTCGCTGTGATTATACACAAGAGTACAAACAATATAGGCCTACTCCATCAACATGAAATGCTGATGTTGGGTACATTTTGAGAAAATTACAGATGTCTGCTTGCACAACTTTTTTGGGGGATCAACCTGTATATTTTTAGTGCAGACTTTGCTCCAGTCCTGCCATCATGGAGTACACTAGCTGAAATCCTAAAAAAATACTCAGTACAGCAAAAAGTTTGACTCTCGTGTAAAATTCTGAGCTGTGCATTTTCAAATAATTTAGTATTTGACAAAGTACTTCGATTTGATCAAATAATTGACATATTATAGCAATACATGATTTTCAAGATAGCTGGCTAGCTGACACAGATTTGAAAGATGCAAATGAGTGCTAATATTCCTCAAGAAAGCTCTCATGTGTGTAAAAAGTGGCCGTCCACGAAAAATGTGACATTTGACAAACAAAACCAGATCGACCTGTACAATAAAATGTGTACATCAGGGACATTTTTTTCCCTTCATTTTCTTGAGAAGGCTCACATAATTATCTCATAAACTCTATTCAGTAATTTGATAAATGGATATTCGGCCTTGTACTTTGTAGGATTATGGAGGAATAAAACCTATTGCTTTTTACTGTGGTGTCAAAGTCGTGCTGATACCAATAGTCAGCTGATTGTATTTTGACCCTGACCCGTGAATTTTGATATATGTTATATCACCGGTCCCTTGTGTATTAAACCCTGCTGTCCTGAACCTTGTACAGGCACAGGCAACTGGTACAAGTACCAGTTGGTTCCCAATGTTGTCTACTTTTTTGCATTTTTCCCCCCAGAAGCGCCCAGAATGTTTCACTTGAAACCAGGAAGAACACAAAGTGACTCAACTCCACGAACAGGAAGTTACGCACAGTCAACAAACAGTTGCGGGGAAGCCCCACGAAATTCCTCCTGAAATAAGCGGAATCCTTTTTTTGTCCACAGGGAAAACACTTTCAAATGTGTTTGTTATTAAACTCTTTCTTACGAAAGCAAATCCAGTATCAACAGTATCAAACCAATTAATGTCTCATTTCAATTCCTTGTATCTTTTTCAATTAATTACAAGTCCCACTGTTGAAGGAATCAAGTTTTTTTAATGTGTTCTGTAGATGGCCTGACGAGTGTTCATGGCCCTTTTACATGTATTTGAACTCAGAAACCTGTATATGTACATTTATGTACATGTGCATGTACAAATTAAAACATACACACATACATCACAGCTCTATTAGTATTACAAGAAAACTGCTGTCTGTGGTTTATCTAAATGTCTTGTTTACATTATGTCAAACATGTAAAAAAAAAGAAGCATGGATTATATTTCTAATATTTAAATAGTCAACTTGTTAGAAATTAGACCTGCAAGTGCAAACAAGCTATTTCCTCCATGCTGAGAACTGACCATTGAGTTGTCCACCCTATTGATATGCAAATTTCTGGGACCATCATGTCTAGACAACTGACAGATTGTGTTATCACATGTACACTGCATGTATGTACACATGTACATGCACAATGTACAGTTACATGTATGCATACATGCACACATACATGTACATGTACATGCACACTTTTACATGAGTATGATTTCAAGGTTGCTTAACATGGTCTGATCATCATGTGTCCTTTCTCTATGGTCTGATGTAGCACCAGTACATGGCTTGCACATAGTACATGTGGTACAACATGTTACCAATAAAAAGGTGCATAACATAGAATTTAACAACAGGCAAATACCTGTTTTCAACCATTTAAAATAACCTAAATTTGTTAAGCTCATCGATGCAAATTGTAGTCACTATATGTAGCATGCATGTGCCACCGTACATGTAGTTCGTGTACTTCATTTATAGTTTTTAAACCTGAACCAAAAACATGAGTATTGTCATTCTGTCTAAAATAACTGGATATGTTCAATCACTAGTATATCCTGCATTGTGATTTACTTTGAAAAAAAAATCAAGATTAAACAAAGTACAAAGTTATCGCTAAAATCTAAAAATTTTCTATGGGCTCTTTATCAAACAAAGTTTGAAAGGCAAATTTATGTAAACACACATGACAATCCTTTGAGACAAATGATGCCATACAAATTGAACTTTAAACAACAAATGGGTCACAAGACTTGAAACGAACATCCATTTAATGTAAATGATACACAGTGAGTGATTTCTATGGATTCCTAAGTTGCAAACACGAGGCAATTTTGATACAAATTTCTAGTAAAATACACAAAATGTTTCAGATTCTACACAAAAGTTTTTTTTGATATAAAGTAAAGCATGCATAGCAGATGGCTAGACAAAACTTGATCATGAAATACAGTTTTTATAAAATTTGAAAAGGATACCCTTTCGCAATCTCCTTGATTGGCCCTTGGCCAGAGACAAGCACATGCTTGTCATGAAACTGGGGGAACATCTTGAGAGGGCTGTGCGACATTACCACCTGGTCTGGATGAATCTGCAAACAATGTTGTCAAAAATCTCACATTGCATTTTCCACTTAAAAAATGCACAAAGTACGATCCAATCAGTATCTGTTTTTGTTTCATTTTGCTTTGGTACCTCGACAATGGTTTTTGGAGTTTACTTCCCAATATTGTTAATAAGTTTATACCGCCAGCCACTGATGTCAAATTTTGGTTAATTTGAAATGGTCTCACGAAAAAGCAAGGAATCTGATACAACATTCAAAGGTCTCAAAAATGTTCTTAAAAAAGCCAGCAAACTGCCAAAAATTATGGAAAACGAAAAAAGTCATACATGACCATGGTTACTGATACTTTCATTTTCCATTTTACTTTTGATTTCCTTTTTACAAATTATGTAAACTTAACACAACAGAACAATTAACACAGAGGAGTAATTTTCACGTAAATCGAAGCAGCATACAATGTACTGTTGATATGAGCTGGTTAAGTTGTGGATCATCTTGCACTCAAAGTTTATTTCTCACAATTCACAAATTACACAGATGACAAATATATCATTGGAAAGATTTCCAGTATACAAAGTTCACTCAACACCCTGTGTACAAACCCTATGAGATTGGTCTGAAAAATTCTAAGTGTTTTCTAAGATAATGCTTGTATTTTCTCACTGCTCAAATTGACTTTGATGACATGAAATTGCTATCTGGGGGCTTGTTAGTCAATACAGAGGAAAATTAGTGAACTTCGTATATGGAAATCTTTCCATATCATTTATATGACCAGTTGCCCAATAAAAAAGAAGAAGTTATTTTTGGCTTACCTTTATTCCCAACCACTCGGTGAGCTGTTTTGCCTTGTTTTGCCGCAGCTTATTCCCAGCGTTTGTCACGAAGACCACGGGTACGCGCAAATGACCCTCCCCATCAGAGAGCTTCTGAAATGCTTCCACGGCCTCGTTCAAGATACGCTTGCCACGGACTATAACGCCGTCGATGTCAAACAGTATCCCAAATGGAGGATGTTTGGAGTGAAGCTGTGGGAAAACAGGCACACTTTAAGTGGGGATTCCAAATGCTAACAAAAAAAAAGGGAAAGATTCCCATATCTGGCCATCACTCTTCACCCTGTGCCTAAACCCCATGGGACTGGTCTGAAAAGTGTTTTCTCAGTAAAAATTCAAAATTTGTCACTGCTAATTGTGACTTTTTAGGACATATTATCACTTTCTGATGGCTGATAGGTCATTTATGGGACAAATAAGTGATGGCCAGATATGGGAATCTTTCCAAAAAAGAATTAGACCTATTCTCCATTGAACAAATGAAGAAAAGGCATATATATCTTTAAACTCTCCTTAACAAAAAATGATGGGCAAATTGAATGGGTAATTTTGTTTTGCATTGTTGCCAAATGCATATTAAAAAAATGACTAGTCCTGGAATTTAGCACTCATCAATTAGAGTAATATTGAAATTATCCTAATTTTTTTACGTTTCTTTCATTTTACCTCTTGAATGTTTGTGTCATTGGTTTTGATCAATTGAAGGTTTCTTTATTTAAATTATAAAAAAAATCTTAACATTTTCCTCACAAACTCTGAGCCATAGTCATACATACATTTTATATGGACAAAGGTTCCTGAAAAAAATAGAAATACTTATTATAGCCATTTTGGTTTTCAAATTGTACTCCTAGAACTAAGAGGCTCCGCGTGAGCCTCATACTAGGATTACTGCCCTTGTGCATATTTTTAATTAACATGTGACAATTTCTGTGTTTTTTTTTATATATTTAGCTCTGCCTTTATATTAAAAATGTTAACACAATTTGCTTTGATATCATCATCAATGTACAGAGGTGTCAACATTTATTGTTTTTGCACAAAATAAATATAGGAGGCCTATTCCACACTTTTCTGAGACGGTTTCTTATTTCCGATAATCTAATTAGAACAACTACTAGTAATAATGGTAACAGGTCATCTCGTACCTTGGGCAACTCGTACCTTGGACAACTCGTACCTTCAACTCGAAGTCATTATACCGAGTCGTACCTTGGACAACTCGTACCTTTGGCAAGTCGTACCTTCAGTTAAGACGACTCGTACCATCACGCGTAAGTCAAGTCGTACCGTCAATCAGGATAATGATCCGAGGCTGAATAAAGTGGACCGTAACTCATTGAAAGTGGACTGCTTATTAAAAAAAAGGTGAATCTCTTTTTGGTATGGGCTCTCTTTCCCCCCAAAAAAGAGGAATTTATTTAGCGCGAAGCCGGCCGCGGCAGCTTACTGTGTGCGCGGCATGCCACGCGGCATCCGTGCAAAGTGACACGGTTCTTGCGCCGCGCTGACCGGTCAATATGGACGTCTGTGCATGGTGACATTGATGCAGTCTGCCGTTACGTTTAGAGACTTAGGCTACGTGAAAATATTATGGAACTGATGTTTTTATCCAAGATTCACGTCTTACCATTATTTTTGCAATGAATGACCATCATTGAGATGATATATATATATGAAGAAAAAAGTGGCGTCAGGTTGCAACATTTTTCCTATTATTGATCCCTATAATCGCCTGAACTACTTTTTTTTTTCCCGCAAAAATGATAAGACGTGAATCTTGGACTGACAAATATTTCCAATTACACCAAATCCGCATCTGAAGTTTCTCCACTGTAAAATTCAATCTATCTTAACTTATCCATTAAAAACAGAATGGCACTGCCGTGCGCGCCGCGCAGCTCGCGAGCAGCGGTCGGTCGTGCGCGGTACCGATGCCGGTGACTCGGAAGCGGCCGGCCTGCGCCCTCGGAGGCCGGCCCGCCAGGCCCAATGCGGAAAATCATGCTGCCTGGCAAAGCCATAGATCTTGAATGTGGTTCTGTGAGATAGAAATTAACTTTGACTTGAAAAGAATCATATCGTTTCGGAGTCAAGGAACCACACACTAAGTCACGCACGTACAGTGTACTCTACTTTTTATTCTGATGGTACGAGTCGTCTTAATGGAAGGTACGAGTTGTCCAAGGTACGAGTTATCCAAGGTACGAGATGTCCAAGGTACGAGTTGTCCAAGGTACGAGTTGTCCAAGGTACGAGTAGCCCAAGGTACGAGTTGACTCGAAAGCGTAATAATAGCACAGAACTAAAGCAAAGGAGACAACAATTCCAAATTTCTTTGGTTTATAATTTGGGATTATCTTTTCCAAAACAAATTGGTTTTTAAAAAATGGTCATTATATTATTTTAATAAACGTCATTCAAGATGTCCCCCCCCCCCCACACACACACTTTCCCCGACCCCCTCCCTTTCCTGCATCACGCATGTTAACCATAGAGCAAGGAACAGGGGTGACCGGTCCCACTTTAGTCCACCACGCGGCGGGCCAACCAGTACCAGATCCCCCAAATACCGATCCCCCACACGGCACGGTGCTGTATGGTGCACCGTCTGTGGCAGGCCGGCTCTTTGCCCCTCGTTGTTTTTGTCGCAAATAATGGAAGCTTCAAATTAATTTATAGCCGGCCACAATCCAACACATTTAGGCAAAAACAAACCAAGCTAATCGGTTTCAAAGAGAATAAATCGGCACTCACCTCGGTTCGTATACTGAAGAATCGCTTGGGGTGATTGAAAACACTGATACAACTTTTTAAATGGGAACAATTTCGGGGTAAAATTCTCTGAAGGCTTCGTGCGGCGGCAGCCATGTTGGACAGTAAAAAGCACGTAAGCCCAGCTACGCAATTTTTCGCGTGATGACACACGCACGATGAACGACTCAATGAATGAATAAGCAAATAGCTTATAGCCGGCTGGCCGGCTGAAATGTGGGCGTGACCAATGGCACGGCACCATTCGCCTCACGTGACCGGACACTGCCCCAAAGTGCTGATGACGTATTAGAAATCGCCAGCTGGGTATTTACATAATAAATAGAAAAAACCCCTCGCCCTCTCACAACAGAACCCCGATAAATAAACATCGAAAGGGCGGACCTGAAACTGGTCAAAAATCCTTCCGAAGTAGAGTCTACAGATTAAGGGATTCTCAGCCCTCCCAATTCATTTCGATTTTAGGTGTTCAAGTACATGTACTTTATAATTTCTAGACCATTCGAGCGTGTCATGAATATGTAATTTCGATGCAGGTAGACTTTTATGGAAACGCTGCATGTGACGATGCACGTACGTACGTGACCCGTACTTGTCCTACTTGTCCCGTTGCATAGAGCAAGGAACATTGTATCAGGTAACTTGAATTTGTCAAGTCACATATTATTGCCTAGTGACTTTGTGAGTTATCAGCCTATATTTTGCAAAGTCACAAGAAAATGAACAGCAGAATTACAGGTTTTTAGTCAGTTTACATGCTTTATGGTTACATGCAGTAGTCATCTCAAAAATTCTTCTCAATCTCAAAACAAAATTACAAATGTTCCGAAATTAAATAAATTCTCAGCAGTGTCATGCAGGTATGTTGTACAGGGGTCCGCTCATAAGTCAGACGCCTCACAAGTCCGACGCCTCATAAGTCCAAAATTTCGGACTTATGAGGCGTCGGACTCATTATGATACCGTCCCCGTTGTACATATCAAGAACGAATGTACAGCTTCGATTGTTAAACCATGAAAAAGGGACAATACCAGGTTTGCGTTTCCCTTTATAGTCTCGAAGTTTGTACTACTAAATATAGAAACTGTTATTCTTGGCATTTGAAATCGACTATAATTTGTTTGTATGTATAAACTGCGTGCAGTAAATAGGATACTAAATTTGGCCAAGGGACTTTGGTTCGAGCCGATACCATTGTTAACGTGCCTTCTATAAATACATGTAAATACGCTTTATTATTAAAAATAGTAACAGGATTTTACATTCATGCTGAATTGAAGGCAGTGGTTGGAACTACCCGGGAGAAGTACCTGGGAGAAGTGCAACAAGGGACTAAATATAACACGCATACAATCTCGCGCCAGCTGTCTGTCAACCCTTTTTGAGATTTTATGGTGAACACAATTTTATACTCAAACCAAATAGCGCCCTCTTATTGTGTCTGCTACATCTCCAAAAGGCTGATGGGATTGGCATTAGCCTGAAATTGGCGAGAATATGAATCAGTATAGATATATCTCCAATTCCTAGTGGGGGGAGGGGGTAGTTTCTTCTGGTTCTCAAACTGTCCAAAATATGGAAATATTCCCATATCTGACCATCACTAATTTTTCCCTTTAGTGACCTATCAGCCATAATTGATAATATGCCCTAAAAAGACAAATTTAGCAGGAAAAATATTGAAGTATTTATACAAAGGCCAAAAAAAAGTCTCCGGTCTCTGGCATGGAGCTTGCCCAAAAAGTGGTGTGGCGACGCGGCTTTTTTTTTCACCTGATTTTTTTTGCTTCAAATGTCGGCTGATGACTGCAAATGGTGCCCGACTAAACTTAGTGCAAATATATGGGAGTCCAGAGAGGCCACATAAAGCTTATTCTCGACCATAACCCAATCTAAAAACACGTTAAAATTGTGCAGCAGCAGGATTTCAGTCAAACCAGTAAGTTTGGCGGTTTTGAGACATCATCTTTCATTGAAAAAAAAACTTTTTCATTTTGCCGACGCGCATGGCTACGGCGACGCGCGCGCTTACCAGAAACCGGAGACTTTTTTTTGGCCTAAGAAAACACAAATTTTCAGACCAGTCTCACAGGGTTTGTGCACAGCGTGTGATAAGTGATGGCCAGATATGGGAATCTTTCCCAAAATATCATCGACATCCTATAATTAAAACTAGAGTAGCTTCTTCAATTGGCTTATCTTCATCAAACACCGGTAAAACTGCTATATTTATCCACTGGCAATCAAAAATAACTCTTGTATATTTTTGACCTGATAATGAAATGAGACCTTTTTGTTGAAGTTAAGGCATACGGCATTTTATTTATTTTTTGTTAAATGAAAGAACAAAACAAACAAAAACACACGTACTTCACAAAAAAGTTAGTGTTTTTGGCATGTTACATTATTTTTTCCCAAAAAGTTGTATGCAAGGTACAATGCACTCTCATTCAAGTGAGGAATATTTACAAAAGACTCTAAGCCAGAAACTTATCAAATATAAGGTTCTAGAAATGGCATCATGGAATGAATAATACATGTACAATGAAAAATAATGCTTTGAAGCGCATGTTCTTCATATAGTAATACAGATTATCCCTCCCAGAAGAAGAAGTACAAGTTAAAAAACATTGTTTGGCCTCTGGCATTATTACTATTAAGGTCCAAAAAGTGCTCCCCAAAAAGGCCCTCTATTCATATTGTCTAAACAGAAGCAAAGACTAATTCCACTGCGAGTCCATTTTTTATTTACACAGGATACATCATCATTTATGTAAATCAGATAATGTTACAAAAAAAATATAGACAATAAAGTGGGGGGGTCACTTTCTCACAACTGCAGAGTAGATCGTTTGCAGCTATCCAAAAAGTAACTGACAAAATTATTGTTGAAAAGCATACTTGGTTGGAAGATAGTAATGGCACTTTTAAGGATAATTTCACAGGGAGTTAAAACTCCCTGTGAAATTATCCTTTCTGGCATGCTGTCATTTTGGAGAAAACAATGAAAGAAGGCAACTTCGGTGAAGCCGTGAATGGGTGCGCGCAAGCGTTGACACGATGCATACGCACGTGCAGTTACTATAATTCGTCGGTTCAGTGCGTGACATCGCATAGCTGCAATCGGCTGAATGAGAACGTGTCCTGGACGCCGATTTCAGGCGCAATTCAAACACGACTCGGCAACTTTTGAATTGAAACCGAGATCCTAGAATATTGTTTTCTCAGAATATACAGCACTCACAGAGCTGAAACTTTTTTAGCTCTGTTTTTTAGCTCTGTTTTAGCTCTGCTTAGAAGCACCCTTCTTTAGATTTTGAGTACTTTTTTTGCTTCAAACGAACAAAAAATGCACCAATGACAAATGATCTACCCTACCTTTAAAGATATACTGTACGTGCTCTTCAACAAATTTAATCTTTTAAAGAACAACCCACTTAAAACAGGCTTACATGTTGGTTTCTTTTGCACACAAACAGATCTGCTCTAGTAGACGAGTAGACTGGTTCCAGTCCTTACATTACTGATTCAGATAGGGGGCAGGTACCAGTTTACCTTATGCGCACTGAATAAAATTTGGCTCCAATAATTCACAAAAAGTTAAGTTGTTACCCCACAACTATATTTGGCCCCATTTTTTTCGTTCATTTAAAAGTGAGTACATTTTGTATTTTAGGTATCTTTTTAGGGTAAAACCCCGAAATAGTATGGACAGTACATCTTTACATTACTTGATGGTTGTTAAATAAAAAAAGCAAATACAAAATCCCTTTTTGCTATAGACCCATTAATGTTTTGGCTTCATTTCCTTGCTGGATAAGTGTCTCGCTGGCGTACTTCTCTAACAATTCCATCTTCTTTCTTCTTAACAATGCTTCTTCAACCTGCCAAAAATGGATCAAAGATTGAAAGTAGAAGAAAGTTCATATAAAGAATATCAAAACTGATCAAAGCCGGTACCGCTGTACCGGGCAAATGACTCTGCAATAATCAGAAATGAAACTGGCGTAGGGAACAAATCGGAAAATAGGCCGACCAAAAATACGTGTCCGAAATGTGGGTCGCTCTGCAGTTACACATGTACATATACACACAAAAACTATGCTCGCGATGATTTTTACGTGCAGTTATCATCGACTTTTTCATCGACTATTCTTCGAAATTATGATTTAAATAAAATCACATATTGTGGTAAAAATCGCTAAAAAAACAAATTTTGTGGTATAAATCATACAAAAATCAGAAATTTCGTTGGAAAATTCAAAAAGTCGCTTTTCCGATTAAAATTGGAAAAGTTTCATCTCTGAATAATATTGCATTGCTTGTATTTCCGAACTGTTTTGTTCGGTTCATTTTGGGTTTTTCACAAGATGGCTGAACCGAACCGAACCGAACCGACCCGAAAATTGCAAATGCAAAACCGAATCTGACCCAACCCTACTAAAATGATGGAAAAACTGACCCAACCAGACCCAAAGTTGGTTCTGGGTCGGGTCGGTTTCAGGTTGGGTTTGCACAACATTAGTACCCTCTACTGCTGCATGGCTTGCCAGGGATGCATTCGAAACTGACTTAACCCAACTGAAATGATGGAAAAAACCGACCCAACCAGACCCAAAGTTGGTTCTGGGTCGGGTTGGTTTCAGGTTGCGTTTGCACAACATTAGTACGCTCTACTGCTGCATGGCTTGCCAGGGATGCATTAGGGAAACAAAATCCAAATCCTGTCTTGAACTAAAACTATCAATGTGTGACCTTTGTACTTATAAGTGTTTATTCATCTTTAACAGAAATGCAGACAAAACATGCCAAATGTGTATATTTCTTACCTCTTTTTGTGAGGGTACTGGAACATGGGCGACGTATCGAGGCTGGCCTTCGTCTGTCTCCATCTGGGAAGAATCTTCCTCATCTTCAGACTACGATCAACAAATTTAGAAGAAATATAGAGGAATCAAAATAAACAGACAAACTTTTAGGTTTGATCATGAGGGCAGATCCAAGGTGAAGTTGGGATGCTTAACCATCCCCATCCACCCTTCTTACTGACAACTGTTAATGATGTACATTATGGAAAATAATCCCAAATTCACTAAGTTTGCTGAATGACCTTAATGATTGATTGCTTCACATCGCTGGTGGATAACCTGCTAATCACATTGCACTATCTTTGGACTTGCAACCACGGCTAATTTCTTACTAGTTCACGGGATGACATTGGATTAAGTCCAATGTGAGCATTGACCTCAACAGTAAGCCTTGCCTGCAATGCCTCATTCACTCCTGCCTCTTGAAAACCCACAATCTTAAAAAAAACCAAGCATCCCCTTTTAAAAGTCTTGGGAAAACATCTTTAGATAAAACATTGCATTTGTAGCTATCACTTAGGTACAAAATGAGAAAAGTATGACCACAAGGAACGTCTACTGGGTGAGATGGCCTAGCGGTTAAGAACACTGGACTCGTGCTCTGGTGTTTCACAGGCAACAGTGGCGTGGGTTCAAGCCCGGGCCTGGACACTTGTGCCCTTGAGCAAGGCACTTAACCATTATTGCTTCGTCCTTCGGATGGGACGTAAAGCTGTAGGTCCCGTGTGTTGTATAAATGTACGTAAAAGAACCCAGCAAACACTTATCGCTAAGAGAAGGGGTTCGCCCCGGTGTTTCTGGCAGTTATCCTCATACATGTACATACACCATGAGGCTGTACGCGATAGCCACACCAGGCGTTTGTACAGAAGCTAACAGATACAGATACTTCAATAATGAAGTTTGGAAAGTGGATTATCAGCCATAGGTCATCCGGTCCCCAAGTCAACTCATCAGTTACTCCTTGGTTACTGTTCATCCCCGGTTACTTTTTGCGGGACTTGTGAAATGACTTGTGATTTACTTGTGACCGGTTTGTAATGTGGTTATGATCCATCGCAAGTCGCTCAACAACAATGAGTCCTACTGACCTCTGGCTCGTGTGTAATGGCGTAAATATCCTCCTCAGCTTCTTGCTCCTTGGTGACCTCGTCGCTTAGCAACCCCGCCTCCTTCTTAGCCTTCCATTCGCTCACTGCTGCTGCAATGACTAGAACAAACACAAAATAGGGGGTTTATAATAAGTGAAGGATGCAAAGGCCATTTTACACTATACTCTCTCTTACCAGTGTTGAAATCTGTTTTCCCGAGGCGAAGCCAAGTGCAAATGGAGCCCTCATGATCCCCAAGGGAGGCTAGTCTGACTACATCAATAGCTAAGCATTCATGTTTGTTTTATAAAGCACAACCCGTAGACTCTGCTCAAGTTTTAGTGATATCTGATTAATTAACCCATTTATCTCCATAGCGCCCAAAACTGCCCTGCCTATTACTCCCTGTAGCGCCCAAAACCGCCCAAGCCCGATATGGATTTATGGATTCAACAGTGAATAAACACAATGTAATACAATGTAGTACGGTTGCTAATGGGTTAAGCCAAAATCCAATACAAATGTACTTCTATCTCACTAAGAAATAAGCTGCACTTTTACTTGCACGTTTCCAAGCTAACCCTTTATGAAATGTTTGAACTCGACTCTGCAGCACGTGGGAACAATACGTGCAATGCACACAGACCTCCGCTTGAATCTTTGGGTGAGGGCTTATGATCAGGGCCCAATTTCATGGCGCTGCTAGGCACACGATTTTCTGCTAACAGAGCCTCCGTCTATTTCATGGAGACCATAAGCAGTAAGCACACCAAAAGGCTTACCTCAGAGGAAAAATTTGCTTAGCTTAGTGACGTAACAATAGAAATCTCCATGCGCGCGTGACCATTAGCACATATAGCCGTGAAATAGTGCTTAAGCTAAGCAAATTTCTATGCTATGGTTAGTACAATAATTTGCTTAGCGGTAAGCAGCGCCATGAAATTGACCCCTGAACTCTATCTATAACAAGTGGACTCACTCTGTTTTTCATGTTCCATTTCAAGAGGCACCAGAACCCCATCATCCTCATCTCTGTAACCGTAGTAATCCGCATCGATGAATTTCATCAGTTCTGCTCTGGTCTTCTTGGGAGGTGGAGGAGCTGGAAGAAGAAGGAAACAGTAAGATGGAAAAGGAGATGGTCGAGGTTGTCAATGACCGATGAGAACACAAGGAATCTAACTTCTTTATGAATGCTGAAATTCTGCATCAGCACTAAGAGAGTGAACAAAATTGGCCAAAAGCTAATGAAATTATGTTGAAAGAAACGGAAAAAAATAATATGGAATATACTTCTCCCGAAACAAAAAATTCCATCATACAAAATAGTGATTGTAGTGGTACTAGGTGCTATAAAAGATTCGAGCTCGGTGGTCGAGTGTTTAGCCTTTCCACTAGTGTGCAGCAGTTCAAAGGTCCCAACTGAGTAGCTTCTGCAAATTTGTTGTGCAGACCCTTGGACAACACCGAGTATACAGTGCTTATGAAATTAAAATTTTGTTACCAGTGTTGTAGTCCAGACCGAATAGTCCAAGACCGAAACTAAGACCGAGACCTGAAGTTTCAAGACCGAGACCAAGGATAATAAATAACAAAATAATGATAGAACTTAACTTCTACCAAGCCTTGTAAACCTGATTTAAAAAAATGGGAGCTAGAAAATATTAAATTGCAAAATATTGAGATGCAGCAGTACTGGTACTGCTGCAGCTTTACATGTACTTTGGGACTTTCCAACGTGCAGTCAGATCCAACCACTAGGCCTATGACTTTGTTAACAAGGTTGACAACATGATCTACGGGCTAGAAAATGTTTGAAGTATCAACGGTACTGAACGAAGTGATCACAAAGTAATCGATCGAGCTGTAAATGCTACATATTGCCGGTCTCGACCCGAGACCAGCCAAAATATCGAGACCAAAGAGGACCGAGACTGAGACCAAGACCGAGACCACAGCTCCCGAGACCGAGACCGAGACCAGCAAAACGTGGTCTTGAGACCAGACCGAGACCGGTCTCGAGACCTACAACACTGGTTGTTACTTACGTTCATGTTCAAAGAGCTCCCTGACCCCCGGCAGGTCCTTGGCTGCTCCAAAGTACTTGTAGCCCCTGTTGCCTGGCACTTCCTTGCCTTCTCTGTCCAACATCTTGGGACCAATTTTCTGTCAATAATATTTTAAAAAGTAAACCACGCTTTACAGTCAACATTTTGTCCAACTTTGCCAGTTGAATGTTTAATTTGATTGAAAAGTGTGAGACTCTATAACCGACAAAAATATGACCTAGTTCAGATTTATAACAATTCTACCCAAATCTCAAATTTTAAACCAAACATTCCTTTTGATATTTACCCGGTAGTCAGGTCCTCCTAGCTCGACGATCCGTGCCTCCCAGTGAGTCTTCTCTCGCAGGAGTTTGTTGATTTCATCGTTCAAGTCTCTGAGTCGGAACTCACCAAGACCAGCTGTTCAAAACAAAACAATGATGAGATTTATTTACTTCAATAGAATATTTTAACATCCCTTCAGGACCTAAATTTGATGTAAAAATCCACTACAAAACGGGGCTTGTAGCTAAAACAGTTACTAGGCCAGTTTTTTTTACTAGACCAGCAAACATTTGAAGTTTAAACTGATGAGGTGTTTATTTCAGGTTTAAGTAAATCAACCCTAACCGCCCTGAATCCTCCAAAATCCTTTTTGCAAATTGGAGGAATATTCAGGATTGAGGTTACATGGCCAAAGTGCATTGCTGATTTCGGAGTACGCACTGTGTCAAGGTCTTGGGCCGGACCTTGTGTTGTTTATGCTCAGCCGTGCATAAATTGAGTCCTTGATTATACTTGACATCCTCCGCACTGCTCCAGGATGTCACTGCCTCTGCCTCAGCCTATTGACAGTCATAGCCGGAGGATTTTGCAGGATTCAGGCAGTGGTCACCCCTCCATGGACCATATTCAAGAAACAACGGAGGAATTTGCAGGATTGAGGCTATATGCTATTTTGCCATGAGGCCAATTGGAGGATTTTGCAGGATTGAGGCTACATCCTAGCAAAAAGGCCTAGGGAGTTAGGGTTAAAGGACATTCTCTTTCATTGTTACTGACAACTGGAGAAACAACATCAAACATGAACATGTCACTTCGTCAAAGATTGACAATGAACAGCAGCTTGAAAATCGACTAGACCACTGGCCTAGTTCAGTCATGGAAAATACTAGGCCAACGCTTATATCACTGGGCTCAGTCAAGTAGTTCAGTGGATTTTTCAAGCCCTGCACAGTGTACAGTAACAGTGGCCAGGCTACAAACTCTCCAAAACCAGCCGTCAAATTTTCAAAGGATCTTGGAGGATTTACAAAGCAGCAAGGAACGAACCATTTTGTATCTGTGCGACCTTCTTTGACGTCTCCGATATGATCTGTCGCCTCCACTTCTCAGCCTTGTGTAGGTCCTCGCACTCGGTGGCTAGGTACGGTCGCTTCTCTCGGACCTTCCCTTCCTCCATCTGGGCTTGGCGCCATCGCGCCAGCTTTGTCCTGATAGAGGGGTGGGGGGGGGGGGGAGGGGGGAAAGGGATCAAATTTAGTCTGATTCAACATAAACCCTCAGCCCACTAGAGAGAAATTCCTTGGCAATTTTTGTTGGCAATTTTCCTAAATCTTCCACTGCGAAGGAAACCAATTTTTTTGGATTAGAATTAAAAGATAACAAAAAATTCAGGATTACAAATTTAAATATACAAGATTTTCTGCAAAAACGTTGATTGCAAACATTCCTTGGAATGAGAACTTGCAAAGAATGTAGTATCCAGACGCAACTTCTTTGGATGTGTACAAAGATTATATGGAGAGTCAAGTACATTTTCAAAGTATTGTCTAACAAAATTGGAAATGTTTTTCAGTCCCAGATTCATGTTTTATCATCATTATTGCAATGACTGATCTTCATTGAGATAATAATGACAAACAGGCGTCAGGATGCAACTTTCTTTCCAGGAACTTTAATAAGGAAATTATTCCATAACCACCAACACATCTTTTCAATTATTTTAAAGGAAATACAACAAGACACAAAAAAAACCCCGACTGGTTGCAGGTGATAAAGACAAGTGTTGTGCTACTCACATTGCCTTTTCGGAATTCCGAGCCTGTGGGAAGAAATTGAAACAAAATGGCACATTACAATATGGATTAAATTGATGTTTAAATTGTAAAGGTTCAAGAATAAATGACAAAGGAGGCCAACTTAGAGTTAGACTCAGGGAACATAAACTGATTTTATTTATCCTTGATGTACCGGTTTTTGAGGGTGTAAGGATTTATTTCATTTTCAAGCAAGAGAAAAACACTGACTTAGCCTTCGGTTTCCAATTTTTTTGGCCTGGTGGTGGAACACGTACGGCACACACAACAAATCAACTGGTTGTGTGGTACAAATCTGTGCGTGTTCGTCACTACAATGTCAAAACTAGAAAACTTGGTGCCTCAAAAATAGGTACACGATACATCTGGTACCATAGGACAACAGTAACGTCAGATTTTTGACTGATCTAACAAATGACTAATGAACTTGAACTTGCGCTTTTATTTATACTAGGCCTAGTTTTAAACATGAACGTAACTGGCGATTGCCATTAAATTCCATTGGGACAATAACTGATGGAGTTGTGCGGAAACAATAAAAACCACAGAAAAATGGGGAGAAATTTGCATAGGCCTACACAATAGTAATAGTATTACTATCGATCATACTGGGGGCGAGTTGGCAAAAAGTCTGAACTTTGTGTGAAAACAAATCGGGCCTAGGCTAGACTTTAGATTGAGAATACTTGTAAAATTAAATACGTGTACCTACCATTTTGTGTTTTCCGCTATCGCTTCTCCCTCAGAGAGTTTCTTCAACAAGTCTGCTCTACTTGAATTTATTGGTCATTTTTCTCTAGAACCTGCGCAGGAAGACTGAAGATCAACACGCGAACGCAATTTTTACGATGTACTAAATGTCGCCCTCATGAGCTCAAGAGGCGAGGCATGTTTTCAATGCACGTGTGTTGGACCATCATTGAATAGAAGTGGAAATATGGTGAGGCGATCGTCATCATTTTTTTGTATTATTTCACTACGTAATTTTCAGACCGATTTCATTTGTAACTAAACCTTGTTTACATTATTAGATACCAAACGAAATAAATCTAATTATAATTCCTGATTTCACGAAATTATACTATAATTTAGGGGCATGTTTTATGATCATCGCAATCGCATCAGTTTTGGTGTTGGTTGGCAGTGCTCAGCAGACTGAGGGCGCACTTGCGCTATTTGTTTGTCATGTTCGTTTATGGTTTATGATTGAATGATGTCTTCATCTATTTTTAATCTTAGTAAAATATCTCTAGATACATTACGCTAACCTGTGATGTATTCACAGGTGTTCAAAGTTCACGCATGCATCTTCATCTTCATCTTCATGCGATATGCATGATCTGGTTCCCAGAACTAACAACTAACAAAAAAATAAATTCAACTTTAGGATCTGTAATGTGGCTCTCTTGGAACCAGACTCAACAGAGGTTTTCGGACTTTATTTTCCTTTAAAAAAGTTATAAATATTTATATAGATTCGCAATGGTGTTTTTGCAATGCCGTAACGAAAGCAGATGAAAATCGCATTACGGCTGTCGTAATGATAGCCACTAAATTTTTCATCATTACAAAACCCCAACTGATGAGCTCACTAACATTTACATTATCACACAAAGGCAATGTCACAAACGATTAGTCTTAACAGTTTTAAAAACCGTATTATTTATGCATAAAATTAATCCCATGAGTATGACTCACTGTCAAAATTGCAATTCTTTGATTTGAACTTGTTGAATTCTAAGACAAAACTCATCCGAAACATAACTTGAAGAAATAATTAAATAATACATAAAAATTAGGAATAATGAAAAATTACCAATTAATTAATAAACCCAATGCCTTTCCGGAATTTTTAGAAAGCAAATCTAACAATTTAAGTCTCAAGGTCTTTGGACGAGTAAAATTAATTTCAAATGTTATACTTTATAGGTGGGCAAGGACATCCAGAATTTTTTTAACCCGCAGTTACCTGCGATGGACTAGCATCCCATCCAGGGGGAGTAGAACTATTCTCAGTTTCATGCTACTGAAACCGGAGATAAACGCCGGCCTGATGAGCCACATCGGCTCGGGACAGACTTTACAACAAAATGTTTTGGGTAGTGAGCCATACAATATTGATATGTTGACTTTTCTTTTATGTTGTACCCATAGTTACGAAGGCAAGCAAGACAACGCAGGGAGTACCTGTATAGGAAGTCACTGGAGTCAAAAGATCGCGTCATCAGTGAAAGAAAACGAAAGCTCAAAGATGCTCTAGATGGTATGTACACATTTCGTTGTCATGAACAAAAGAATATGCTCACCGAATTGAATCGACCTGAAATGTACAAGTGATCATGAATTTTACACTAGGTACAGTTATAAATTACTTAAATCACATAGATTTTGAGAAATTTATAATATAAATTAGTTGGAAAATGGTCTCATTGAGTTGATTATTTCTAAACAGTCAATTTTTTTTGCAACCGATTACCCATAAATAATTAATAGTAATATTGATATTGTTTAAATTCTGTATCCAGAGAACAAAGTTCTCTTGATAATTAAGTTGGACAATTGAATAATTTTCAAAAAATATTTTTTGCGGACAAGATATATCCCATTTTTGTATTGGTTGTGGTTCTTTTATAAAGTTTTAATATTGATTTTGTTCAAATGATTTTATTTTATCCAGAGAACAAGCCGATACCAACAGAATTACGGAAAGAAGCCTTGAGTTTACAGAAAGCTCTGGCCTATGACGACGAAGGTGGACAAGGTGAGTTACAAAGCATTCTCTAAGCTTGACTTTTATTGGAGGAATTTGTCACGACTCACAGAAATTGACCAATCCATGCTTTTGTGATAAGTGTAGACGCGTGGGACACGTTAGTCATGACACAGGCATTTTGGCAGCCAATGAAAAAAAAACTTGGGTGGGACTCGAACCCACGACCTCCTGCTTTCTAGTGCAGATGTCTTACCAATCGACCACCGAGCTAACGGGATCAGTTGGCTGGTTCGAATCTGATGTACATAGCAGCGGGTACCGCATTAACTATTCATATGATGGAATTTTGCGTCGGGGTGATGTAAATCAAATTAGGTTTTGCCCTTCACCGACGTATAAACACTGTATACTCAGTGTGTTACCTCAATTGCCCTCCGCTGCTATGTACATCAGATTCGAACCAGCCAACCGTCCTGTTAGCTTGGTTGGAGTGTTGAGACATCTGCACTAGAAAGCAGGCGGTCGTGGGTTCGAGTCCCACCCGAGTGATTTTTTCCAACTTTCACTCGGGAGGTAACACACTGAGTATACAGTGTTTATACGTCAGTGAAGGGCAAAACCTAATTTGATTTACATCACCCCGACGCAAAATTCCATCTTATGAATAGGACGTAAGATGTAAGCTTTTTTTATGATGAAATGTTTTCACCAGGAAAATGTAAATTTTGAAATATGTAAGCTGAAAACTGTTTGATTAACATTTATATTTCTGTGGTAAATGACCGTCTTCATTGGCTTTTAAGTTACTAACCCAGTTGTCTTGTAGACTTTTTTCCTGGGAGTCAAGCTCTCTTCTGTTTTGTCTCCTGTCCAGAGTTTAGCCACATCGATGATGAGTATAGATGGGCCGGTGTGGAGGATCCCAAGATTATGCTGACGACCTCAAGAGATCCCAGCTCCAAGCTCAAACAGTTTGCCAAAGTCAGAACTCAGTTATGATTTAATTAAGTGTACCCTTTCTGGCCCAGAACTAGACATCATTTACACATTCAAACAATTAATGATGTTGGTATATCTCCACTCAGAGATATTTCATGGTGTACCCGCAAACCTTTCACTTAACCCTAACTCCCTAGGCCTTTTTACTAGGATGTAGCCTCAATTCTGCAAAATCCTCCCATTGACCTCCTGGAAAAATAGCATAGCCTCAATCCTGCACATTCCTCCATTATTTCTTGAATATGGTCTGTGGAGGGGTGACCACTGCCTGAATCCTGCAAAATCCTGCGACAGTGACTGTCAATAAGTTGAGGCTTGGTCTGTGACATCCTGGAGCAGTACGGAGGATTTCAAGCATAATCCAGGCCTATATTTGTGCGTGGCTGAGCAAAAACAACACAAGGTCCGGCCCAAGACCTTGACAAAGTGCATCCTACGAAATCAGTAACGCACTTTTGCCATGTAACCTCATTCCTCCAAATTCCTCCACTTTGGCAAAGAGGATTTTGAAGGATTCAGGGCGGTAAGGGTTAATGTACCTTCCCACCATGCAGAGCTTCAAATCACACTTACAAATTGAATAATAATAGAATTGTATTACTTAAATGGTAATAAGGTACATTTTCACAAAAAAAAACATTTAAACAGTTCCAGCTTGTTCTTAACTTAGTTGGATTATCAACAAGCACTGTTTGTTTAATAAAATGCAAAATACCTCCTTTTCAGGAATTAGAGTTAAGGCAGTTTTAAGCTATGGCTATTAATATTAATAAGAAACAGCAAAGGAAAAGTTGCTTGAATGTAAAATACTTCACAGAACCATTTTCCATCATTTGGCATGTTTTTTTTTTTTTTGGGGGGGGGGGAACCACGATAGCAGTCTTTGTGGACTAGACTATATTACGTCTTTAAAAGAATGGAAACAAACTTTTTTAAAGGTCAGCCAACTGGTGTCATATCATGGAATTGTCTGTTTTTATTTTATAACGTTTGACCTTTTGACTTCAACAGGAAGTCAAGCTGATTTTCCCCAATGCCCAGCGGCTGAACCGCGGTAACTACGATGTGAACCAGTTAGTACAGGCCTGCCGGGCCAATGAGGTCACAGATCTGTTGATTATTCATGAACATCGGGGAGTTCCAGGTTTGTGATTGGATTAACCCTCCTAGTGGATTTTCGTTTTTTTGCTGATAATAGGAATTAAGAAATTTAATTCCATGTGAAATTTTTATTTTACAAAAATATCTATGCACTCAATACTAATCAAACCTCATTACCAACTGGCACTCATTTTCTCTTGAGAATAGCAATTGTGGTAAAGTGACTTGCCTACGAACACACCAATTCATTCCTGCTGTTTTCTGAACTCTCCTTGTAGGGACTTGTTAGCGAAGACAAGTGAGAAGTTTGAAAGAGGGGTTTTCTATTATTATTAAAATCGTGTCCTGTAACCATGAGAATTTAGTCATTAAAGGGAAGATACAGCATTTGCAAACATCAAAAACCGAAATGATCAAATTATCATGAAATACCTTACTGGATTGTTTAGGAATGACAGTCTAAAGTATCCTGTAAAATTGCGGCTCCTGGTGTGCTGACATTTTAAAGAAAAAGTGTATTTTTCCCACGCTGGTCGGCTGACCTGCGTTGGAGAAAACTGGCTTTTTTTCAAAAACTGCTCCCAATTTTTTCCTATTTAGTTATTCCGCATTTTCTTTGCAATTGATTACACACCTGTGAAGGAGTACAAGCCTGCTAGACTTATTCTCTGACCTTACAATTCCCCAAAGTCTATAAATTGCTCCGTTTCATCTTAAGTGGGGCCAGGGAACCAGACTACAAGAACATGATTGGTTTTCTTGGTTTGTCCAGCATCTACAAGCCCAAAAAGAGAAACAAGTCAATTTAACAATAGTTGCTATAACATACTAATCCTCCAAATCCATTTATTTCTGAAAAAAGCACATGTTGTACATTCCCTTTAAGAGTCACCGTTCAATTTACGTTTGAACAACACGAACAAATTTCATATTGGTGTAAAAATTCCATTTTTCTTCAGACGCTTTGCAGGTGTGTCATCTGCCGTACGGTCCGACAGCCTTCTTTACTCTGCTCAACACAGTCATGAGACACGACATTCCCAACATAGGGACCATGTCCGAAGCCTATCCACACTTAATATTTCACAACTTCAAGTCCAAACTCGGAGAAAGAGTGAGTTAACTTTTTTTCACGTAAAAGTGCTACTCTATATGTAAACAAATAAGGTTTTACACAACATTTTCCCTGCAAGTGTAAAAAATGAAGCAGATTTCGTGTGACCCTGACCTTTGAAATATGGTTTGTTGTCAGGAGCACAAAATTTCCGCGATCTTTGGATGAATGCGTACATTAGAGGTGATATACAACATTTGTCAAAAAACGAACCACCAAATTGTTGTGAAATACCTTACTTAACTGTAAGTGAATAATAGTCTGAAGCATTCTATGACTTTATGGCATGTTGTGTGCTGTTATTTTCAAGAAAGTAGAATTTTTGTATCATTTCCAACAACGGTTGGCCGACCATCATTGAAAAAAACCCTTACTTTTCTCAATTACTGCCCCCAGTTTACCAATTTCGATTTTTGCAAAAAAAAAAATTTGCAGCCAACTTCTGATATACAGCCAAATGCCACAAATACTGATTCGCAAGAGTCATTTCAACATGTACGATACGATACGATATTGTACGATATTTCTTGCCGAAACCTCATATCTTTCAATACTCTGGGGTGTGCACTGGAGCGTAAATTGTACAACAATAGGCCGTGCACAATGGCCAATTCAAGATCAATACTCGGCCCACCTCCACCGACTTCATGGACTTTGTGTGTGCACAAAAGGCCCAAAGGATTAGCGTGTTTAGACGTCACCCGGAGGCGAGTCGAGCCATCCTTGACATTTTAACCCGTCAGCCGTACCTGTGTATAAAAACAGCCAGTGCGAGTTATCACATTGTCCGATGCGAACTGATTAATGCACTGAGCTCATTCACAAAGAGTATCGCAGAAGAATTGAATATGGTGTTCCTTTTTTTCCCTTTGAACGATGCAGGTTATGAACATACTCAAGTATTTGTTTCCAGTTCCAAAGGAAGACAGTAAAAGAGTCATCACATTTGCAAACCAAGATGACGTGATTTCCTTCAGGTAAGCATCATTCATGAACATATCTTGTAAGCAATCTGGTAAGCAGTCTGGTAACCTCAGCTTCTGAGATTTCATTACTTGATTGGACTGTGGCATGTCTTCCTTCCCTGTTGTTTGATTGGCCAGGCTCACAAACGAGGTTGAATATGCATATTGAATTCAATATTTAAAGGCATATAGGATCATTTGCTTTTAATGCAATCTGTTCGTTTCCAAAAATAACACCACTCAAAATCCAAAGAAGAATGTTCAAAACCTAACCTGTTGATGTTTCAGCTCAGTGGATATTACACTTTTGAGAAAACAGTGCAAAACCATGCACAACCTTTCGATCACGAAACACAATTTTGTCTGTATTTCCACTTTTAATCACATAAATTTCTTGATTTCTTCTAAATAATTTCACAGAGTTTTTAGAACCAGAACGATCTTTAATCCAAGTAAGCTTTTTTTTTTTAAATTATCGTTAGGTAGGTTACTTTTGGGATAAATGCAAATGATGCTATATGTGAAAGTAAAGTCTGTCCCGAGCCAATATGGCCCATCAGGCCGGCGTTTATCTCCGGTTTCAGTGGCTTGAAACGACTGAGAATATTTCTATTCCCCCTCGATGGGATGCTAGTCCATCGCAGGTTACTCCCCAGCTAATGCCGGTGCCTATTTATACTCCTGGGTGGAGAGAGGCAAGTGGGGGTGAAGTGGCTTGCCTAAGGACACAGCGTATGGCCAGCAGCTGGATTTGAACCCCCCCCCCGACCCTCTGATCATGAGTCACAGACCCTAACCACTAGGCCACACTTCTTTTTTTTTTTACAGTTTTGAAAAGAGCACAATCTCAGCATTTACTGATGTAAAAACCGCATGCTGATACCATCTTTATTTCAAAAATTATGGAAGTCTTAACACCAAGAGATGTGATGAAGTGGCCCTATTTTGGCCTGAATCTCCAAATGAAAGTTCCCGACAAGCGACTCGTTTAGCTTGATCGCATCACAAATATGTGTGCAAGCGATGGATTTGAATTATGGAAAAATTGTATTTCATTTTGACAGTTACAAAGAGTAAAAATTGACTGCTAAAGAGTGGACTCATGTTGAATGTTTTTCTAAATCATTTGTAATACGCAGACTGAATACATTGAGAGTTTACTTGCCTTTGTATGTAATTGTCACTTTCATTTTTGAATGTGTTAATTCCTTTCAGACATCACACCTATAAGAAGACAGACCACAGAAACATTGAGTTGTCAGAAGTGGGACCCAGATTTGAAATGAAATGTAAGTACGTGTATAGACCTGGAAGAAAACACTCATTGGCCTGCCTTGTAGGGCTCCTTGAGCGTACATTGATTGTGTGCCCAGATTGGTCCATAATAAGAGGTGTCTTGCATGCATGACTACATGTCTCTCTTAAAGAGGTTGTGGAATGCTCGAAGACATTTCCGTCATTTTTGGGGTATATTTGAGAGCTATTTTTCAGGTCCTGTTTCGACCCGAACGTGCAAGTTGTGTAAAAGTCGCCGTTGCGGGCAGCAAACAAAACACAGTAAATCGTGACGTAATAAACAGGACTCGTTTATGCTACTCTGCATCGGGAGTCCTGTTTATTACGTCACGATTTACTGTGTTTTGTTTGCTGCCCGCAACGATGACTTTTACACAAATTGCACGTTCGGGTCGAAACAGGCATGACAGGACTTGAAAAACAGCTCTCAAAAGTACCTTTTGTACTCATTTTATGACAGAAACAATAGTCGTTTTTATTTCATCACATCTTAGGCTACATATACCCGAAAAATGACGGAAATGTCTTCGAGCATTCCACAACCTCTTTAACTGATGCATTATTGTGTTCAGGATAGCAACGTGAAGAACTGACAATTCATCATAATTTGCCTGAATAGTGGTGGGCAATTACGGGCAGTTTAGGAACCGGGTACCCTATTGAACTAAAACACAGGTACCCAGGTACCCGTTAAAGAAACCCACCCCAGGAGTTGCTGTTCAGATCGTTCAGAAAAGGGCTACTAAAGATTTGCAACTACTTTGAAATCGTAAAATCTGTTTTTGTTTTCCATGTAGCCTGGTTTTCAGCTTGAAAATGCTCCACAAATGGCATTCGAAAACCTTCCTTGTGTATTGTCTGAGAAGTCACTAAGTAATTTGTAAAGTTGGTTACGTGTACCCAATCCTATTGTGGACACCCCTATGCACACCCCTATTGTGGAAGTGACGGGCAAAGTTGAAAATTAATACACATACCTTTCTTTCTTTGTGAAAACATCAACAAACTATCACATGACTTGTATCTTGTAACAATACATCATGTATTTTTCATGATCTTATGCATTTTTCACGACCCTTGACATCTTATGCATTTTTCATGACTTTTGACATCTTATGCATTTTTCATGACCTTTGACATCTTAAACATTTTTCATGACCTTTGACATCTTGTTTATTTACACAGTGTACGAGATCCGGCTGGGAACCATTGAAAAGGAAGATCCAGGAGACACAGAGTGGGTGTCACGACCCTACATGAACACGGCGAAGAAACGCAGACATCTCACTGATCAATGACCGTACTGACTGCCCTCTATCATGTTTCATCATCACCCGACAGTCTTAGTTTAAAGCCCGGTTCATAGTTCACGCGAATGCTAATGCGAAGCGATTTTGACGTCATGAAACATTGACTGCGAAATTCGCCCGAGTTGAAATATGTTTAACTTGTACGAATTCGCAGTGCGAATACTTGCCACGACGTCACAAATTCGCGTTCGCTTTCGCGCCGAGTATGAGCCGGGCTTCAGACTGGATTTTGATTTTTGTACCCCTCATGCAGCTAGTCTCTGACAAGTGCGTTAAACAGCTGTGGCGGTAGAATATCTATCAACAAGATGAATTGATTCAGTCTTTGACCCAAGAAAATTCAAGCATAAAATTGGAGAAAAATTGAGTGCGTGCGAGGCACGCTTGGAATTTTGTTTGTCCAGCAACCAATTTCACAATTGCGTAAGTCCACTTGTGCCGCATTTATTGCGTATGTTGCGTCAGACTTCAGATTTGACAATTTCAGGAACTTTTCACAGTGCGTAAGTCTACGACTTGGGCAACAAATCAGACTTGGTAGAAACCAAGGCCACAATGCAAAAATGTGCATGACGTCATCGTGGGGCATGTGACATCATCATCAATGTGCATTAAGTAACAAAATAAATATACTTCGTTTTACATTCTTTTTTTTTTACAATAGGATTGGCAGATAAATGTTACAATTTTGAGAAATGCGACATGACATCATCAGTACAAAATATTTTGGAAATGTATTTAACAACAGATGCGAAAAAGCCCTGTGTTCTGCTTCAAAGAGACATAGACCTCTTGTTCTTATTCCATCTCATGGACAGAGAATTTAATATTAACTAGACTTTACTGCCACTTCTTTTTCCGCTGTGTGCCCACAATTACCTGTGAAAACTTTGCAATTAAATCGTTTAAGAATTGTGTACATTGTATTAATAGTTCACTCTTTAAGTATCCTGGTTGGAAGGAAACAGCATAACCCATCATGTGTTTGAACATAGAAATTGGGACCAAAGTAGGGGAAAATAATGGAAGTTTTTAACACAAATACAATGTATTTGGCAAGAATTTCAGGAAAACAATGATGAATTTGTTCAATGTCTATTGAACTTGATGGTGTCAATTTTGATCTTGGAGTGGGATATCTAACCAATATTGGACTGTGCTTTTGTAACTGGCTAGCAGTTATGTGAAAATATGTCATAATCCCTTAAAGTGTATTTCTGTGTGTGGGAAATAGATGGTTAATGTGGGAGGCGGAAAAAAAGTCTTCATCCTTATTGAATTTTAGTTTTTATGTTCATCTACTTGCAAGTCTTGCAAACATACTTGGAAACGTTGATTCACCCTGATGTAGGGTTTTGTTTTTGCCAGCAATACAGTTGTGAAGTTGCAAGACGTGGAATATTACTAAAATTTCTGAAGAATTGTTCAGTTCCAAGAATATTTTTTTTTTGGGGGGGGGGGGGTGGATGGAAGCCAAGTTAGTTTAGCCACCTTTATTTGGTGTCTCATTCAGAGAGGGGATCGTGGGGGGGGGGGGGGGGGGGGTCTGTTCAAACAAACGATTAAGCACACAATCGGCCATATGTTGTTTTTCAGGGCGACACATGTGCGATATTAAATAAAAGGCACCCTAAATGGCAGATGCCACAACAAAAAAAGGGCACATTTCTTTTTAAAAAAGGGCACTTAAATCTTCAGAAAACAGTGCACTTCTTTAAAATAAAAGGGCACTCTTCAAATTATTTGGGGGGGGGGGGTTCAGCCCATTGAAAAAAAGGGCATTTGAACCATGGAGGAAGGCAGTCTTTACAAAATATTGGGGGGGGGGGGGTAATATACCCCTTAACCCCCCCCCCCCCTCCGGATTTTTTCTAAAGGGGAGCAAAACATATTTTTCCCAGACAATTCCTGTACTGCTCTTTTTTTCTTTTGGCTTTTCCGGGGGGTGGGGGTGGGCAAGCGCCCCCCTTGCTCCCCCCTCGCGACGCCCATGGTCTCACTTTTCTCTGAGAATAAGGTGCAAAAGAATCCGAGCCCCATCTGAGTTCAATTTTCGCTCTTCGAATTCGCGTAATGTGGGCACATGTTCGACAGCGCCCTCTAACGTTTATTGGAGCCATAAACGTTAGAGGGCGCTCTCGAACATCGTCGCGTCGTGTACGTAACTAGCCCGACTGCGTCTGGCCGTACAGTACTATCGCAAGCTCTGTAGTACGGCCAGACGCCCGATGCTTCCACAGAGACTGAATTTTGTTGGCCGCCGATGTAGCGATTTTGCTACATCTTTCGATCGCGATTATCTTTTCATCCAGGACACAAATTTCCAGAGTTAAGGTTCGTAGTCGTAGAGCAACTCATACCTTTTCGAAAAAACGTTGTTTGGTCTCAATATTTTCATCCATCTGGCCACAAGACGAATTTCAGTCATCAGATTCCACAAATATTGTCCCCCATGCGATCTCCCATGCGATTTAAAAATGGCGGCCGTCCTGTAATGTATGCAATATGCAGGCGCGCCCGCACAAACTCATGAATATGCATAAACAGTCTGTGACGTATGACCTCGTGTTTTTGGACGTACGGCCCCGCCGCACGCACGTCCAAAAACACGAGGTCATACGTCACAGACTGTTATGCATATTCATGAGTCTGAGCGGGCGCGCCTGCATATTGCATACATTACAGCGCGGCCGCCATTTTGAAATCGCATGGGGGATCGCATGGGGGACGATATTTGTGGAATCTGATGACTGAAATTCGTCTTGTGGCCAGATGGATGAAAATATTGAGACCAAACAACGTTTTTTCGAAAAGGTATGAGTTGCTCTACGACTACGAACCTTAACTTTGGAAATTTGTGTCCTGGATGAAAAGATAATCGCGATCGAAAGATGTAGCAAAATCGCTACATCGGCGGCCAACAAAATTCAGTCTCTGTGGAAGCATCGGGCGTCTGGCCGTACTACAGAGCTTGCGATAGTACTGTACGGCCAGACGCAGTCGGGCTAGTACGTAACGTGCTCGTGATTGTGTCCGATTGTGTCACATTTCGTTGTCGCACGGTAGAATTCTGCGAAATTCAACAAAAATATAATAATATTACTCTTCTGGAGACTATCTTCAATGAGCTTTGATCGATTTAGCAGGGAAGTGATGTAACTATATCGACATTCACTGGTTCCTTTGACATGTTTTTTAATATGTAGTACTTAATGTATGAATTCCCCCTTATGGAACGGGAGCCTCCGTAGTCTAATGGATAAGACATCGGCCTCCTAAGCCGGGGGTTGCGGGTTCGAGTCCCGTCGGAGGTGTTCTTTTTTAATTTTTTTTTTTTTTAATTGATAATTTTTTAGAAAGACATTATGTATTGATTATCCTGTACTACAATATATTCTATGTATACAGGGAATTTTCTTTTTCTTCTAATGTAACCGATTACCGTTTATGTCGATTGGGTCAATCATGGGTCAGTGCAACTACATGTACATGTACATCTGAGGACTGGCATAAGTGAATTAACCCCCCCCCCCCCCCCCCCCCTTCTCACGAACAACGCCAGAGTCAAATGACGTTCAGCTTCCACGTTCACAGCGAGAATATTTTTTTCTTCTTAACCTAAAATTTCTTATGCTTTCCATTACATGTAGACCTATTTTCTAAATAAAATTTCCGCCCATGCCAGTGAGCGTAGGATGAATCAAAAGCAGGCTATAATTACATGTTTATGTACGTAACTTGAAAGAAAAAAAGAAAAGAAACAGCAAACATTTTATAATTTAAGTCACCTTTATTGTTTCCATAAAAAAGTAAGACAATGAGAACTTTTAATATAAATTACGCGAAATCGATATTTTTTTATACGGGTATTACACAAAACTGATGATTCGCTCATCCCATGCGCATAATGCCCATCGCCTGTTCCAATGGATCTGGTGACCGCACTAATCCCCTTTCACAAAAACGTGTGAAGGAGAAGCAGGCGTCTACTGATATATCAGTATCAGTGTATCAATGTCACATGTACATTTCGTGCGGGTCATGGGCATCGGAAGTGCTGACCCCAGGTCACAACATGGGCCCTTGCTCTATGATCCAATAAGAGCTCAAAGGAATTAGGTCAGTGACCCAGGAGAGCTACAGGGCAATTGGGACGAGCGAAACTCAGCAATACATTTACAATTTGAAATCTGTAAATTAAATTGATCTTTTACATGCATCGTGACCGAATTAAAAACAAAAAGTTGTATTCTATCCTAGTTATACCTATGTTGTTTGAAAACATAAATCGGAATCTGAAGATTATTTACAACAAGCATGTACATGTACATGTACAAAGTATTTAACAACAAATTATTTTAATGAAATCTAGGTAAGGAATTGTATTCACATAATGTCACCATTTACATACATGCATAGATTAGTCTTGTAATATACTCATTCACAAAAATTGTGTCTCCTGATTTTTCTTCATTATGTGCTGCGTAAACACACATGCACTTTACATTTTAAAACAAATTGGCATAACATTTATCGATGTTTATACGTCATTAGAAAGTAAACCAAGTCATCAAAACTTATTTTCAAGAGCACACCCAAAAGTAAAACAATCAGCACACGACATAACACCTGAAGTAGGCACCTATGTATGCAATTCCCAATACTATTAAGTTCTCAAATTAGGTGTTGCCCTTCACCGACGTATAAACACTGCAGTGTGTTGTTACCTCCCGAGTGAAAGTTGGAAAAAATCACTCGGGTGGGACTCGAACCCAAGTGATTTTCTTCCAACTTTCACTCGGGAGGTAACACACTGAGTCGGTGAAGGGCAAAACCTAATTTGATTTACATCACCCCGACGCAAAATTCCATGATTAATTATTAAGCTCTCACAAAATCTCACCGTCCTTGACATAAAACGTTATTAAAAATCGTCCACACGCATGAGTTTACCAAATATGAAACACAGAATCAAACGTTTTATGAGCTTATTCAGTACCCACGAAATTGATGTTGACTCGCATCAACCGTTCATGCCAGCAGTGTATACAAAACACTGTTATGAACTAGAAAGCACTCAGAGAACGAAAACCTCCGCCAAGGTTGTACAATTCCCCGCCATACTCGCAAATCCATGGGCTGCGTTACCCACACGTTCTACACGTACACATACATGTAGCATACATGTATTCGCACATACAACATGGTGAAGAATTCTTTAAAAAAAATCCTGCATCCAGACCCAGATCACTTCCACGAGTTGTACTTATACCGTACCAAGGACAACCCCTAAAAAAATATTCATGAAAATCCGTCAATAACTTTTCGAGTTATCATGTTAACAGATCGACAAACCAACACAACAGCATGTAATCTACAATGTCATGTAAATAATCACTAGCCCCTTGTTTAATCACCTTTATCATGATGTGTATACTTTGATATTTAACCTTTGTAACCATGGTTGTCAAACATCACAAATGTGACCCAACCTAACAAAAAATGAGCCTTAAGTCTCCAGAGCTATCATTGAGTAAAATTCCCTTTAGTAAAATCTTACACAATGAAAATGAATCAGAACAATCAACTTTTTTCCACCACATAATAAGGGCACACTCTCTAAATTCCAAAGAGTAAAAATTCACTCCATTCGAGTGAAGATTCACTCCCACAGTTGGAAACTAGGGACTAGACTTTTTAGAGCGAAATTTCTTCAATCGTAAAGATCGAGTTTTCACTCGAGCTTTGACTCGGAAGTGTTTTTTTTTTGCAGACTATTTCAATCGAAAATGAGAGTGATTTTCACTCTAAAACGTCTAGTCCCTAATTTCACTCTTTGGAATTTAGAGGGTTTCAAGTGTTAAACTGAGTCAATATTAGTACAAAGAAGGGCAAATTGTGCGCCGCGTAGGCCTATACAGTTTCACTGCACGGAGAAACTTACATGTGAAAATGTTTACTTACGACTCCTTTCGTTTGATTTTGTCACAAATACCTCGAGCAGATAAGCATTTAATACCCGAATGATGCAGTACGATTTACCAATAACGATATGGAAAAACAGCATGTGAATACCCCGCGAGTTTACACTCCATGCAACCAACAATTCCCAAGAAAGCCCACTTGGTCTATATAACTGATACATTGTATACCCTGTATTTCAAAGTTAAAGTATTTTACATTTTTTTCAATCTAATAAGTTATGGTCTGAATCCTGTGTCCGCAAAATAATACAACTCGGTGACAACTCGAGACGTGTACAAATCGTCTGCATTATTGTGGATTGGTTCCGCGGCCCCGCTTCCGCAAGTCTGTTCCCTTGCGAAGTGTATGAGACCGGCATTGGGATAAAACTAAACACAAAGTATTCAAAACACTAACATTGATCTTAAATTCCTCAGAAGAAAAAAACAACTCATCTTTTTAAACCGGTACTTCACAGACAATACCTTACAAGCATGCAGATACATGATGTACACCATTAACGGATGCCAAATAATCGATTCCCTCAAGTCATGGTCAAAATTATTTGAGACAATGGAATATGGTTTCAGAAATATAAACACTTACACGTACGTACGTACCGTATTTATCTTAAATGAAAACAAACATGTCGAATTGAACTTTGAAGGAATGACCGAAATCGATCACCATACTTAAAAGCAAACGGAACACATCCAAACAAAAGCAACCAAAAAAGTTGAACAAAATTTCAACCCATTACGTACGCAAAATCAAAAACGGAACTACGTATTAAACGCTAACACGTAACGCTGTACGTAACTTTTGACACAAGACGTTATCCTGACAAGAAGAAAGACAACTCTTTCCAGTCCTTATGATAAAACGTAATGTTCTCACATTTTGAGTTATTTCCTCACTAAAGCACACTGTGACTGGTGTCAACATCACTGCTGCTCCGAGTTCAATCACAATGAAAGTAGCTTTAACCCCTTTTTCGGTCAAAGTGACTACTAGCGTGTCCTGCCTGAAGTTCTTTCGCTTCCAAAGAAAACATCGCGTACAACTCATTCACTGAGAACAAGGGCAGTTTAATGTAACACCTTGCTGTAATTATTAGTAAGATTTAAAAAAAGTCATATCGCCAATCATTGTGAAAGACTTTAGTGTTTAATTCGTTCAAAGAATGGTGCAGGTTTTTGACTTTGGGACTGGTGTCGTTTGCTTGGCTTGCGTCCGAGTAGTTGTGGCCTCTCCATTGGTGGATTGGCCGCCCTTTCCAGCCTTGATCTTTCTCAGCGTTTCCTGGTCTAAGTGATCCTCCATCACCTGCACTTCTCGCGAGATCTCGCGGAGCTCGGATTCCATCTTGGTCATCCTTTCATCTTTGGCCTGGTCGTCCTTGGCAAATCGCTTGAGCCTCAGCTGCAGGTCCTTGCACTTGCGTTCACTCTCCTCCTTCTCCTCCAAGACCTCAGCCAGCTTCTCTCGGAGGAACTTCTCGGTGTCCTGTTGCTGAGACAGCTCGCGTGCCATGTAGTCTGCTTGGACCTTCATGCCGTCCTTCTCGCTCCCTCTCCGCTTCCTATCTTTTGCCTCCTCCTCTGATTTAGTCAACCTCTGCTGAATCTCTACATTCATAGATCTCAAGTCCTCTATATCCTTCTGGGAAGCTCTGTACTTCAACTCGTAGTCAGTGAGCTCCTCTTTATCAGGTTCTGTTGTTGCAGAAACCTGTGCCTCTTCAGGTGTTTCTTGGTTGGGTTCCTGCTCTTGGGGTGCAGGTGAGGAAGGTTTCTCATTGGTGGGCGGGGCTTCTGATATGGTCTGCTCCCCTTCCTCTGGCATCGCATCCTGCTGGAGGACTGGAGTTGCCTCCTCTGTCTCACCACTGGTTTGCTGCTTGTTCTCTTCATTGGACTCACCAATAGGGGTCGCCCTGTCTTCTTGTTTGTCATCGTTATTTGAATTTGCATTGTCTGTTGGCTGCTCATGCATGTCAGCAGCCTCGGCCTCCGGCACTTTCTCAGAGGTGCTCTCATCTGGCTTCTGATCTGCCTCGGCATCTATTTCAGGTGCCTCGGCGACTACTTCAGGTACCTTAGCATCTTCCACAGGTGCCTCAGCATCTTCCGCTGGTGCCTTAGCATCTTCTGCTGGTGCCTCGTCATCTACTCTGTTTTCCCCACCAGGTGCTGCGTCAGCTTCAACAAGCTCGCTACTCTTTCCAGTGCCTCCTTCCTCCATCACCTTCTCTGGCTCAGATTCCCCCAATTCCTTTTCCTCTTTTGGCATTTCTTCAACACCTATGTCCTCTTGTTTGGTCTCTGCATCCTCCCCCTTTACCGCCTCTTCTTCTTTTGCCTCATCCTTTGCTGCATCCTCCCGGGCCGACTCCTCATCTTGTTTTGGTTCCTCCTGCTTAGCTGCTGCTTCCTCAGAAGCAGCATCCGGTGAATCATCAGCCTCCTTGGCATCTGTCTCTCCTGGTGTTGCCTCCTCTCCACCACCATCAGTCTGTGGTATGTTTTGCTCGGATGCGGGTTCTGACGCCTCTGCTTCTTGGCTAGGAGGAGAGTCCTCCTCACCCGATTTCTCCTCCTTAGGCTTCTCCTCCTCAGATGCTGCAGGCTCATCTTCCGCGGGTTTCTCAGCTGCTTGGGGCATCTCTTCTGAGTTATTGTTCGTCTCCTCTACTTTGTTCTTAGTTGGATCCGCAATCTCCTGAGTTGTGTCCGGTGTAGCTGCAGTCTCTGTTTCGGCCATTTTCAAGATCTGAGAAAATATAAATATGGGTAAATGGTAAGTTAGAATTTATCATAAGAAAAACAAATTTGTTCTATAATATTTATGTCAGTTTAGGTATTGTATAGATGTCCGTAATCACATTTTGCACTTTTGCCTTATGCCTGACGTTTTCATGAATTTCATAATAAACACAATCGTCATCTCCGGATTCTATCGTCTTGGCACAAGCAAATTACGTGCACGCGGTCTCACAACAATTGTTGTCGACAAAAGGGCAAACGGATTAAAATGGTACAGAGCTCATGGCTATAGTATAAACATAAAACATGCCATGCTTTTTGCTAGACGTCATCGTGCAAGTCAGCGACCGCATACACTTCGAAAAGAGGGGTGAACGCAGGACAAGTTTTGTGGTTATTTAATTTTCCTTGAGTCGAAGAAAGTGAATATCAAAATTGGTCCCAGCCACTGAGAGACACGAATGTGCGTGTGCATAAACACAAACAGGACGGGAAAGCTGCGTGTTGGAAGCAAGAATTTCAGTGTTGTACCGGCTCCTTCTTTCTATTTTCGTTGTAGCTATAGTCTGAAGAATAAAACAAGCAGCATCATAAACAGCACAGTGTCTTGATTGTTCTGATCTCCGACCAATTACAATCTCACCATCTCAAATTTCTCTTGAATTTTCAGCGGTCCAGTGTTTTTATTACGTTCCTCAGAATTCGTCTCATTTTACCGATCGCACGGATCGCTGAAAAATAACTCGAGCTAAGATTTCTCGGTTCAAATAAGTTCTTTTTTTAACTGTTGGTTTAGAAGTTTGAGTTCGTCCAAGTTATATCCTTTACTTAAGTCACGTCGGAGGAAAAATATTTCAATGGAATGAGAACCGACATTCTTATTTTTTGGTACATCGGTGCAGACGACTCAAGACCAGTATTATTTTATGGCCACTTACTCGCTGGCGTGGTTTTCTTCACGGCAATTGATTCCTAAGGTTAATGAAATGTTAATGCTCCAGATCTGATTTCACTGCCGTCAAACTTTCGCTGTCATGCATTAACTTCGCACAAAATGACAACCACGTTGTCTTACGATGACTTGGTGAAATTTTGGAAATTGTGGATGAGCCGAATATAAATATTGGTATAAACTCTATAAATATCAGCACTGGAGACGGGAACCGACTTAAAATCACACAAAACCTATTAAAGAAGCACAGGACCCAGGCTAAGTAATGCCATACAAATACCAACACAGCAACAACTGAAGTCATCTTAGAGACAACCCTTTTGTTGCGAACACAATCGATATTTTGGCTACTGGTTGGCTCAAGGCTTCCAAGCCGATCAAATAGACATAATGGTCTACGGCAAACACGTGCAAACACACATCCAAGTTGGAGGGATGCTATCAGTTGTAAAGTGCCAGGATCTTAAATACCCTAATCTCCATACCTTCTATTAAAATGTCACAGGTCACAATAATGACACCAGGTAATTTAGGCCAAAGGTTTGTGTTGTTGACATGCCGCAACAAGATTAACACCAGTCACAAATTTACATAACTTGGAGATCTTTACGTTGTATAAATCTAACTCATCTCCAAATTATGAAGTCAAAAAATGGAGAAAAATTACTTGGTAAATGTCGACATCATAACTTCTGGGAAAAACATCACTCGTACTTAAGAAGAAAAATGACGACTTCTACATTTGTATCACTGATTAATCAGCATTTCCGCCACAACACTAAAACAACCAATTCCCAAAACGGAAGATATATAGGCCTACCCTAAAAGCAAAATGAAGAAGTTTGGTTGCGCTGACTGTAGTAGAATCTTAAAAGAGAGGGGCACCCATGGGTTTATATCAAGAGATAGACTTGTTCTTCTGCAAATTTTGAGCGGGCGTGGCATATGGCGGGACAGATCTATAACCGGGGCCCAATGTCCATTTCCCAGTGATAGATATAACGCAACTGCTACAGAAAGGCTTTTTATAGTGACTGGTTTAGGTTTACTTTATGATTTGGTAGATTTACTGTCCAAAGATGTATTCGGAAATGTCACGGAAAGAGTTCACAAAATGTACTGCGAAATGCGTGATGCCAATGGATGTCATGATCATGCTTTTCCCGTATTCATCTAGCGAGGATAACACGTATTGAAAAACTGCGAAATCTCTTGCAGCATTATTTCTTATCAGCAATCATTCGTAATATTATGCACAGCATGTCGAACCTTCTGTTGCATAATTTTGGTATACACACGTAAACATATCACCGCATCCAACCACTGGTTAGCAACGACTAAGTAGGCACTCTACACAAAAAGGCACGGCTTCGTGAAACAACGTAGTCAATTGCAGTCATTGAGATAATAACCGCTCGTATCAATCAGAATAAACATTCGCCATCTGACTCTTTTTCTTGGTATCTCAAAGTACATGTATTACGTATTAGAACAAACCAAATATGTTTACTGTTGCTTCGTGCATCTATGGTAACATTATAAGGGTAACGGTGAAATCATGTTCGTGCACTGAAAAATTGCCTGGGTTAATTTTACAAAACTGGAACTACCCAAACTTGGGTTGTTCTGTAACCAATTGTTTGGGTTAGAATTTCTGCTAAATTCAATCAAAAGTTGAAGTATTTCAAGACCAAATTTAATTTGGTCTTGTATGACAACACTTTTTGGTTGAATTTAACATAAATTATAACCCAAACAATTGGTTATAGAACAACCCCAGTTTGGGTAGTTCCAGTTTTCAACCCTTTTTTTGGTAAAATTAACCCAGGCATTTTTTCAGTGTGGTTAGTTTCTCCATGGAAACTCCATGTTTTTATTCCTCCATGCTTTCTCCACTTTTCAGAAGGGGTTGTCGTGGGCTACGGTTAGAAATGCTATTGCCTTCTAATTTGATGTAGTTTGGAGTCAAACCATGCATAGAGCTAAACGCATATGCTTTACTAGTATTTCATATATGTGGACCAAGGTTCGAATCTCGTCCAGGGTAACACATTTATTGTGTTTCACTCCCTGCCACAAAATCGGCACAGTTTCGTTAGGTTTTCCATCCTCTAAGAACCTGAAGTTCATTACCAGATAAACAAGAAGTCCACGATATACATGCCAGATGCAACCAGTCATATACATCAAGTTGAAAAGCCACATTTACGTCAAACAAGTATAATCTCAGAACAACCTCCCGAATTATTAACGAATTGAAACATCTATTTCTAAAGTTCCATGTTAAAGTCACCAGAAGAGAAACACAGAAAACAAATAGTACCAATACTCCACTATTCTCCGCCATCGAAACTACATATTGCTGCGGTTTGAGGGCAGACAATGTCTCCATGACAACACACTCAAGGACTCATCATTCACTCGGGTAAATGGCGCGTAATAAACTTTCCGTCGATACATCGATATTGATCGTAACGACACGAGGGTTGCATGTGGGTGTGTGTTTGGGAGGGCCAGGGAACAACTATAGTTTTGTACGAGGCGAACTTTCCTTGGTGCAAAAGTTTCTTTAAAATAGACGTAAATTCGTGTGTCTTGCCTAAATTGCAAAGCAATAATTCCCTATCATTTACTTTACTTCAACCTGAAATCTCAACAGCACTTGAGTGAAAGCCAATCTTCATATTATAGACGAATCTGTCATTCATCAATAATGATGTAAAATATCCCCCCTTTGATTCCTTTCTTGAAATGTTTCTAGATACCATCACTGATCACACTAAAAATGAATTCCCAAGAAAGTATCATGCATCTTGTACATTAAGATACATCATACGATCATCATATACATGTATATACGAAGTCCAATTTTTCGGTAAGATTTACAGGATTAGATTGTCCACGGCTCTTTAACTTTAAGCTTGATATCACCATGGTGTCTTGTGTGTGATTTCGGGTACAAATTCATGCAAATAGACAAAAATTGGGAAAAATGTATTAAAATCGGCAGATCCAAGATACTAATATTACTTTAATTGGCAAAAATTTGGGCATTTTTGTATTAAACAGTGGATACGGCTTATGTATCGCACGCAAAAAATTCTAAGGTAAGGGACATCGAAGTGCATTTTCTTGAAGTTATTTCCTGGTAATGACTGTTTTATTTTGTAATGAACTAACATTGTTTTAGAAGTAAACGTTTTTTAATTTCGATTTATACTCCACGAAACACACGTTTCATATTGTGTGATGTAATTGGGTTACCAACTTGATTGCATGATTCAACAAAACCCTTGAAACCCATACCCTTCTTCTGAACTCAACCATGACCTGACCGGGTTATTACGAGACCTACCTTGTAATTCGATCAGCTCAGCCGGGTAGTTTGTCGCCGATGACCCCGTTGCCCTCGTAGAATCCACGGTACGTGATGACGATGACTTTTCCTTCGTGGCGTACACACACTGAAAGTGTACTGAGTGAGAGATGCGATCTTATACCGCACGTTTCAGTTCATTGTGAAGGGCACAACATGAAGACAGAGGTATATCTCAGTTGTGTGGAAAAGTCACACGAAACCATTCACACAAACTGGCTCTAGGAATACCATCCGTAAAATCCAGACTTTTACCAAGTTGATCAGGTGTTAGTAACCTGCTGAAAACACGCCGTACCGAACTTGCTTGGGACGGTGGACATTGGTAGTACACGATCGCGATGGTGTCGTTCCAGTTTGTTTAATGCATAATCACGTAGAGACCAGGGGTTAGGGCAACTAATGACCCCACTGAATATGCATTCCGCTGATTGTTCCTACAGTTTGGTATCTTTCATCCGGCTGGCATGTACCGCACAGAGAGTCGTCGACACTGCGCGTGTATACGTGTACGTAATGTGAGTGGCGAGTCTTTGTATTGTCCCGTATCCATGGCGGCGGGTAAACTTTGTACCTTGGTGTACCCCACGTCACGCATTGCTAACCATGCGATGATAATGCTTCCAATGGGATGAAGATTTTTCTTTTAGGATCATGTGCAAGGACCCCGTTGCTCTTAAATGTAGATAAGGTCCGCGCGTACGAGCCAAATTTCGGCTAAATGCCGTTGGATTATCAAGGTCCTGAACTTTTGAGCTGGTACAATCCAAACTGATGTGGAATATAATTAACCAAATTTTTTGGATTGTGATTTTGACATAATAATGGTAACAATAGTAGCATTTTAGAAGATGCTGCAAAACAAAAACAGATGTAGGCCTACATCGCCCCACTGCTGTGTAACAATAAGTTTTTGTTGACTTATGTGGATTGGGTTTTCAGTCCACAGTCAGTTCACCTGATTCCGTGGGTTTTCCCCAGAATATTATTCTAAGGTTGCAGACTAAATAGACTGACATAGACCTCAGTGATATTTGCGCTCACTTCCCACAATTATTAAAACTACTCACAACTCTCCATGGTATTTGAGACTAGACAAACATCAAATTAAAGCTTATTTCATCGTCTTTCATTTTCTGTTCATTTTGAAAACGGACGCCTTCGCTCCACTGCAAAATAGAGCCAATGTAGGGCCTAATTTCATCCGAATGTCACACTAATACGAGCTCGCAGTCCTCTGCACAGCTACCACGCTTCTTTTCTACAAGTTCACTTTCGTCAAAATACCCCATAAATACCGGAGAATTTGAGAGCACGCACTGGAATCGTGATTTGGCCGGCGTATTAATTTCGCCGGCGTAATTTCGGGCCTATTTACTGGTCTGCGCCTCTAAAACTGTAATTTCTTCTCATTGTCTTCTCTCTGCAGCTTTCTTCAGGCTTGCGAGCTACTGGTGCCTAGGGTGCTTTTGAGGGATCCTTGGTTTCATTACCAGAAATAATCAACTTTCATAAAAGGTTTACGATCTTTATATCCGCTGCGCTTAGGCGCCGCCTGAAACATGGCTTGGCAAGTGGAAACTGACAAAATATTTGGACTCGGAAAACATATCCAACTTTTAAAATATAGGTTGAGACCCAGATATAGAAGGGTAGTTTAGGCTATACGCTATACATCAATGGGTTGTTGAAACATTTTATTGATATTTGGATGGAAATAATTCGGTATTTCAGTTTAATTAGTCCACCTTGATTGAAACGACCAACCTTAAAATGGAATGCGTAGATCACTTATCACAGCCGACTGGTAAATTAAATTAATTTACTCAATGACATGGTGTATGAGAAAGTGCTCATCGAGTTAATTACGACCGTTAGGGTTAATTGAGTTAGTGCCAGAGGCGATAGTTGTCATACGGAAAGTGCATCTGTCGTTAGACTTAGTGCACCGTGTAGTTTGTTTTCTTGCCCTCACAGCAATTCTCATTACAATAAAATTACGTCAATTATAAAGTCAATTATAAGATCAATATTTACGTATATCTTGATTCTTGCATATTATGTTGACCTTTATAGTGCAGCGGCGGAATCCACTACTTGTGGACGTAAATTCAAATCAGCTGGGTTCACACAAATGTCTTTTTTTCACGCGGCGGGTGAGAAAAAAAAACTTTTTATTTTCTCTCGTGCTCGTACAGCGAAACACTCATTCACTGGGACGGAAGCGTGGACAATACATGTATTATTAATTATTTTAATTCCGAAACGATTCAGTAAGCCCCAAAAGGCTGGCCAAACTAAATTTCAGTACAAAACATTGGTGTCTGCATTTCTGAATTTTTGAGGTCACGTCAGAAGGGCCGTAATATGTCACGTCCCCATGCAGACTCTGTAAGATCACTCTAAAAAAAGGCAGTCGTGTACGTTAGTGTAGGGCCCTGTTCCCAATATAAAATCCACTTTTAATTTATGTTGACTTACCAAACTAGTTGGCGACATTAAGAACAAACAGGTATGTCATAGATAGAGGGCAGGGTTTTGAATTTTTGAGGTAAATTTGAGGATAATGACGATGGCGACGACAAAACGCAACACGAAAATATAAGCTCGCTGAATCGCAAGACCCCAACCGTAAACCGCGTACAATGATCGCAATTTCTACCCCAAGGGACTGTTCAAAATACCAAAAACGGTGTCATCAGAATTGAGAGAAGTATGCTTCAGGTTGAAAAGGTCATGATGAATGATAAAAAAACACCTTTGACTCAAAGCTAAGGAGGGACCCTATATAAATCGTCCTATAAGGAAAAAAAATAAACGGGGAGAAGAGAAGATGGTTTAAGTCATTTGTCGTATTAAAAAAAGGAACTGCCGAAAGTGGCCTTTAAACACATGCATATTGTATACCCAGTCCCGTCTCGATTTTTCAACGGCCGGTTTACCCCCTCCAGGAAAAAAATTGCCACGCCCTTTGCTGGCGGTGTTTTGCGCGCGTATAAGCGTCTCATCTCAGTGCGTCAAGCTTCCATCGGATAACACGCATCATCTTTTGCCAATGTGATTTCATACCGCGGGCGTGATAATGTTCTCCTACGCGCGTGGCCGAGTTTTTGATCTAGGGCTAGGTCTATGGTAAGTTTCTCGTTCGGGATGCTTATCCAGACCTCTTTTCAAGACTGGAGGCTAAAAAGAACCTTTGAGTTAATACTAAAAAGAATTAAACATGAAAGAAAGCTCGAATCTTCCCGGCATCATCAGGAATGGGATGTGCAGCGAGTTCGTCATCCACACTGACTGTAAGTAGCTGCCAAGAAGACGCATCAAACTACGATAGTGCTTCGTCGGTCATTGTAACGAAAGACGTCTCGAATCGGAAAACCCTCTCCAACCTCCTTTCATCAGAAACGTCAGATTCGTGGACAGTGGACATCAGACAACCGGCCGGTGACAAGCCCAGACACGCAGATCATGATGCCGCAATCAAACTGGTCTCGTTGACATCTCTGGAGCGATATCCAGAACGAGTCTTGCCTCAACAACCGACTCGGAGGTACCGAGGGCAAAACGCCACAGGCGTGACAAAGCAAAAGACACAAAGTGAAGAGAGAGCACCAGTCCTGTTTACCAGTATCACCAACCCAAACGTCCTCGCATACCAGTCGTTCCCGGCCGTCTGCCATAAAGACTACCAAACTGCATCAAGGAAAAACCAAATTAAAAGAGGACCACCCACAACTAACTGTGAATCTTCAAGCTTACCTTCAATTCACAGGCGATTCCGATGCTCTATTAAGTTTCTGCCGCCGCTTCGATTCAGGAAAGTTCGCTCTGATGAGCCAGTCTACCGTGCGTTTCGTCGGCTCGAGCTGCCGATTTCTAGTCATTATCCTGGCTACACTTGCAAACAGACTTCAAGCGATGTGATGGATGGCGAAAGTGGACCTAGATGGGACGTTTGTGGCTACTCCAGCACTGATGTGAGTGATCTTCAAGAAATGTCTGATTTTGAGGTGGAGTCAAAAGGCAAGTTCTCGCCGCCTGAATTTCAAATGAGCGAGGCCTCATCCAGATCAGATTCCATCGCCCCAACTCGGATCATACCCAGAGAGTTTGCTCGTGTGCTTTCCTCAGATTCCAGTTTTGGTGACAAATGTAATGATGAGAATGCAAACGAGGACTCCAAATATTTCTCCGAGGACGTAGAAGCTGATCAAGCTAGCACGCACCCAGAGGACACGTTCAGCTCTCCTTGCGAGGACCTCTCCACCCCTTCTATCCTGTCCCTCCTCAACCACGTTGACGGTTCCAACTCCTCCGAGGACATGTCAGGCCTCAGCTCTGCCTATCCGATGTCCTCGGACTCGGAATCCTCCAGGGACACTGACTTATCTGACGAGGGATTCTCTGACGCATCTTGCACCCTTGGTGCTGTGGACTTATCAAATCTCCACATCATGCCACAGTTTTTAGACTCCAAATTATCCTCTAGTAAGTTGAAGCATCCAGCCGACACACCAATTCTCTACAATGGAGGCATCTCCGCATCTGACTTGGTATCTAAACGTGACCGTGGTCTAGGAGATAACCTGAAGAGCTCAACATCGCGCCCTCTGTTAGCAACCTCACCACTGACTGCCGCTAAAGGGAGAACCATCGGTCAATCGGCCAGCTTCCAGGCTACCAACAGATGCTCGACAAAACGAAGCCATCATACTATCAGCTCCATGGTCTCAGGCGATCATATTCAACTCTGCGACCCGATACCTCTAGCATGTGGCTACGCCAATATCCATCTTCACGTCAATTTCTTCAACGGTCAGTTCACATTTTAAGTCCCCATTTGTGCCACGTCATAATGGTTAACTAAAGTTTGGCATCGTTAAAATATATAAAAACACCCAAAATATTTTGTTAAGAACCATTACCCACTAGACTAGTGAATCATCAAAACAAACTTCTCCCTGAAACAAAATTCTCTCACCGTTTGGTTAATGTTTAACGAAAACAATAGAAAAAGGATGGGCCCATCATGAGTGATGCGACAATACAGCAGCCCACATCAGAATTATGAGTTTGTTTCTTCTCTTTTCTTACTAGTTTGTATCTTGCTTTGTTTTTCAGATTTTGGCGACAATTTTGATGACGAACTAGACTTTCTGTAACATGGAGCTCAATCCAGAAAATAAAAAAAAAATAAGAATGACTGTTAGGCTGCAGCTGAGGAGGACCACATCCTATGTGTGACAGTTGCTCCGTTAATGTCTCGGTGTTGCCAGTGCTAGAAGTTCTGAAGAAAAATGGTACATTTTTGTGGTTCTTTATCCTGTAAATTTATGGAATGATTAGAACTCATGGTGTAGACCACTCTTTTAAAAAAAAATCTGTGACTTGTTCAACTCATTTCCTGCAGACACACTGACATATCTAGTACCTGAACTAATAGAGTGTCGACTTGTTCAATGAGCCGATATATAAATTGAGTTTAAAGTTTCGGATGTCTGTGAACACTTTCAATCGAGAGGAAAGTATTTTTCCGAAAGGAATATTTGAGTTGTTGGAGGCAGGCATCCAGGAGGTATAAGACATATTTAAAATGAATTCCGAACAGAATGACGCCCCAAGTATAGCAGCAGTCCCAACTACAGATGGACAGTCCCAACTATGGTTTCTAGAATCCCAACAATAAGTTGCAACTTATTGTTGGGATTCTCGAAACTAGTTGGAATCGCCAAACCCAACTTCAACTACAGTTTGATAAGAAGCTATGGTTAGGGCTTAAGTGTAAGTCAATAAGCAATCTTTTCTAACAAATAAGCATATTTCTGGGTTCACAAATTTGAATAGCAAATCCTGAACTGAACAGTGTCTTCCTAAAATGACATCACCACAACAGCGCCGTCAGTTGTCCGGAAAAGCAGGGAACATTTTAAATGTTTAAAGAAGAGCACATTCTATAAAATAACCAAAAAGGGATGTCAAATACTTTTCATACATTTAAGAAGAGTAGAACGTTGCACAAAATATGTTCCTAAGAAAAAAATTACTTCATGAACCCTTTAAGGCAGAACATTTTTGGGGTCAATTTAAACTTCAGCCTCAGTCTGCTACGAACATTACATCACTGACCAGTAGGATATTTTAATGGGTTAGATCACAATTATTTTATTTTTAAAAAAATACAAGTGTTTACGTAAAAATCTTTTTATCAAAATCTGTTTTCACGTACTGATTCTTGATCAGCTGCATGTAATCACTATTAAATCGAAGTCACAGTCTTTATAAACAATTTACAAAAACTTTTGTAAGCCATATTATAAAAAATTTGTGGACCTTTAAGGTTTTCAACCAAATTCAAACTGAAGGTCAAAAAAACCAAAAAAAACCCACAAACTAAGCACTGCTGAAGCAACAAATGTGTTGGATTCTAAAGACAAATTGTGCTTCAGGCAAAAAACAAATTTACCTCCCAAAACCCCAATAATTTGGGAGATTTAGAGAAGAGATTGAAAAGGAAAACAATATGCAATTGAATACAAGTAACGGACACAATTAGACTTAGAACATGGAAGAGGTTTGCTTAAAAAGATTTGTTTTAGATATAATTGGTTTAAATATTTATTGGCTAATTATTGCACTCATTTGTTTTTCTGAAAAACGATTGACATTGCCTTGTTTACTGTTTTGTTTTGAATGCTGACGCTTTATTGCTACATATATCAATTGTTTTCTTGTTTTCATTAAGTTTATAAACTTTGTAAAGCCAAGACTAAAGCTGGACTAGTTTGTGTGGTGATACCTGCCACATTTCTTGATGACCAGTTTCTGGAATGTGACCTCCCCACCGCGGCCAGAAGGTGCGCAGGCCATGAGGCCCATCTTCAGGCTCGCTGTCTCAGGAACTTGCAGGTGACAGATTCTTATCATGGTCCAGGCCTCGCCATCCGCGGATCCCTCAACCTGATGTGACACAGAAATGGACCAATCGGAAGTTAGTTCCACATTAACGGGGAGTACGATTGGTCCATACAATTCTTGAAAGATTTCAGTTCTAGTTCTTGGCTGTTTTTGAGCATCATGATGCAAAGGTCGGAGCTGATTTTATGCACTTCTGAGCTTACAGACGGAGCCCTCAGAAATTGGGTTTAAAGTTAAAACCTAGTTGTCCTTGAGCAAGACACTTTGCACCGATTGATTCTTTGATTGGTGTCATATGTGATCACTAAGTCATTTCTCAATCTGGGCATTTTCCAATCTTCATTAGCTCTCTGTCTGAAAAGCATTCCTGAAAAGTCACTCTTCATAAAACTGAATTGACCCATCGCGGTAGAATCGCGTCAACGCAGCTTGTGAAATATTGTCCATTTGAAATTAAATGATATACAAATGGACGCGGAACGCGCAACATCTGAGACAAACAAAATTTAGCGTACAAAAATTCCATAGGGTTGTCTGAGGGGCGTGGCTAACTCGCAAACGGCGATAGGGCAATTACCCCTCCCCAAAGTTTAAAACCTCCCCTTCCGCCGCAAAAATTATACATGCAACCGCAGAGCATGCGGTAACTTGCAATCAGGGTCAACTTCCTGGCATGGCTGAGAGCAGCAATTTGCTAAGCGTAGGAAATATTCGCTTAGCAAAAACAGGTTACCGACCAAAATGCTATGCTATGCTATGTGTATTGCTTTTGATTGGTTCTCCGCTGATTGCTGCTTAGCACATAAATTTGCTAAGCAAGAATTTCTGCTCAGCAGCTCAAGGAAATTGGGCCCAGCAGCAAAGTGGACGTTTACAATAATGCTTACCACAAAGTCATTTTTGATTCGGAACACTCTGATGTGAAGACTAGCTGAGGGCCAGTCCTCTGTCGACCAGTCGCTGTACGTGTTGGTCACCACGCAGCTCAGACGACATGTGCCATCCACAAACTCTATGCCCTGATAGACAAATCGTAGTAGATTGAATTATAACATTGGTCATGTCATGTCTGAATGGATGCCGGCATTTGAGGCGCTTTTAGAGCGCACCATGTATATTTTCGATTTCACAAAGTCAAACCAACACCTACCTTAATTTCACCTATTAAAACGCGTTTTAATTAATTTTGGGTGTAAGCACACAAGTATCAGAAGGATTAAATTTGTGTAAAACCTTTCAAATTGTTTTTCTCCGTTCTGTATTGCCGCATCATGCTTGGGTGTCAGTTCGTGAAACTTAAATGGTTGATTACGTGGTTTTCACGAATTGACACACACTTGTGCCTGAGTGTCAGTTTGTGGTGCCGATGACGAATCATTGAAAGTAACTTCAAAATGTGCGTGGCGTAGCCAGTGAGGTAAAACTTCAATGATTTAGTAGTTTTGCACCCTACTAAAGAGTTCGAGTAATTTTGATGTTTAACACCCTACATATCTTCAACAAACCAGTTCCATTTTACTGACTTTCAATGCTTGCTGTTTTATGTAATTTAAGAAAGAGTCAAAGTTTTCACCCAAAAGTGACAGTTTAAGTTTGTTTTCCTTTGTTTGGGATCTCAGCAAAAAGATACCTGTCATTGATCATTGTTGATACTTAAATCTACATAAAGAATGGTATTAAAATAGTTCTCAGAAAATGTATACACAAGGGCATCAAAACAGCCTACTTCACTGTAGTCACACAAGGAAACTTGTATTTCAGTCTTGAATACATGCATTGGGACTTGGGCTTGGCATACCGTTTTGATCCAGTGATCCTTGTCGTATCGGACCATCAAACCGGCCTGCAATACAGAAAAAGAGGATTAAAATGTGTTACTTATAATACTAGCGGGGTTTGGAGGGGGTGCGTACATCAGTTTTTAAAAACTTTCAGCATACCCATTTTCACTGATACACTAAACTTACCAAATTTCCAAAAGAAAACGAAACACTTGGCCGGGGGGGGGGGGGGGGGGGGGGGGGTCGAGGAAGGGGGTCAGGGAGGGGGTCAGGGAGGAGGTCGGGGTCGGGAGGGGAGTGTTGGAGGGTGAGCCAGGCAGCATTGGACTTTTTTGATTTGCTAGGCTGGTGGTGGTGATAGTGGTAGTGAATAGGGGCGGAGTTAGCTTGTCGGGGGGGGGGGGCATTCTCGCTGACCTGATCAAACTGGTTGACAGCCTTCAGGGTGAATGAAGTCTCCATCACCACACTGACCTCCGACACGTCAATGCATAGCACATGACCGTCATCCTGTATGTGCAAAGGTTCATAGTAGGTTCTGTGGGAGAAAAAATGGTCAGCAAAAGTCATGAATAAAGTAAAGATTGTGATCTGAAGCTTTGCATGGTGAGAAAATACAATGGTAACCTTTTTTTTTTACTACGCCTCATAAATATTCATGATCAACTGGGAACATGCCATTGCTCGATACCGCAGCACGTCTGGGAAGCGAAAATGATACGTGCCCGGGTGACGTCATCCCGGTGAGAATCCAGCTCACTGCCGTGAGGTATTTTTTTCTGGTGGCACCAAAAATCCCCTTTGAAACCCGGCCGCCTCGTAAACAAGTAGTGTGTGGCATGTAATCTTTACGGAACCAGTCTATTGTTAAAGTCCTTTTAACTACTGCAGTAAAGACACATTAAAGAGTGTTGGCACCAGACTATTTCATTGACTGACGAGGGACTTGAATATCTTGTGCTGAATAAAGATGCAAAATCTACAAAGGCCGTTATCGACAAGGTTACTAAAAAGGCAGTAAGGCTACTAAATATTATTTTGAGGTGTAGTAAAACAAATACAGCATGGTTTATTTCTGAAAGTAGTTGGAATTACTGGTCCCTCCGCGTCGGGAGGTAGTCAAGCTGACCTACACCTCGGGACCAATAATTCCCATTACTCCCCCTCGAACCATGCTGCATTAATATTGGTGGAGGGATGTTAATGATTTAGATACCCTCTGATAAACTCCAAAGTCCAAGTCCTGGACTTGTGATGGACTTGTGATGGACTTGTGATGGACTTGTGACTGGACTTGTGACTAGACTTGTGACTTGACTTGTGACCGGACTTGAGACTGGACTTGTGACTGGACTTGTGATGGACTTATGATGGACTTGTGACTAGACTTGTGACTGGATTTGTGACTGGACTTGTGACTGGACTTGTGACTGGACTTGTGACTGGACTTGTGACTGGACTTGTGACTGGACTTGTGACTGGACTTGTGACTGGACTTGTGTCTGGACTTCTGATGGACTTGTGACTAGACTTGTGACTGGACTTGCGACTGGACTTGTGACTGGACTTGTTACTGGACTTGTGACTGGACTTCTGATGGACTTGTGACTGGACTTGTGACTTGACTTGTGACTTGACTTGTGACTGGACTTGTGACTTGACTTGTGACTGGACTTGTGTCTGGACCTCTGATGGACTTGTGACTGGACTTCTGATGGACTTGTGACTGGACTTGCGAGTGGACTTCTGATGGACTTGTGACTGGACTTCTGATGGACTTGTGACTGGACTTGTGACTAGACTTGTGACTGGACTTGTGACTGGACTTGTGACTGGACTTGTGACTGGACTTGTGTCTGGACTTGTGTCTGGACTTCTGATGGACTTGTGACTGGACTTCTGATGGACTTGTGACTGGACTTGTGACTGGACTTCTGATGGACTTGTCACTGGACTTGTGACTGGACTTGTGACTGGACTTGTGACTTGACTTGTGACTGGACTTGTGTCTGGACTTCTGATGGACTTGTGACTGAACTTGTGACTGGACTTGTGACTGGACTTGTGACTGGACTTGTGACTTGACTTGTGACTGGACTTGTGACTGGACTTGTGACTTGACTTGTGACTGGACTTGTGTCTGGACTTCTGATGGACTTGTGACTGGACTTCTGATGGACTTGTGACTGGACTTGTGACTGGACTTCTGATGGACTTGTGACTGGACTTCTGATGGACTTGTCACTGGACTTGTGACTGGACTTGTGACTGGACTTGTGACTTGACTTGTGACTGGACTTGTGTCTGGACTTCTGATGGACTTGTGACTGGACTTCTGATGGACTTGTGACTGGACTTGTGACTGGACTTGTGACTGGACTTGTGACTGGACTTGTGTCTGGACTTCTGATGGACTTGTGACTGGACTTGTGACTAGACTTGTGACTGGACTTGAGACTGGACTTGTGACTGGACTTGTGACTGGGCTTGACTACATCCCTGCCCCTAATTGATTGACAACCACACTGTCCCCTTTTTGGAGTCTTGGCATCAAGAACCACAGTAAGAAATCTCCCAGATGCAAGCAACTTCAAGCACATTTGGGGGCTAGTGTCTGGCCTGGCAGGTTAAACTTCTTCTGAGATGAGATGAACTCACTTTTGCCAGAAATCTCTCTTCTCGTCCTGTGGCAGAAAAAACCCCAGAAATCACATGAAGTCAAGTAAATAATGTCAAATTTTAAAGACATTTTGTTACTTGTGTTCTCAAATTCTTAGTGTGAAGTTATGCTGTGTAACAAAACAAAGGCCCAACTGTATCTTAGTCCAACATTTTCTGTAAAAAAACCCCCAATGACTGGCCATTACAAAAAGTGTCGCCAGGAAGCCACAATCTTTTCCACATTTAATTCAATGGTTTCTTATTGCAAGAGGACACATGTGGACTAGGGCGTTAACAAAACTCAGAACTTTTTGGACAAGTTATTTTTATTTAGGCCGTATTTTAGACTATGAAAAAAAGACTTTTTTTAAGTCTTACATAACAAACCACACCCGGCTTCAATTTCAACATTCTTTTAAGTGACAGAACAATAAGTTAAACAGCAAGGAATGGAACGAACAGCCTGAGCTGAGGTAGCCCCATAAATGTGGCCTATTTACTGGACTGCCTCCGTAAACATAGGCCACACATCCACATGTACAAAAAACGTGTCGACTTTGCCAAATTTTGATTTTCACATTTAGGCTTACTTTGTAGATTTTTTTGCTTTAGAAGCATTCTTACCCTCTATATAGGCTAATCAGAAAGTGCTGCCTTTTTCAGATGTTTAATTTTTGTGAAATTTCATGTTGAAATTTTGATACGCAAACATGTGCAAATGTATCTGGAAATTTCACGAAAAATTGACATCTGAAAAAGGCAGCACTTTCTGATTAGCCTATATAGAGGGTGAGAATGCTTCTAAAGCAAAAAAAAACGTAAAAGGTAAGCCTAAATGTGAAAATCAAAATTTGGCAAAGTCAACACGTTTTTTGTACATGTGGATGTGTGGCCTATGTTTACGGAGGCAGTCCAGTAAATAGGCCACATTTATGGGGCTAGAGCTGAGGTTGACACTGTTAAAATTTGCTCGGATATTGCAGTTACTTGCCATGCATATGAGAAGTCCAGCAGGGTCTGCAATGACTGGCTTTTGGCTCGGCTCGTTGATCCATTTTAATTGAGGGTCCGAGTCAGGATCGGTGAAATTGGAAGAAAATATTACTTCCCCGCCACTCATTATTTCGGCTGTTCAATTCTCTGTCATATGTATGTCGGCGCGGCAAGTACAAGTGACTGTATGACATGTATGATCTATGACTATGAGGGCGGTATGCATTCCGCGCGGTATGTACAATATACATCGTGCACGTGTATGCAGTGTGCAGCTAGCTAAAATGTTTGAACATATGTAGAGCTTGCCACATAACCACATAGAGGAAGGGCTAATGCCACGGACAAAGCAGAAGTTCAATGATATCTGCACGTGCATGATGTTCCAGATCCTCCACACATTTTGGCAGATTTGTTCATGACAACTTGTTGGTTTTCTTTAGGTAAACTTTTATGACAGGCATAGCATGTGATTTTCATGGGAGTCGGATTTTGCCTCGGGCCCGTGAAACAGCGCCCTCTAGCGATCATATTACGTAACACACACGCGTTTTTTTAGTTATATAACATAATTTTTTCTTCAGTGGTACTTCTCGGCAAGCGCCACAGGTCGAACGCTGCATCAGCAGAAAGATCCGAAGGAAAATGGGTTTCGTACCACACGAGGGCGCCGTGCGAGGCTGGTTTAGACTTGATCAAGTCATTTACTGGCTTAGCGTTGATAATTTAGCCTGGAAGTGTTTCGTTATAAAAAAGTTTGTTGTGTGTTTTTCTTTATTATGTACAGGTTGATTTCAATTTTGGAATGTTTTACGTGTCCTTTTTGCCAAATTTATCGTGCTTTAATTTATATTATTAATTACGTCTGAATTAATTAAGTGCATAAATTATTATCAATATTTCATGCAAGTTATATGGAGGTATAGAAAATTTCCGGCAAAGTAGTGCTTACCAAAATAATTCTCAAGCGTTCGGACCCGGTCCTTCTTCAGTGGTTTATTGTTCCTGAATCTTTTTCATGTATTTCTGTGGAGTTATAACGAATAAGTCGACCTGTGTTTGGCACTGGCCGCGGAATAAATCTGCATGAGTGCATCGACCTGTGGCGCCTTGAGATGGTTTTTGTACATGGTTTATAAATCGACCTGTGGCGTTTGAGATGGTTTTTGTACATGGTTTATATGCATGTTCAGGCTCATCGACCTGTGGCGTTCAAGTTTGAGATGTTTTTTGGTATATGTTTTTAATGTATGCAAAATCGATCGGCCTGTGGCGTTTGAGATGGTTTTTGTACATGGTTTATATATGCATGTATAGGCAAAATCGACCTGTGGCGTTTTGAGATGGTTTTGAACATGGATGCATGTACAGGCTAAATTGACCTGTGGAGTTTGAGATGGTTTTAGGCATGGTTTAGGCATGTTCAGGCTCATCGACCTGTGGCGTTTGAGATGGTTTTTTTTACATGTTTTATTGCATGTACAGGCAAAATCGACCTGTGGCGTTTGAGATGGTTTTGTACATGGTTTATCCAACAAGCTATAGTTTGTCAAAATCCATTTAAGTTAAGGTACCTTTAGACCGCGACACATGAGAGCCATATCAGCTGGAGCTCACAGCCCTTGCTTTGGGATTTACTGCACAAAAACGAAACTGGGGGCATCATGTACCTACGTCTCGGGCTCACTCCAAAAGTTTCAAGTCTAAAGCCTGGCAGATTTGTCAGCTTGTTGGCCTATTCATCCGCTATCCAACAAGCTTCAGTTTGTCAAAATCCATCCATGTTAAGGTACCTTTAGACCGCGACACATGAGAACCATGTCGGCTGGCGCTGACAGCCCTTGCTATGGGACTTACTGCACAAAAACGAAACTGGGGGCATCATGTACCTACTTCCAGGGCTCACTCCAAAAGTTTCAAGTCTGAAGCCTTGCCGATTTGTCAGCTTGTTGGCCTATTCATCCGCTATCCACCAAGGTATAGTTTGTCAAAATTCATCCATGTTAAGGTACCTTTAGACCGCAACACATGAGAGCCATGTCGGCTGGCGCTGACAGCCCTTGCTATGGGACTTACTGCACAAAAACGAAACTGGGGGCATCATGTACCTACGTCTGGGGCTCACTCCAAAAGTTTCAAGTCTGAAGCCTTGCCGATTTGTCAGCTTGTTGGCCTATTCATCCGCTATCCACCAAGGTATAGTTTGTCAAAATTCATCCATGTTAAGGTAGCTTTAAACCGCGACACATGAGAGCCATGTCGGCTGGCGCTGACAGCCATTGCTATGGGACTTACTGCACAAAAACGAAACTGGGGGCATCATGTACCTACTTCTAGAGCTCACTCCAAAAGTTTCAAGTCTGAAGCCTTGCCGATTTGTCAGCTTGTTGGCCTATTCATCCGCTATCCACCAAGGTATAGTTTGTCAAAATTCATCCATGTTAAGGTACCTTTAGACCGCAACACATGAGAGCCATATCAGCTGGAGCTCACAGCCCTTGCTTTGGGATTTACTGCACAAAAACAAAACTGGGGGCATCATGCACCTACGTCTGGGGCTCACTCCAAAAGTTTCAGGTCTGAAGCCTTGCCGATTTGTGAGCTTGTTGGCCTATTCATCCGCTATCCAACAAGCTATAGTTTGTCAAAATTCATCCATGTTAAGGTAGCTTTAGACCGCGACACATGATAGCCATGTCGGCTGGCGCTGACAGCCATTGCTATGGGACTTACCGCACAAAAACGAAACTGGGGGCATCATGTACCTACTTCTACGGCTCACTCCAAAAGTTTCAAGTCTAAAGCCTTGCAAATTTGCCAGCTTGTAGGCCTATTCATCCGCTATCCAACAAGGTATAGTTTGTCAAAATCCACCTATGTTAAGGTACCGTTAGACCGCGACTCATGAGAGCCATGTCGGCTGGCGCTGACAGCCCTTGCTATGGGACTTACTGCACAAAAACGAAACTGGGCGCATCATGCACCTACGTCTGGGGTTCACTCCAAAAGTTTCAAGTCTGAATCCTTGCAAATTTGTCAGCTTGTAGGCCTATTCATCCGCTATCCACCAAGGTATAGTTTGTCCAAATCCATCCATGTTAAGGTACCTTTAGACCGCGACTTATGAGAGCCAAGTCGGCTGGCGCTGACAGCCCTTGCTATGGGACTTACTGCACAAAAACGAAACTGGGGGCATCATGCACCTACGTCTGGGGCTCACTCCAAAAGTGTCAAGTCTGAAGCCTTGCAAATTTGTCAGCTTGTAGGCCTATTCATCCGCTATCCACCAAGGTATAGTTTGTCAACATCCATCCATGTTAAAGTACCTTTAGACCGCGACTCATGAGAGCCATGTCGGCTGGCGCTGACAGCCCTTGGTATGGGACTTAATGCACAAAAACGAAACTGGGGGCATCATGCACCTACGTCTGGGGCTCACTCCAAAAATTTCAAGTCTGAAGCCCTGCAAATTTGTCAGCTTGTAGGCCTATTCATCCGGTATCCAACAAGCTATAGTTTGTCAAAATCCATCCATGTTAAGGTACCTTTAGACCGCGACACATGAGAGCCATGTCGGCTGGCGCTGACAGCCCTTACTATGGGACTTACTGCACATAAACGAAACTGGGCGCATTTTGCACCTACGTCTGGGGCTCATTCCAAAAGTGTCAAGTCTGAAGCCTTGCAAATTTGTCAGCTTGTAGGCCTATTCATCCGGTATCCAACAAGCTATAGTTTGTCAAAATCCATCCATGTTAAGGTACCTTTAGACCGCGACACATGAGAGCCATGTCGGCTGGCGCTGACAGCCCTTACTATGGGACTTACTGCACATAAACGAAACTGGGCGCATTTTGCACCTACGTCTGGGGCTCACTCCAAAAGTGTCAAGTCTGAAGCCTTGCAAATTTGTCAGCTTGTAGGCCTATTCATCCGCTATCCACCAAGGTATAGTTTGTCAAAATCCATCTATGTTAAGGTATCTTTAGACCGCGACTCATGAGAGCCATGTCGGCTGGCGCTGACAGCCCTTGCTATGGGACTTACTGCAAGAAAAAAGAAACTGGACGCATCATGCACCTACGTCTGGGGCTCACTCCAAAAGTTTCAAGTCTGAAGCCTTGCAAATTTGTCAGCTTGTAGGCCTATTCATTCGCTATCCACCAAGGTATAGTTTTTCAAAATCCATCCATGTTAAGCCACCTTTAGACCGCGACTCATGAGAGCCATGTCGGCTGGCGCTGACAGCCCTTGCTATGGGACTTACTGCACAAAAACGAAACTGGGGGCATCATGCACCTACCTCTGAGGCTCACTCCAAAAGTTGCAAGTCTGAAGCCTTGCAAATTTGTCAGCTTGTAGGCCTATTCATCCGCTATCCACCAAGGTATAGTTTGTCAAAATCCATCCATGTTAAGGTACCTTTAGACCGCAACTCATGAGAGCCATGTAGGCTGGCGCTGACAGCCCTTGCTATGGGACTTACTGCACAAAAACGAAACTGTGGGCATCATGCACTTACGTCTGGGACTCACTCCAAAAGTTTCAAGTCTGAAGCCTTGCAAATTTGTCAGCTTGTAGGCCTATTCATCCGCTATCCAACAAGCTTTAGTTTGTTAAAATCCATCTATGTTAAGGTACCTTTAGACCGCGACTCATGAGAGCCATGTCGGCTGGCGCTGACAGCCCTTGCTATGGGACTTACTGCACAAAAACGAAACTGGGCGCATCATGCACCTACGTCTGAGGCTCACTCCAAAAGTTTCAAGTCTGAAGCCTTGCAAATTTGTCAGCTTGTAGGCCTATTCATCCGCTATCCACTAAGGTATAGTTTTTCAAAATCCATCCATGTTAAGCCACCTTTAGACCGCGACTCATGAGAGCCATGTCGGCTGGCGCTGACAGCCCTTGCTATGGGACTTACTGCACAAAAACGAAACTGGGGGCATCATGCACCTACCTCTGAGGCTCACTCCAAAAGTTGCAAGTCTGAAGCCTTGCAAATTTGTCAGCTTGTAGGCCTATTCATCCGCTATCCACCAAGGTATAGTTTGTCAAAATCCATCCATGTTAAGGTACCTTTAGACCGCGACTCATGAGAGCCATGTCGGCTGGCGCTGACAGCCCTTGCTATGGGACTTACTGCACAAAAACGAAACTGTGGGCATCATGCACTTACGTCTGGGACTCACTCCAAAAGTTTCAAGTCTGAAGCCTTGCAAATTTGTCAGCTTGTAGGCCTATTCATCCGCTATCCAACAAGCTATAGTTTGTTAAAATCCATCTATGTTAAGGTACCTTTAGACCGCGACTCATGAGAGCCATGTCGGCTGGCGCTGACAGCCCTTGCTATGGGACTTACTGCACAAAAACGAAACTGGGCGCATCATGCACCTACGTCTGGGGCTCTCTCCAAAAGTTTCAAGTCTGAAGCCTTGCAAATTTGTCAGCTTGTAGGCCTATTCATCTGCTATCCACCAAGGTATAGTTTTTCAAAATCCATCCATGTTAAGC